CCCAGTTCATACTTGATTATTCCTGGAATTTACTTACAAAACTCTTCCAAGATCAGATTCATGTGCTTTTCTGTATAGCAGTCAGAAAAAAAACTGCACAGGGTGTAAAACTTTTTTTGGTTACAAAATGGTAAAAGCTCCTAAACTACTGGTATAGGAAAACATTTGCTCTTGTCTGAAACAACAGAGGCTGTTTAAAGCCATGCGGCTGGAGGGAGCAACACGCTTTTCTTTTCTACCTTGAAAAACTTCATAACACTTAACTGCTCACTCCTTGCTTTTTTCTTCTTCCCATAAATATTTGCCTGCTTTATTCTTCTGCTTCTTTTTAAAAAAGAAACATCAGCACATTGCAGTGGTGTGCTGTCTCCCTTTCTGTCCTTTTTCACTCCTGCCAGAAGGGGGCCACCGGTTCATAAGCTGTGTACACATTGCCTGCTTAAAACACCGCTAGGTCTCCACTTGCTTTGAGCTATAACCCCCCGAACCGAATTCATCTCCTCACCAGCAATATCAGACCACGGGGGATGCAAGAACCAGACCCAGATGCCAGCTTCTTCCCCTTTCCTACTCTGAAAACACTGTTGCTGGAACAAATAACATCAGACACAATATCAGGAGCTCACTCACTTACTTTTTTTCTTTAACTTTAACTGACTCAAGAAAATCAGCATTTTATAGTTCAAATCGGCGGAAATAAATACAGTAAATGGACAAAAGTACAAAGATTCACAAAGTATTTAGGGGTATGCATAGCCCTGCGTCCCCCCAGAAAAAAACCACTGGTTGCAAATATGGCATATGCCCTCGTCTGTTAGCAATTCTCTTCTGCATATAGGACAGATAGACGAGACTCTACCATAGAATCATAGAATCATAGAATCATAGAGTTGGAAGAGACCACAAGGGCCATTGAGTCCAACCCCCTGCCAAGCAGGAAACACCATCAGAGCACTCCGACATATGGTTGTCAAGCCTCTGCTTAAAGACCTCCAAAGAAGGAGATTCCACCACACTCCTTGGCAGCAAATTCCACTGTCGAACAGCTCTTACTGTCAGGAAGTTCTTCCTAATGTTTAGGTGGAATCTTCTTTCTTGTAGTTTGGATCCATTGCTCCGTGTCCGCTTCTCTGGAGCAGCAGAAAACAACCTTTCTCCCTCCTCTATGTGACATCCTTTTATATATTGGAACATGGCTATCATATCACCCCTTAACCTCCTCTTCTCCAGGCTAAACATGCCCAGCTCCTTAGCCGTTCCTCATAAGGCATCGTTTCCAGGCCTTTGACCATTTTGGTTGCCCTCCTCTGGACACGTTCCAGTTTGTCAGTGTCCTTCTTGAACTGTGGTGCCCAGAACTGGACACAGTACTCCAGGTGAGGTCTGACCAGAGCAGAATACAGTGGCACTATTACTTCCCTTGATCTAGATGCTATACTCCTATTGATGCAGCCCAGAATTGCATTGGCTTTTTTAGCTGCCGCGTCACACTGTTGGCTCATGTCAAGTTTGTGGTCAACCAAGACTCCTAGATCCTTTTCACATGTACTGCTCTCAAGCCAGGTGTGCCCCATCTTGTATTTGTGCCTCTCATTTTTTTTGCCCAAGTGCAATACTTTACATTTCTCCCTGTTAAAATTCATCTTGTTTGTTTTGGTCCAGTTCTCTAATCTGTCAAGGTCGTTTTGAAGTGTGATCCTGTCCTCTGGGGTGTTCGCCACCCCTCCCAGTTTGGTGTCATCTGCAAATTTGATCAGGATGCCCTTGAGTCCATCATCCAAGTCGTTGATAAAGATGTTGAATAAGACCGGGCCCAAGACAGAACCCTGTGGCACCCCACTAGTCACTCTTCTCCAGGATGAAGAGGAACCATTGATGAGCACCCTTTGGGTTCGGTCAGTCAGCCAGTTACAAATCCACTGAGTGGTAGCATAGTCAAGACCAGTGCTGTGCTGAAAATTTTGTTGGGGAGTGATGGGCCACCAGGGACTTCCTGGTCTTTTGCTGGCACCTTATCCTTCCAGTAGCTCCCAGTCCACACCACCAGCACCAACCAGCCAATGACTCTTGGGGAGACCATAACTGGATACTGCCTGGAGGCACCACCTGTGCTCGAAGGGGCAGGGCAGGGCAGGGCAACTTATTCATCTGCCAAATGGGTGGGGAGGAGCTTGGCTGCAGCGCCTCTGGCAGAATGAAGGGCAGAGAAGTCTGACTGATAGAAAATGCCTCAGAGGGAGAGGAGTAGGGAGAGAGATTGCAGGTGGTGGAGGCACAGGAAAGAGACTGAAAGTGCTAGGACTCTAAGTGAATTACCTGCCAAAGGCCGTCTTATGGCCCTCCCCCTAAGCCCCACTGAGCAGAGCTAGAGAGGAACAATTCTAGCTTCACCCCGGCCCCTTTCTCCACAGGCAGGCATAAGAGTCCTGGACTTAAGCACCAAAGCCAGGCACCCTGGGAGAGGAGGCCTACTGAAGGGCCTTCCTTATCGGCGAGAGCAACCTGTGCCACGGGTGGAAACAGACCTGGGAAACAACATACCTGAAATAAAGCAATACTTGTAACAGACCAAATGAGGACCAATGCTTTGTTTCTTTAAGCCTCTTAGTCCTGCATGGGCCCATGGAAGAGGTGGAGCGCTCCTCTTTTGAGGTACCCCTTCCCTTGGGGTACAGCACAGTGTGTTTTACCATTCTTTATCAGTCAATGAGAAAAGGAATTGTATTCAGAAATTCAAACAAAATTCTCATAGATGGGGTGAGTGTTCTTTATTGAGCTTATCTTGTTCTTGAGATGGCCAAGGGATTTTGTGAGCGTACAGACTTTTAGCCAGTAGTCTGCATTTACAATCTTCCTGGGTGTCTACACTTTCTAAAAACACATAGATTTTATTGGCTGGGCTTTCCTGTAAGAATGGGAAGGCAGAGAGGATTTCCACATTCTGCAGTGCCAGATTTAGGACAGTGCAGGCAGTCCCCCCCCCCCACAGGGCACCAAGTTGAGGGGACGCAAAATTGAGAAGATCCATTTGGGGGCACCAATTGTTGGCCTTGCACAGGGTGCCATATTAACAAATGGTTACCAACACCCACCCCTCCTATCTGCCGGACAATTGCTCCTCATTACTTTTCAAAATGAAGTGTTTTCTGTTTTAAAGAAATAAACTCTCTCACACAACAGCAAGCGCACCAGCCTCAGTTGCTTGACAGCTAGCATTCCCCGGCTTTCCACATTTTCAATTAAAGTTCAGAGGAAGACATCACTAGGTGAGTGCAGACTGCAGAATCCCAGAGTAATGTATAAATACATGCTGCCCTTGTCCACCTAACAATGATAGGTAAACTCAACCTAGCACCTGCCAAATAAATAAATAAATTCTAAAGTGGGGGTGGGACAGGTTTTAGTATATAGCATTAGTCTCTGCACAAAATAATAGATGGACACAGATCTTCAGAAATGACAAGACCGAAACCTCAATAAACCAATAAAACTCTAAGAGAACACCCCACACACACACCTGCAACTGCAATGATATGTTGGTTGAGCTAACATAATATTCTGTATCTGTTTGAGAAAGAGAGAGAGAGATTAACTAAACTGCTGAGTGAAAGTATTCAACAGGTGTGGCTCCTCCTTCCCCGCCCCCAATGCATGATGAAAGAATGGGAGAGAAGCTGTTCCTGTGTAGTTGCTGCCTGGGGTGTGTTGCACAGGTGCAAATGCAGGAATTTAACCCCCGCTGTGCTGCTCATCTGGAAGTCCCTGCACTAGGCACCTCCAGCGCTACATTTCTCAGTCCAAAGGTTAATTATAAGAATCTTCAACCTTGGTATGGTTCAGAAAAGAGTAGGATTTCTATTCCTCTACCACACTGCCCTTTCTTACAGGGATCTTGCTGGTGTAGCTGATCACTCTCCTGAGCCAAGTGCTAAGAAGGATCCTGTTACCTCTTCAGCTTCCAACACCTCCTCTTCCCAGTCCTCCCTCTGATCACTCATCATCACCACCAATCCTGGAGCTCTGAGATTTCTTCCCTTGGGGGTTCCCCTCCCACCATTCCTCTGCATCCAGCCCTTCTGTGACACAACTATTAGTCTGCCTGGCGCCTTCATTATACACCTTTAGGCGCCAGGCAAAAATGTTCCTTTTTAGCCAGACCTTTGATTGATTGGATTGACATCCTATGCCCTTTTAAAATGTGGTGGCGTTTTTTTTGGAGGGGGGGTTATTGGGTTGTAGCTGCTTTTATTTTATGCATTTTGTGGTTTTATATTTTATTCTGTGAACCGCCCTGAGACCTGTGGATATTGTTGTTGTTTAGTCGTTTAGTTGTGTCTGCCTCTTCGTGACCCCCTGGACCAGAGCACGCCAGGCACTTCTGTCTTCCACTGCCTCTTGCAGTTTGGTCAGACTCATGTTTGTAGCTTCAAGAACATTGTCCCACCATCTCGTCCTCTGTCGTCCCCTTCTCCTTGTGCCCTCCATCTTTCCCAACATCAGGGTCTTTTCCAGGGAGTCTTCTCTTCTCCTGAGGTGGCCAAAGTATTGGAGCCTCAGCTTCAGGATCTGTCCTTCCAGTGAGTGATCAGGGCTGATTTCCTTCAGAATGGAGAGGTTTGATCTTCTTGCAGTCCATGGGACTCTCAAGAGTCTCCTCCAGCACCAGAATTCACCAGATATAGGACGGTATATATATATATTCAATCAATCAATCAATCAATCAATCAATCAAATATTGAGAACTACAATTTTATTTTTTAAAAGATGGCAGCGTTCAAAAAGCCACAATTAGCTGACCTTAAAGTACCCACCCATGAACAAAGAAACTTCAGAGGGACTGCAATATGAACTTGCAGTTCCTCCCGAGTTCCACGCTGCCACCTGGGAGCTGGATCAGGCCCCGTTTTCGGTCCCCTTCCCCCCGCCCCGCTGTCCCGGGACCCCGTCCCTGGCGCTGAGCCCGTGGGAGGCGGCGGCGGCGGGAGGAGCCAGGGAGGCCCTTCCTGGGCGGCGCGGGCCGGGCTGCGCCTGGCGTTCGCGGAGGTTCGGCCATGGAGCGCTGGGCAGAGGCGCTGTCCTTCGGCGCCTTCCACAGGGGGCTCCGGCGGGGAGCTGCCTACGGCTACGGCGGGGAGAGCCCCGAGGGGCTGCGCCGGAGGGAGCTGGCCCGCCTGGGAGGTAAGCCCAGTCCCGCGCTCGGGACCCCCAGCCGCGCCGCGCTCTCCGCAAGCCGCCCTTTCCGTCCAGGAAGGCGGAGAGACTGTCCCGGGCGCAGCTGCAGGCGGACAACTTTCTCCGCCGGCTCCCCGGCAGGCAAGCTGGTGGCTCCGCGCCGGACCCCCAGGGGCTGCTTGGGTGCTCAGGGGCTGCTTCGCTCCGTCTCCTTTTCCCTCGGGTGCTTTGGGCGCCCCAGTTGCCGGAGAGGAAGGGGCGCCTCGCGGGGACCCGGGGAAGTTTGGCCCCTGCGATCCAGTTAAGGAACAAGACCCTGGCGACTCACTCCCAGGCTTCCTTTGGAGTCAACAAGAAGGGCAGAGCATATGGGACAGCGGGGAAGTAATTTGTCCTGCTCTCAAATATCCCAGCGGCCGGGGAGTTTTCTCTCTTAAGCATTAAACAAAATTGGTGTTTAAAGTACACAAGCAAGATCAAGGTAAAGAAACAGAGATTTGTGTCCGTGGTTACGTGGTCTATGGTGTCTGCCCTAGAAAGATTCTTTTTGGTCACTGTTTTAGTAATGTTGTAACCAAAGTTGCCTTTACAGCTTTTCACATGTTATATAGCCTTTTTGAAAAAACAGCCAGCTCACACTTGAGTTTGTTTGTTTGTTTGCTTATTTAAATGCATAGATAAACCACTCAATATTTTTAAAAACTTTTTAAATGTTCATTTACAGAAGCAATCCAGATGCTAAAGTATATATTATAAAGTACCCCCCCATCAGTATTTATTTCTAACCAGGAGCACCAGCAAGACTTTCTGAGCCCAGTTCGTTGCATGTGGATTGGGCCCTCTGCTGCACTCCTAAGCAAAAAACAACCAGAATCTGCATAATGCAAATCTATTATATTGTATTACACATGTAATATAATGTCTACCAGGCAGAATACCAACAGGTGGAGCTTTCCCCATAACTGCAGTTCCATACTAGAAAAGATTTACCCTGTATAATTTCTGCGTCCTACATAACTTTTAAAGGTGATGAGAGTCCTGCTGTACTTCAGTGTCAACTTTAAAGCATGCAAAAGAGTTCAAGTTTCCTAAGTTATACATGAGCTATGCTACAGTCTGTAGGTCTTTCTTCAGCAGATCTTTGTCTGGTAGTGCTACATTCAGTGCAAGACCAGGCATTGCACTTCCGTTCTGTTCTGTTCAGATGCACATGCTTTGCATAAATCAAAATTTAGTGTTAAAAGATGAGCAGCATATTCATTTGTTATGGGTACTCATTAACATTTTATTTGTTTCTTAAATTTCTATACTGCTCTTTATCCGATGATCACAGGGCAGTTTGCAATATAAAAACACAAAAATACATACCATAATGACAAATAAAACAATACCCCCCACCAAGCTTTAAAGGCCATAGATGGTTTAATTAGCAAAGGCCTGGGAAAAGAATAATGTTTTCACCTGGTGCCAAATATATGTAATGAAAGTGTAAGGCAAGACTCCCTCGGGATAGCATTCCACAAACAGGGAGCCACCACAGAAAAGGCCCTCTTTTGTGTTGCTTTCCTCTAGACCTTACGGAGTGGGCACATGAAGAAGAGCCTCAGATGGGCCGGTCCTTGAGGTATTGTGGTCTTCAGTCATAATAACGGCAGCATTTATTCTGCATTTTTGTGAAGGATTTGAAATCCCAGCCAGGAATCTCACTGGGTGACCTTGCACAAGTTGCTGTCTCTTAGCCCAACCCACCTCACAGGGTTGTGAGGATAAAAGGAAAAGGGGGACAAGCTGGGGAAACTCAGCCAGATGGGCGGGGTATAAATAATAAATTATTATCTTATTATTTAGGGGGGGGAAAGTGGGATATAAATGCAACAATACCTTCCATAAATACTCATTTTGGGTTTTTATGCTAGTAGTAGCAAACTACCTGCGAGGTAGAATTGATGCTTTTGGATTATGGTGCTAGAGGAGACTCTTGAGAGTCCCATGGACTGCAAGAAGATCAAACCCTATCCACCCTTAAGGAAATCAGCCCTGAGTTCTCAGTGGAAGGACAGATCCTGAAGCTGAGGCTCCAATACTTGTGGGTACCGTGGTACCTTGGGTTAAGAACTTAATTTGTTCTGTAAGTCCGTTCTTAACCTGAAACTGTTCTAAACCTGAGGTACCACTTTAGCTAATAGGGCCTCCCACTGCTGCCTCTGCGCCATTTCTGTTCTCATTCTGAAGCAAAGTTCTTAACCCAAGGTACTATTTCTGGGTTAGCGGAGTCTATAACCTGAAGCGTCTGTAACCCGAGGTACCACCGTATAGGGCAGTATACAAATTTAATAAATAAAATAATAATAATAATTAATGCCCTGTCAAATCTAGCAACTTTTTTCTCACAATGGCCAACCAGATGGGAGGCACGCAAGGAAGACTTGCGTGCAAGAGCAGCCTTCATAATGGCGGGCGTTTCAATAGTATTTCATAATGACTCCCCACACCCTTAAAGCTGAGGAACAAAATCATATGAGCTACATTATCATTCAAAGAAGGCTGGGTTTTCATTAAAATAAAATGTGGCTGATGTGCTTCAGGCGTGTTCTGAGTTGACAAGTCTGCACCATGTTACAATTGTAAGAACTCTGCTTGATGCGATTAATTTATTAGATCTGCTCAGAAACAAATTTAATACCTCAAGGTGGCATCTACCCATAAAGCTTCTCCCTTAAAGGGAGTACATTCTGTTGTGTTTTGCACTCTGGCTAGGCATTGTCCTTAATTGCATTTATCAGATGAGTAAAAGAAGAGGCAAGACCATCTCTTAGAAGGGACCCATTTCTTGGGGATGAGTAGTTATTTCCCTGTGCCAAGGATACTCCTCGGGTGGTTGTGGGTGTGAGTGACTAGGAAATATGGTTGTGGGTGATTTAACAAGGTAGCACATAGCCATTGATCACCGTATACTCCATGAATTTGTCTAATCTTTTGAAGCCACCCAGTCAGTGGCCATCGCTAACTCTAGGTTCCACATTCCATAGTTTAGCTATGTGCCGTGTGAAGAATTTATTTAATTTCATTTATCTGGAATCTTCCAACATTCAGATTTGTTGGATGGCCCTAAAAGGAGAAAACATTTTCTTTATCCGCTTTTTACACACCATGCATAAATTTATACATCTTTCATGTTCCCCTCCCCTTACTTGCTTTTTCACTAAATGAAAAGGTCCTAAACGATCGTACTGGAAGCAGTATGCCACTGAATACGAGTTGTTTGGAAATGCAGGAGTTGAAGGAATGCTGTTGTTCTCAAGGGCTGCTTGTGGGTCGGCCACTGTAAGAAGAGTGTTAGACTAACTAGATCAGGGGTCAGCAACCTTTTTCAGCCGTGGGCTGTCCCTCAGACCATGTGGTGAGCCGGACTATATTTTGAAAGAAAAAAACCCGAACAAATTCCTATGCCCCACAAATAACCCAGAGATGCATTTTAAATAAAAGGACACACTCTGCTCATGTAAAAACACGCTGATTCCTTGACCGTCCGTGGGCCTGATTGAGAAGGTGATTGGGCCGCATCCGGCCCCCAGGCCTTAGGTTGCCTACCCCTGGACTAGATTGGACTAGAATGGCCTTATCCAGCAGGGCTTATCTTATGTCCTTACGTGTTCTTGGGACATTGGGAGTTGTGATCCAATATATGGATACCCACATGCACTAAACTAGCCTCTGCCAACCTCATCCCCCCCACCCCCTAATCTTTAGGACTGGCCAGCCTTGCTATACTGGCTGGGCCTAATAGCAGTCATGTTACACAGGATCTGGAGGGCAACAGGTTGGCCAACTCTGCCCTAAACCAAAGGTGTGGACTTGCAGTGCTCTGTCCTCTTCTGCAAAGCTTCACCCTTTATTTCCTATAACCATTGTTTACTGTGATGTCCTTGTTGGCACCCTATGGTTAATGGCACCCTATGGCTAATGCTTGTCTTCTAAACCAGAATCAGAAGCCATTCCAAACCCTGAATCACCAGCCATAGTTTTTTGAGTGGGACATCTCAGTATACCAGTACGGTAATTAATTCTGGACAGAAATGCAGGAGAAGCAAAGAGTAGGCTGGGGGAAGAGGGAGTGTGCAAGTTTGTGTTTCATTCATACTTCCCAAACCACCTGCCTTCATTGTCTGAGGTTTGATTGAATTGAACATAAGAGTCTTGTGATATCCTAAAGACTAAAATATATACGATGGAACACATTTTTATGCTTTTGTTAATCAAGAGTCAGCAAGTAAAGCGACTCCCTTGATAAATTAGTTGATGCAGTACAGTATTAGCTGCTGAATCTACATTGACCCAGCAGCTTGCAGCAGGAGAATGCAAACAGGTGAAACTGTGAAGAACTTATTCATGCCTGAAGCTAGAACAGAAGCTATTTTTCTAGAAAAAGAAGTGCCAGAACTCACTATGAACACCTCCCTTGTTCTCTTATAATTGCAATGGTGCCCGCCTGAGAGGTGCCAGAATCAGCAATGGCGCCCGCCCTGTGGAACGTTTATCACATTATTATTATCATTATCATTATTATCATTATCATCAATTCTGTTGGGAGCCACTCAGAGTGGCTGGGGAAACCCAGCCAGATGGGTGGGCTATAAATAAATAAATTATTATTATTATTATTATTATTATTATTATTATTATTATTGAGTTCCAGCTATGTTCCCTATGTTTTTAGCTGCTCTTGTTTTTATCTGTAAGCTGCCTTAAGTCCCTGTCAGGAAAAAATGAGGGATATAAATATCTATATAATGCTACTAGTAGTAATCCCTTCTGGATCAGACCAAGGGCCTGTGGTGGCCAGCGAGACAGGAGCAGGCGCAAGGGCATCTTGTTTGCAGAGACCTGCTCCCACTGATCCTCAAGGAATTGCTGCTGCCCATTGGAGTGATAGAAACAGTTCTAAAGTGTGCGTCTAGAGCAAGATGGCTGCAACTGTGACCTCATTGTTAACGGTGGCTATTGCAATTGTACCAGTGACATCATGAAAGTAGACTTACCGTACAACATCTAGTTTTCTCCTTTGCTTGGTTATAGAAAAGTGTCTGATTACTCATTTATTTTTATCATTTACAATTTTAATGACTACTACATCTTTCAGTAAATGTGTTACAGTTTGTTTTGAGTAGCCTCTTGGGGAAATGGCAGTCCAATCCATTTTCTGATTCAAGTCACCTCAGGGTTCCATGGCACACTGGTTGAAAACCTAGGCCTTGCACCATCGTAATGGTTGCCCCTTCCCCATCATTGGTAGCTAATAATGTGAAGTGGAATGTTGAAATGCAAAATGTTATGACATCACAAACATAGCATGAGTGTATCTCTACATTTTGAATGCAGTTGCTATAAATTCTCTCAGATTTTTGTGCTTTGGGAACAACTTAATTTCTTGTATGAACCAACTTCCACTTAAACTGAGTGTTCTAAATTACTTCCAGCATGCTTTTTTGTCGTCATAGACTCCATTCTATTCTAGCAGAGACATTTATTTTGGCATTTTGGGTGACAGAGTAGTTAACAACAGTCTTTTGTTTGAAATCAAACCTTATTATGTCTTCTTAGCAAGAAAATATTATAAATTACTTCCTAAACAAGCCTGCTTTTATAGTTTAGGAAGATTGCCAGAACTGTGTTTCAATATGCAAGTCTTCACATGCAGTTAGAATCGAAAACAAACCACTTCCATCTAAGCAAGTTGTACTCACCTTTTCAATTTAAGTGTTGCTAATTAACTTCTACACATATGTTCAGATCAAATTGGTGTGCGTGGTTCACTTTTACACGCTCTAAAACTAGATGTTTTCAAGTGCAAAAGTAAGAACAGCCTCTGCCCCACTTGTTCCTGTATGAATACCTGTCTGGGCATGCCTCCTGTGAGCAAGTGATTCTGTTTACAGTGCGAGTGACTGAATTCTCAGCCAATCTCTCTACTGACTGCTTCATGTGCATTGAGAAATAAATAACATCATTAGTGACTACTGTGATCCTAAAGTGGGGGGAGCCAACGGTCCCCTCCAGATATTTTGCACCACAATTCCCATCTGCTCCAGCCAGTATAGATAAATGGTCAAGGATAATGGGAGTTGTAGTCCACAATATTTGACGGTGCCACACTGGCCTCCTCTGCCCTAAAGTGCCCACCAAGGCCAGGTAGTCTCCTTTCTGAGAGGGTGTCTTGAGAGTACATGAGCCATTAATCATTTATTTCCCATATTACACTGAGCAGCAGGGGCATCACGACCTGTTTTGCCATGCCATCCCAGTGTCCTTTACCTGGGTTGCATGGCAGCGCCCACAAAGTGGCAGCAACAATGGCAGCTTCTGGCGAGATCTTGCTGCTGGCGGTGGGATGCCCCTGGGGGGCGCTGATTATTGGGCTTTTGCCACCCGAGGCAGCTTCCTCACCCTGTCCCGTGGATGGCCCAGCCCTGCTCAGCAGTTGTCTTCTGGCACAGAGCTTGGGAATGCTAACCTAATGACTAAAACAAACTCAGATATGTAGATAGGGTGGTAAAGGTAAAGGGACCTCTGACCATTAGGTCCAGTCATGGCCGACTCTGGGGTTGCGGTGCTCATCTCACTTTACTGGCCAAGGGAACTGGCGTCATGTGGCCAGCATGACTAAACCGCTTCTGGCGAACCATAACAGTGCACGGAAACTTCCCACTGGAGCGGTACCTATTTATCTACTTGCACTTTGACGTGCTTTCGAACTGCTAGGTTGGCAGGAGCAGGGACCGAGCAACGGGAGCTCACCCCATCACGGGGATTCGAACTGTCGACCTTCTGATCAGCAAGTCCTAGACTCTGTGGTTTAACCCACAGCGCCTCCCGCGTCCCTGATAGGGTGGTAGTGTAGACTTAAATATTAAATTAAAAAACCCATTAGCAATTTCTTGGTACTACTGAAGGGACAGCAATGGGAAGAGTTAAACATTTGTACAATATCAGCCCTGGGGTGGTGGTATGTTAATCTTATTGTCCTCAGGCCAAGGAACTGGAGACTCTTAGACTATATATTGAATTCCTGAGCTGATGTTTAAAAGGAGACAGAAACATGATCTTGGTTATCAGCACAAACTTAATAGTTTATGATTTACTGTGGTAGAAATCACATCAGTATAGAGAAAAAGCAGAGGTCTCTAGGCTGCTGGATGAATGCTCTGTACTTTGAATTAAGCCTGAAGTGGGTAAATTCCTCCCACATCACTATGGTGTGAACTGGATGACCCTACATGCCAGTCAAAGTCCACATTGTGCCATGCAACTGTTGCTCTTGCGTTCAGGATCAGTAGTTTGTATGGCCCTCGGGGTGATGTGGATGACAGCATTGCATCCAGCTGTTTTGCTTTCATCATTGAATGCATTGCAGCTTTGGATGTTGGGGTATAGGACAGGTCCCTATCTGAGAATGTGCAGAACTCCATGTCAAAATCTTTGGAAATAAGTGCTTTTAACACAGGCTGAATTTAGTTATAATGCCAATCTATAGTTTAGAACCCAAATCATGGTCTTAGTTTCCTTAGAGTACATGAACACCATGTTTTAGAGCTATGTGTCTTTTTGTTTTCCATATTTTTGGAATAACTATGACTTGTCGGCTGGTGTGTTGAATCTGGCTGTAATCAGCAAAGCTGCTCAATGACATGGATATTGGAAGCCATATTGTACAGTGGTCCCTCGGGTTACGTACCTCTCTGGATACATAATCTTCGGGCTGTGAAAGCGGCAAACCTGGAAGTATTTTTCTGGGTTTCGCTGCTTGGGCAGAAGCCAACTTTATTATGAAATCTTCTGACCTGTCTTGAGAATAGAGTGGATCCTAAGAATACCCAAGCCAGCCACCTGTGGGTATAGAAAGCAGCTCTTTATTACAACTGTCACCTTACCCTTCCTGGTATTACCTGAGCGGTATTGCCTGGATGACTATAGTAGCGAGCTTCTTAAAAAAATAATAAAACTTTGTTTCAAATGTTTTTATTCTGCACTGACTGAAAAGTTATTTTGAAAATTCCTTGATTTTCAGATTTCCAGCTTTTATAGCATGGTAGTTCAGTGAGTGATACATTTTTGCCTGTTTCATTGTAGGAATTACGTACCTTGACCACGCAGGCACAGCCCTCTTCCCACAGAGTTTACTAAAAGCCTTCACTGATGACCTCAATGAAAATGTTTACGGTAAGGAGAAATCAAGCAGGTGGGGTAAATCTTTTCTCCCTCTCTTTGGCCTTGTTAAAGTTTCCAGAATTTAAAGCTGGGCTGAAATTTGCGACCTCTTGGCATGGTTCCATTCATTGCCAGCAAAAGTGGGGAGTATTTTTTGTAGCCTTTGCAAAGCTGGCAAAAAATCTATGGGATTGATTGATATCAATGCAGTGCACTGCCATAATCCACTAACTGTGGCTTAATAGTAATGGCTTTCACATGTATTCAACTGATGTGGGTTTCAGTTGCAAAGAAACTTCTTTTAGAATTGTAATTATTTTCACAAAATCTCTTTATAGGAAGCTGCTTGCTTGTTAACTCGTTGCTTTGGAAAACTGTTGTAAAGAGCTTCAATGCACAGCAGTGAAATATAAAATGAATGTTATATTTAATCACATTTATAGGAGTTTTTTGAAGCAGTGCTTGACAAAAAGATGAAATGTCTTGTTTATGAGTCATGAACGTCTCTCTTGCCTCTTAGGGAACCCTCACAGCCAGAATATCAGCAGCAAATTGACAAGTGATACAATTGAACATGTCCGATACAGGTAGAGTGGTCTTCATTTTATAAACCCAATGTTGTACAGTGGTACCTCGGGTTAAGAACTTAATTCGTTCCGGAGGTCCGTACTTAACCTGAAAATGTTCTTAACCTGAAGCACCATATTAGCTAATGGGGCCTCCTGCTGCTGCCGCACCGCTGGAGCACAATTTCTGTTCTCATCCTGAAGCAAAGTTCTTAACCTGAAGCACTATTTCTGGGTTAGCGGAGTCTGTAACCTGAAGCGTCTGTAACCCGAGGTACCACTGTATTTCACATTTGCCTTGGTTCTTTAGTTTCACTATAACCACTTCTGTTGCTATTTATTGTATTGCCTCACTGCTAGAAATGCCAAGTTTCAAAGTATCATTAAGTGTGTGTGTGTGTGTGTGTGTGTGTGTGTGTGTGTCTATTACTGTATTTAAGAAGTTGTAATTTATTGTATTTCATAGTATCATAGATTTGTAGAGTTGGAAGATACCCCAAGGGTCATCTAGTCCAACCCCCAGCAATGCAGGAATCTCAGCTACAGCATCCATGACAGATGGCCATCTAATCTCTGCTTAAAAACCTCCAATTAAGCACAGACCACAACCTCACGAGGGAGTACATTCCACTATCTAACAGCTCTTGCTTAACAGTTCTTTCTGATGTTTAGTTGGAATCTCCTTTCTTGTAACTTGAATCCATTGGTTCGTGTCATAACCTCCTGAGGGGGAGAAAACAAACTTGTTCCATGAGACAGCCCTTCAGATATTTGAAGACGGCCATCATATCTCCTCTCAGTCTCCCCTTTTCCAGGCTAAACATACCCAGCTCCTTCAACTGTTCCTCATAAGGCTTGGTTTCCAGACCCTTGATCATTTTCCACCCACCTCTGCACATATTCCAGCTTGTCAATATCCTTCTTAAATTGTGACATCCAGAACTGGACACAGTATTCCAGGTGTGGGCCACACCTTTATTTTAATTTTAATTTTTTTTTGTAAACTGCCCTGGAAACTTTGCTGAGGGGCAGCATGTACATATATTAAATTGTAAAAGTGGTAAATTAAGCTTACCCAAAGTGGATCACTGTTTCGATAGAAATGAGTGGATATGATGTTCATTTCAAACAGCTCAGTTTCATGTATGTGTGTGATTTTTAGTCTCTGCTTAGATCACCTATATCTCCTCCTCCCTTTCTGGTATAAACTGAGGGCCAAACGGGGCATGAAATGACATGTACAGTACTGTAAATAGGAATGGAAGAGAATTTTGCTTGGTCTGCAGATTAAAGCAAAGTGACCTAATTTGCAGTTCCTGTACATGGATTAGAAAGCAGGTAACAATCACATTCTCTAAGTTTTACAATGCAGTTTTGGTTCAAAACCATATAAAATTGTACAAATATATATATATTAGAAGGAAATGAAGAGAAAAGCAAACAAATAGCTCAGGCGGTAGAGCGTGAGACTCTTAATCTCAGGATTGTGGGTTTCAACCCCACATTGGACTAGATGACCCTTGGGTACCTTCCAATTCTACAGTTCTATGAGTCTATAAAATATGCATTTGGGGGGGTATACATACAGTTCATACGTGGGTTTGTTTTTTTGGGATGGCTTCTTTAAAAAATGAAACCTGTAGAAAATGGGACAGATGCAAAATGGATGGAACAGAAATAGGCTGATCCATCCACTCCTGTCAGTGCACCGTTTCCAAACAATTTTTGTTTTTACTTTAAAGTTCTCATCCCAACTTGCCTCTAGTTGCCAACTAGAACAACCCTTTTACCCATTCCCACATACAGTATTTTTGCTTCAAAGTTAAGTCTCCCTGAACTCAGCAGAATTTTTTTTAGGAAGCATTCTTGGAAGCAGAGCCAAAACATATTAAGTAGCAAAAAAGATTGATTAACGTTGGTGCCCTATTTTCCTAGAAGTCGTTGCTGGTTTTGAGATGACTCTTCTGTATTGAAATTTCCCTGGTTTTCCTCTGAAATGTTAGCAAAGTCTGTCTCAAAACAGTGTTGTAACTGGTAAAATACATGAAAATCTCATTTGACCTTTAGTACGCAGTAAGAAACATCCGATGCAGTACCTGCTTAGTATTGATTTGTCCTTTTGAAAGGTCACTAACTGGAGACTGTTCAGATGAATGAAACTAGAGCACTCTGCTGTGCTCAGTGCATCTGTTTAAAAGCCCAGAGTCAAAGTTTTGATGGACTGAATTGCTTGTGCTTGTTTAGAGATCTCTTGTAGTTTGCCTAATTAATTCCCTGATCCCATATTTCAATGCAACATATTTGTGTAAACAAATCAGATGCTGCAGAGCATAAGTCAGAACTGCTGGTACAATGCAGTCTCTCTCATCTGGACTTTCACTACATTAATGACAGAATGTGGATCTGTGAGGTGCATACTAAAAGCTAGTGTAGCAACTAAGAGAACAAGCTGTGTGTTGGGAGGTTCTGGTTTGTTTGTTTAGAGATTTACACCCTGCCCTTCAACTCAATGTTTCTCAATGTGGCTTACAAGCTATAGGTAATTATGCACCCATCCACACCCCGTAAACCTCACTCACTCTTTCTCTCAGCAGTCCTTAGTCCTCTGGCTGATGGATGTGGCTACAACACACTTCACTTCCATTCTGCATTTCCAGGGGGCAACTGGCAGTTGGAGACAAGTGTTCTTTTTGGCAGGGAGGGAGGAAATTCCTTGAAGCTGCACTTTCTCTATCCAGTAGATGTGTCCAAGTTGGTCCACACCTTGTTCTTCATAGTGTTCTAATCTTATTACAACCAGCAACTCCCAGTGTGAGTGCCCAAGCCCTGCCCTTTCACTTTAAGCCGGTACTTAAAGAAGCAGTGCTGTGGCTTGCAGCTGGGTTCCCCAGTGTTGATGAGTGGCTCTCAGCTGTGTGCTTTGTCAGGAGCATCCCAGGAGAAAGGAAGAAAGGCCTTTAACTTCAGTGGGAGGTCAGCATCATTGCATCCCACCGACAGCTTCCTAAGGCCACTCATCGGGCTTATCTTGAGCAGTACATGGACATGTTTAGTGGCTGGGATATCCTGTGTATATTGCAAGATGTGTATTTTTTCTTTCTTTAAGAGTTTCCATTAGTAGAGATGCAGCAAACTACTGTCTGGCATATTTAAGTTAAAACAAGCGAACTTAAAAAAAGTTCCCTTTCCTTGGAAGTCCTGAACGTTCTCCTTTTGTGTAGAGCAAGAGAAGGGACAATACAGCCGTCTGGGGTGAACCAAAGCCACAACTTCATTAACTTAACACCAAATAGGTTTATAAACCGGTTGCACGTGAAACTCATTGAGATGGAATCCAACTTGGGTGCTTGTCAACCAAAGCTGAGAGGGAGGGAGTGTGAGGAAGATGCTGGTGGAAGTTGGATACTGCTCTCCTTTGTCACTCTTCAGCAGCAGAACTTTGACTTCCCCTCTCTAGATTGAATGCTGTTTCCCTTAGGGCTTTTAAGGAGAGCCCTTGTATTTTGAGGATCATCCCATTTCTTCACAAAGCCCAAGTCCCCCTGCTGGGGCCAGGCAGCATATGGCTTCTCCAGCCCCACTGCCAAACCAAAGCAATGCCTGACTGCTCTGTAATCATGGGGGCATGGAGCTGAATGTAATTTCATGTCCCTGCAAGGTGAACAACCCTCTTGAAATAGCTTAGGCTGCCAGACCCTGAAATGAGGCACCATTCTAAGCTGCAGAGCTTTCTGAATTGTCATCTTGCATAAATGAACTTCCATGGACACTTGGCCCCCCGCAAGACATGTTTTACCAGGAAAAGTGAGCAGATTACCTGCATGCCTGGAAACTGCTGGGTATACCCACTGATGATGTTCCTTGCTTGGCAGATGCCATTTCCCCCTTTCCTTTTGCAGAAGTCATTATTGCCTAACTGCCCCCCAATTACATCCATTGGGTGTAACACTCTGGTAGCAGTGAAGAATGGGAAATCTGCCCAGCACATGTCATGCTTGCCAGACTGTTGTTTAGCTGTGTGCCTTTTTCTGATGTGATACTCTATTGCCCGGCCCAGTAGTGAAAACAACACTTTTATATAGAAATATAATAAAAAGCTCCTATGCCAGAAAGGTGTGAAATGTAGCTGCAGTAATGGAAGCAATTTCTGATCAGTGCTAGAGCAAATATTCATTTTCATGTTTTTTGCCATCCACTATTTTGAATGATGTTGTGAATCAGCGTGCTCTAGTGAGTCAGGTAATGTTTTGTTGTTGTTGTTTAGTCGTTTAGTCGTGTCCGACTCTTCGTGACCCCCTGGACCAGAGCACGCCAGGCACTTCTGTCTTCCACTGCCTCCCTCATGCTGGTAGCTTCGAGAACACTGTCCCACCATCTCGTCCTCTGCCGTCCCCTTCTCCTTGTGCCCTCCATCTTTCCCAGTATCAGGGTCTTTTCCAGGGAGTCTTCTCTTCTCATGAGGTGGGCAAAGTATTGGAGCCTCAGCTTCAAGATCTGTCCTTCCAGTGAGCACTCAGGGCTGATTTCCTTCAGAATGGATAGGTTTGATCTTTTTGCAGTCCATGGGACTCTCAAGAGTCTCCTCCAGCACCATAATTCAAAAGCATCAATTCTTCGGTGATCAGCCTTCTTTATGGTCCAGCTCTCACTTCCATAATGCTTGCTAATGTACTAAAATGCAAATATTGTTTGATCTCCTCCCCCCTTTTAAAAAGCTAGCTGCTTTACAGAAAACATAAGAATGTAAAAAAATAAAATAAAAAAAGAGGGAGAATATACCTTTAAATACTTTGGTGGTTGTTGCCATGTTGATATGAGAGATCAGGAGAACTACAAAGGGACAAGGTTTTATTGGACTTACTCCTTTGGTGCCAAAGTGGTGGCCCATATTATGGGGCAGAGCTGCCTTCCTGCCATCACAGCCCTGATCTTGCCACCACCCAATTCATCTTCACTGAGGTAAACTGCAGCAAACCCGTTACCAAACCTGGCGCAAGAAACTTCCCTCCGATTAATTTCAGTGGGAAGAAAAAAGTGAACCATAACTGCCCCTTCATCTCCAATGCTGCACATGCTGCCAAGACAGAGTGGATATGAGTGGAAACTTGGGATGTTGAAGAAATTCTCCAGATGTATAACTTTTCATTTATGAAAAATTGTATTCCATTTAAAAGGATTTCTAAACTTCTTAATATTTAAAACTCTCCAAAGAGTATATGGAAATAAAACATAAGAAAAATAAAACATACAAACATATACAAGCATAGCAATAAAACTCTACTATAAAAAAAATTAAAAAAACAAAAAACCCCAAAATGAGAATAGTTCCTAAAATTAACTTTTCCCAGCTCTGAGCAAAATTTCATGTCACTGCAAGGTGAACAACCCTCTTGAAATAGCGTAGGCTGCCGGACCCTGCAATGGGGCGCCATTCTAAGCTGCAGAGCAGGGGTAGGAGACCTAAGGCCCATGGGCTGGATGTCGCCCAATCGCCTTCTCAATCCGGCCCACGGACGGTCCAGGAATCAGTGTGTATCTACATGAGTAGAATGTGTGCTTTTATTTAAAATGCATCTCTGGGTTATTGGTGGGGCATAGGAATTTGTTCATTTTTTTCCCTTCAAAATATAGTCTGGCCCACCACATGGCTGAAAAAGGTTGCTGACCCCTGCTGCAGAGCTTAGACAAATCTATACATTATTTTTTGTGTACAATAAAACAGTATTGGGGGGGGGAAGTGTTTAATGGCAACTGTACAGGTCCCGGTTGCAAAATAGTTTTGTACAGTACTTTTTCTGGGAGTTCTCAAGCATATGCAGTACCAGCGCCTCCCCCCTCCATGTTGAAAGTGTGGCACTTACAGTAACAACTTAATGGTGAGTACCTGCACCATTTTTTTCTTAGAAAAAAGCACTGCTTTTGTACTAAATAAATCAAAACGAAGTTTGCAAGGAATTGATCTGAACTAGAGTAATTTAAAAGAAGAAGAAAGAGTGAGAACAATTAACAGCTCTATGTAAAAATGAAGTTCTTTGGGCTTCAGAGAGATAATTGCAATATAAAAATAGCATGTCTGAATTTCTGCAGAGTAAGCTGGAACACTGCTGACTGCCAGCCTCCAACCTCCTGACTGTTCTATCTATGGCTCTGCCCGTTAAGGAAATGGAGTGGCAGGATGCACGGGTTCACATCACCAGTTACTCTCCATCCAGTGCGCTTCCACTGCTAATTTTTGAAGCCACATTCACACATCCTTTTCCTGTCAGTCCTGTAAATACTTGATGCGTTTTCACCCCTCAAATCAACTTCAGTTGGATTAGAAAACTGGTTGTGGTTTGCTTTAAAAAAATATTTGGGTTGGAACCAGATCTGTCTGTGGAAAGGGGTGAGTGGGATCTGACTTTACTGTCCGTCCTCATTTTGGTGTCGCTCCCCCACAAAAAAATGCTCATATAGGGGGGTGGAAAGAGCCTGGCAGCAGCCAAGGTTGGCTCATTCTGGGACCTCTGTGGCCTCTTTGTGGAGCCTGGAAAGTACCCTCAAACTCCCACCTCCACTGCTCTCACCACTCATACAGTCCAGCAGAACAAGCAGGACAGGACCTGAAGAACACAATTGCTACTCTGAATCACCTGCCTTAGTTTAGAATCATAAAACTGTAGAGCTGGAAGAGACCCTGAGGATCATCTAGTCATTCTAGTGCAATGCAGGAATATGCAGCTGGCCCATATGACCAACTGAGCTAAATAAACTGATGCACATGAAAGAGGTATGATACTATCAACAGGGTGTTGTCATGAAATGAAAGGGGATCTGTTCTGTTTTGAGCGATGGCCTCAGCAGTAGGGAGTCTTATTGATATTTTGAATCTGCAGTCAGAGGGGACCCTTTGCAGAGTAACTCCCTCTGCCCCTTCTGGCTCTCCATGTGGGATAAGCCTCATATACATAAGCCAATGTGGGCAATGCTTTTCTAAATCTCCACAAAGTGTGATAGTGTAAAACTGGAAGAGTATTTTCTGATTTGGGCCAGTTAAGCTGCACAGTGTTTGCACAGCAGGATCCTTTCAGGTGGCTAATTTGCTTCATGTCAGAACAATCCCCATTGTAATTATGATAACAAAAACCTTCTCATTATTTGCTTCATTAATCTGTTGTAGAGGAATGAGGCATAAATAAGCTTCCACCGAACTAACCATATTTCTTGATTCCTCCATCTAGAAATGTTGTAACAGAGATATCTTTGATCCAAGCAAAAATGGAAGGGTTGAACTGATGCTTAGGTCTAATTCCTGTGCTTGGGTCTTATCACACCTTATGTTAAATGTCCGCCCTGCAGTTGTGGCAGGATGGATTGGGAGTTGCTCTGGGGTGTGTGCTGTTTGGGTTTGAGTCCCAGGTGCTCCCACTCTCGCTTTTCTTTTCCCTCCCCCAAGCATGAAAAACAGGTGTGTGCTGAGGCTTGAACTCTTGTTTGCAGTTTCCCAGCCTTGTGCCCTATGAGTGTGCCTCTGTGATTGTGCAAGTGTTGATAGTAGGTCTCTGTGTGTGTTGTGTGCATATTGTGATATAAGTGATATGGCAGGGGAGTGACCAGATGAGTGAAACGTAAGTCTGACTCCGTCCCTGATGGATGGCTGTGATGTAGGTGCAAGCCACACTGCAGTATGTGTCCTTCATTTCTATGTTAGCTTTTAATTTTCTTTTTTTGGCATTTCAAACAACTCCAAACAACTTAAAACAATAAAAGTTACATTCAGTTAGACACATAATTTCTTATACTTGTCTAAACATAAGGCATAATATCTTAGATTACAAAGATCTTGATCCTGAGCTAACAATCAAAGCTGTGACTCTATCCAAGCAGCTTCCATTTGCCTGAGGCAGTTTACAGGAGACAGAGAATTAATATGTCTATTCTCTTCAGTAGCTTGAAAACAAAGAGCTCTCACACAAGATGCCTACAGATTAGCATATGCATAGACCTGTCATGCAATCCTTTTCATGTGATTTAAACACCTTATGCCTGAGCCAAAAAGATACAGCCCTACTTAATAATTAACCTGTTAGGTTTTCTTCAGCTTCAGTGGAAATTTCCAGTCATGCTTTACCAGTACAATATGGGGGCATTATATATTTATTTTCTATTCCAATGTACATTAAATAATTATGCTTAATAGAGCCTGATGATGTTGCCAGCTAGCCACACAGGAAGCTTTTGGGGGATTCTCCCTTGTTTGCTCATGGCCACGCTGAGCTGCCGCCGCCACCAAAAACAGTGTGGCCTTTATCACAGCAGATGGCATCATTCCCCCCCCCCCCGTCTGCTTGGGAAATACCATATAAGTTCTTTCCCATGTAACTTTCACACAGCAACATGCTCTGTTCTCTGCATGCAGGTGCTTGACAACATTGCAGTTGCCAATACAGTATATGAACTTGAAATTGGATGCTTAATTTATAGTTTAGGAACAAAACAATTTTATTCTTCTTGTGTTTTTATGACAGTGCTCTGTGTTCCTTGTCAAAGGGTGTTAGATTTTACAAGTTTACCCTGTCTCCTCAAACTCCTATGCTGGCATTTGTAAGGCTTCCTCCCCCCTTTCTCATCCAGTTTGGAGGCTTGTCTAGCGGACTTGGGATCAGAATGTCTTTGTGTTTAATTGCTATGTAGTGACGTGGTCTTAGTCTATGTCCTTTAGCACCTTCTCCAGCATTAGATCAAACTACCCATTTGGGTTGCTGAACTATTTTCTTTCCTGCAGCAGTGTCACCCCAGGTCAAAGAGATTTTGCAGTGCATTGAAAGTCAACCTCCTATTTGATAGGGGAAATTAAATGTATGTATTCCCCACAGGCAATGATGATGCCATTGGGCAACTTTGTAAAAACCACTGCTTGGTGCAGTGAATTGGCAAGGTTGCCAGGACACAAGAAAAATATTATAGTAGTATAAAATAGTGGAGGTAAAAGACCTTTTCCATGATGCTGTGTTTCCCTTTTTTCAGGATACTGCAGCACTTCAATACATCTGTAGAAGACTACACAGTCATCTTCACTTCAGGCAGTACAGCGGCACTCAAACTTGTTGCAGAGGCCTTCCCTTGGGTTCCCGAAACAGCAGAGGATCCTGGCAGCCGCTTTTGCTACCTCACTGATAACCACACCTCTGTGGTGGGCATGAGAGCAATCGCTGATGCAATGAATGTATTGTCAGTTCCAGTGAAACCAAAGGATATACTGTCGGGGACAGATGGCTTGGTGGCTGGAGGGAACAGCTGCAAAACACCTCACTTGTTCTGCTATCCTGCTCAGAGCAATTTTTCAGGGACTAGATATCCTCTTGCATGGATAGAACAGATAAAATCTGGGCAGCTCCACCCCATCAAGGTCCAAGGGAAATGGAGTGTGCTCTTGGATGCGGCATCTTATGTCAGCACTTCTCCGTTAGACTTAAGCCTTCATCAAGCAGACTTTGTGCCTCTGTCATTCTATAAGATGTTTGGATTCCCCACTGGTCTAGGCGCACTGCTGGTGAAGAATGAAGCTGCTGCTTGCCTGAGGAAAGTCTATTTTGGAGGGGGAACTGCAGCTGCCTACCTTGCAGGAGAGGATTTCTATTTACCAAAAAAATCAGTGGCTGAGAGGTAAAACACAATCTCCTTAATAAAACTCCTGTTACCTAGGTTCTAGAATAATGTTCCATCAGACCTGAGGCACTGACGGAACCATACAGGTTCCTGTGTCTTGATGCTGGGGATTGTTCTGTCTGAAATTCACTTTGAAAATATACTTTTAATAAGTGGTGGTGCAGCTTCACATGGGGTTTATGTTGAGTCACACTAAATGCCAAGGAATTAAAAATGCACTGAAAAATATATTAAGCCTTCCAAATCCACACCAACTAAATCTCAAAAGTGTGTGACTACGTGTTCCATTTAGACATCCAAATTCCAGCTTATGCAAAGTTACTAGTAGCAAAAAGGCAATTTAAGATGTTCAGTATCAATCATGTTTCACTTGAGATGCTTCCGGTCCCACCCCCACCCACCCCTGGCACTTAAATTATTAAGCATTTTTAGTGTGTTTTCTTAATTTGCTGGGTCCTTCTGTGATGTTGCATTTAACTAATGAGATATAAAAGAGCACTCCCAGTGATAATTATCTGTTTTAATAAGTGATCTGGTTCACTTCTACATAATCTGAGTCCATATTAGACTTGTTAACTTAAATCAGAAATAAAAATACTTCAATTAGAAATATTGTGCTGCAGGATTCTGATGGCCATTCTGAAATTTCCCATACTTTAAATAAATGTGTTTACAGTCACAAAATTTCAATTAGGGCTGATCTGAAGTTCAGCCTGGCCAAATTATCAGAGGTTTTAGGGACAGTGGTGGCACTTGTTTGAGTATGAGGTAGCAAGGGGTCATAGAATATGGGACAGGCTCTACCCCTTCCCAATCCCTGTCAACAGCACTGTGTCATCACGTAACATCATTTCCTGGAATATTTGAAACTGTAAATTCACTGAGTACCCTCTCACCTGAAATACTTTCCTCCTGCCTCTGCCCCAAATAATTGGGAAAAGGTTCTAGAAAGGCAGATGGGAGGTGGTTTTGCCAAACTCTGGGAAACACTGTATTAAGGTAGCTGTGTAAGCTGAAGTCTGTCTTTAAGCCTAACTAACTGCTAGCTCTTTGTCTCATTGTTTTTTTAAAAAGGGTACTGCATTTTTCCATAAGAGGAAAAGGTCAGGGAATATACACAGTAGCTTTTTTCAGTGAATAAGGTTTTGCTCTTGTGATATTTCAGGTGTATAGCATACTAGCATAATATTGTACAGGGGAGTCTGATGGCATCAACTACTGTTTGGTGGTTGATGCCTTCTTGGTAGATGGATCTGTCTGGACTGCAGTGGATGGTATAGTTACAGATGTAAAGGTCAGAGGGGGCACTGACATCTGATACTACCAGTTGCATAACCTGTTCTGTAGAACCTTCCTACCTCATACTGTAAGGATAAAACAAGCAGTCTTTCAATATTGCTCTGGATTCCTTGGATGAAAGGAAGGATATAAAGTAAACACACTTATTGATTGAGGTGTTCATTCCTGGTTGTATTCTGTGCCATCAGTCTAGGAGGCTGATCATTTTGCTTCTTTAAGTAAGTATGTTTTGTTGAGAGTAAGTGTGCTTCTCAGTTTGTTGCAGCATTATTCTTCCTAACCAGAGGCAAAATGACCATGTTTTGGTGCCAACCATCTTATCAGATCTGCTTTTCATTGCTTGATGCATACCCATGAAAATATGGGTATGCATCCTATGTAAGAGTTGTAAGTGCCATAAAACTACCTCCAGAAATGGGAGCAAGAATTATATAGAAATGTGTTTTTTGGGATCCAGAAATAAAGAGGTGAAAGGATGTTAGGCCTGCTTGGGTCACAGGCATTTGTGCTGCAATAAATTAACTAGGGGCTTGTCCACTTATTTATTCAATTTATTTCTGCTTGTCCCATGCTTTCTAGGCACAGGTCCAAGTGGTGTTGCCTTTGCCCGGCCACTTGCCCTTAGAAAACCCGCTCTTTAGCACTAAATCGGAGCAAGCAGCAATCTGTGGAAAACCTGATTGCCATTTGTTCGAATTCAGTGCTAAACTGCAGGTTTTCCCAGGGGAAAGTACTGGGCCAAACGGAAGTGTGGACAAGCCCTGGTTGAAAATGAGGAGGCATCTGATGTGCTTCTGTGAGTGTCACAGATCTGGAAGTACCTCTTTCCATTCGATCTCCTCTAGGGTTTGTTAATTCTTCTGTGCCTTTGCATTTGAAAGTTTTTGCAGAGACACAGCAGTATTGCTCGCCTTCACAAGATGATTCCTGTTGATCTCTGTGAAATTCATTATTTGGGGCTTCCCTGTTTTGCATTCAGTACAAAGGGCAGCCAACTGTTCTCCCCGCCCTCCCGCCCACCCTTAGTACCATCGCGACCTTTTTCTGATTGTTTGTACAATATATTGATGTGTCAGTGTGCCCCTCAGTCCTGTGTTTGAATAATTAGGTCAACTGGATAATCTTAGTTAATTATAAACCCTTGTTCTACTACGAAAGCCAATATTGGTGACGTTCAGACAAAAGCTGCAATCCCGTGCTTACATCAGGCTTCCTCAACCTTGGCCCTCCAGATGTTTTTGGCCTGCAACTCTCATGATCCCTAGCTAGCAGGACCAGTGATCAGGGATAATGGGAATTGTAGTCTCAAAACATCTGGAGGGCCGAGGTTGAGGAAGCCTGGCTTAGATATTCATGCTCGGTTCCATTGAGTTCAATACTTCTTTGTACACAGAAGGCAGCGCAGAACTTACAGCCAGGATTGCTTATGAATTCCAAAGCCCATCCAAAATATAACCTAGTTACCTGCTCTTAGGGAGGATGTATGGACAATGAGATTCAGGGCCTTTTCTTTTGGGGGTCCCTGACTTTGGTAACTTTCCCTAGAGAGGCCTTCTAGCTGTTAAAAATAACCTTCTAAACAGGAATGTCTTAACATATCTGAAGAGCTGTAACATGGCAGGTAAAGCAAGTTTGTTTTTGCCTGCTGCGGAGGGAAGCACCTGGATTCAAGTTACAGGAAAGGAGATTCCGACTAAACATCAGAAAGAGCTTTCTGACAGTAAGAGCTGTTCAACAGTGGAACGGATCCCCTGGAAAGTGGTGGACTCTCTTTCCTCGGAGGTTTTTAAGCAGAGATTGAATGGTCATCTGTCATGTATGATTTAGTTGCAGGGGTTGGACCAGATGACTGTCAAGGTCCCTTCCAATTTTGCAATTCTGTGATTCTATGATTTCTGGCAGGGTAGGAAGAGGGAGCACGGTTATTGCGCTTCATATTTAGTTTGGGTTTTAGAGTATTCTGTGTTAGAATAATTCTCCATTGTGTTTATTGAAATAGTGGTTACACCTCTTTAAGCCAAATAGGCTGCTTAAAAGGGGAATTGTTTTTTATAATGCCCTCCTGGTGGGAGAGCAAGACAGACTCACCCCACCCACCGGATGTGCATATTCTCTGAGACATGCATATAAAGCCATAGCATTTGAATAGGGTGCCAGGGCATAAAATGCAAAACACATAGGCATACAAATCAGGAATGAGTTGTAGAATCCGTGAATCCATGAACAGTGAGTTTTGGGCCTGTGAGCACTGGGGTTTTTTGCCTTTTCAAATTGTATTCTCACGCATGGAGAATTTAACATACGCACTATATTTCCCATCATTTTCTGGGGAAAATACCAGGCTTCATTCAATCATTACTGAAGACACCATCAAACAGAATGATTATTTGTGGTCCTTGTTAACTATCTAAAGAACTGTGGTGTTCTTAAGAGAAGAAATTAAGTTCCTGAGCACAATTTCTTGAAATACACATGACTACGGAGCATGGTACATTGTTCTCTCTGACAGTAAAATGGAGTAGACTGAGAGATTGCCTCACAATGCTGGTGCCTTACACATGTGACCTCATGCATTGTCAGCGTTGCTCCTTGTGCCACATTTGTCACCAGTGTGTGGCAGTTAGAGATATTATGCAGAGAATGTTAATAGATATATATTTTTTTCTCCCAGAACGGTTTGCCCAACAGTCTTCAACTTGGCATTGTCCCCTGTGAATGTTGTAAGCAAGGGCTTTTAGATGATGGTGTCAGAGTGACCTAGAGCTGTAACACAGGACGTTCTGAGTGAATGTGCAATATATGCTTAGTGTAAGATAAGAAATTACATGTCAGACAAGGACATGATGATCCTTTGGTTCATGACATGGTTCATGACACGTGAGTGCTGTAGACCCTAGTTTCCACACCATAAACCTCCAGGACTTTGCCTCTTTGGCACATATACGCTTTTGTAAATATGTACACTCCTATGTTTAGGAATTGGTACATTGTTTAGAACCTGAGACTATGTCTGGGATGGTTCTACGTGTTTACTGGATAAATGTGTGGAAACTGGAAGAGCTCTTAGAATATATGTTAATTTTTTAATTGTTGGATAATCTAACCTAGAATGCTTCCTAATGTAAGCATTTACATTTGGCTGTGGATTATGGCCCCCCAAAATGATACAGGGCACTTAGGAAATGAATTGATGTGTGCATTCCATCACCCATTCTCTGCGTTGAAATGATTGTGGCAGAGGATACAGAGGACCTTCTTTGAGAACTTTCGAGACTCTGAATCAGAGTGATGGATTGTTACTTTTATTTGCAGATACATTGTTTATTAATTAATTGCTTACCGGGCAACATTTGGATTCTTTTTCTTACCAACAGTGGCAATGTTTCCACCAAAGCAACTAAATTTTTAAATTCATGGGGTGTGTGCTCCTTTTTTCAAATGAATGGGGGGGAAAATGATACAAGGAATTTAGTTTTTAATGGTTTTGAATCAAGACCTCCATTCACATGGCAGGAATTGAAATGTATTTGGGAGCTATTACAGCATGTTTAATAAATTACATTCTAAAAAGATGTGGAGGTAAGAAGTGACAAGGAAGGCTGTGTTCTAAAATCTTGTAACAAGGAAAGAGTTTATATGTTTATCTTAGTGTGACTTTGTGGAGCAGAATATGTTGGTAAAATAAATCACTTTAGCAGCTTGCCTTAAATCCATTTACAATGAAAATTGGGGCAAAAATCACTGGAGAACTTTTCTTATTATTCTGCAGAGTTCTCTGGAACAAGACTAATTCCAACACAGGCATTTTTGATTAGGAAACTGAAGCAATGCAATTTCCCCCTTCTAGTAGGGATGAAAAGCCTGTTTGAAGAATATATTGCTACTCAGAACATTTCTGGATTCTTCTTGTTTCCCTCCCTCTGCCCACTTAAAATATTGCTTCCCTTACTTTGGATATGAGGTGTTATTGAAATGGCTGGAGGAGTATTTTGTGATGCTAATAGCTGTCCTCCTGCATTATCTGTGTCTCCTTAGAATGTGAAATCTTTGGCTTTATGAGGTAGAGGGGAAAGAGCTGTTGTTGAAATCCCCTTTCAGCCAGTGGCGTGAGGTGAAATTTTTCATAGGGGAACAGTTAGGGTTGTAGAGTTGAGGACCCCAAGGAATCTCCACTCAAGCATCCCTGGCAGATGCCTGAAAACCTTCCGTCTCCCAAGGAAGTCCATTCCCCAGCCGGTCAGTCTGCCCATTCCAAGCACCTTGCAAAAAGAAAAAAAAAAAGGCTTTGCTTTGTTTTTTTCAAAAAGACAACCCCAGGCAGAAGGGTGGATTCCACCCTCCCACTAAAAAAAAACATTTTAAACACCCCCGCTTTCTTCATCATCTCCCTTTCTATGATTGTGTTGTTAGTTGTTGAATGTTGCTGCTGTTCTTTCAGGTTCTGGCAGATTGGGGCTAGGTCAGGGGTCAGCAAACTTTTGCAGTATCCCTCAGACCTTGTGGGGGGCCGGACTGTATTTTGAAAAAAATTAATGAACAAATTCCTATGCCCCACAAATAACCTAGAGGTGCATTTTAAATAAAAGCATACATTCTACTCATGTAAAAACACGTTGATTCCCAGACCGTCTGTGGGCCGGACTGAGAAGGCAGTTGGGCCGCATCCGGGCCCCGGGCCTTAGGTTGCCTACCCCTGGGCTAGGTGGTTCTTTTATTAAAACGCCATGCTTTCAAAAGACACACACAAACACGGAGGCTGAAGGTGAGGAGGGAGGAAGTGAGATATGAAGGTTTCAGGGTTCTTGTCTTCCACTCCCACCCCATAGGCTTTCTGACTGCTCTTCCTTTAAAATGAAGGAGAAGGGGCTGCAGTTCTGCTTCAAGCAGCCCCTTCCTGCTCTTGCATGTGTATTGCTGTGCAGGGTCGTGCAGTTTTGCAGCCTTTGCGGAGGTAATCAGAGAGACAGACAAACACAGAGATGCGCATGCACACATGGGCATAGCCAGGATTTTTGTTAGGGGGACAGGCCTTTTGTTGGGGGGGGGCAGAACCTCAGTTATGTGTTTTAATAGATTTTTATTGATTTTGGGGCTTCCTGCTTCCCTGGCTATGCCCATGCACGCACACACGCGCGCACACACACACACACACACACGGAGCCTGGAGACACTGGCTAAGCAGGTACACAGAAAGGTGCTGCTGGGAGCATTAAGGGGGCTAGGCTAGTCCCACTAGTTGATGGACTGCACACCGTTGCTTTCAGCCCTTAAATTTCACTGTATTTCTATGGACAAATGTCACAAGATGTTATGCATTTATTTACATACAATCTTCTGCCAAACTACCCAATTTTTATATACTAAAACAAACAAATGCAGATTTTCTCAGGCAGATTGATGGAATTTACTGGCATAGACTTTTTTTCTTCCGACTTCCCTCAGGGCAGCCCTTGAGCCGATATAAGAGGAGTAACCCTCGCAATTCTCCCAAGGCTAATTGATGGCCTCATAGAACTGTGCTGAAGTTCAATATATGAACTTCAATATATGAAGTTGAATATACAGTGGTGCCCCGCAAGACGAATGCCTCGCAAGACGAAAAACTCGCTAGACGAAAGGGTTTTGCGTTTTTTGAGTCGTTCCGCAAGACGAATTTCCCTATGGACTTGCTTCGCAAGACGAAACGTCTTGCGAGTTCTTGTGAGTTTGTTTCCTTTTTCTTAAAGCCGCTAAGCCGCTAAGCCGCTAATAGCCGCTAAGCCGCTAAGCCGCTAATAGCCGTGCTTTGCAAGACGAAAAAACCGCAAGACGAAGAGACTCGCGGAACGGATTAATTTCGTCTTGCGAGGCACCACTGTAAATTCAATTGCTAATTAAGAAGTTGGATTCAGTAATCGAGTGATGCTTAAGCTTGATTCAGTGTCAGGACAGTAAACTTGATCAGACACTCCCAGGGATTACCCCAGCCCAAAACATGCGTGCTAAAGCAGACTCTGTGTTAACGTGGAAAGAGGGAAGGAGAAAATGAAGTTCATTTTAATTTGCTGTATTCTGGAAAGTGCTGCCTCTCTTCACATCTAGTTGGAACAATTTCGTAACTTTTTCCCATTTCATCCTTTTGCTTTCTCTGCATGCCTAAATTAGTTAATTATCATATTTCACTAAACAATGACATTGATTCAAGCACTTTCTACTGGGTTTTGGAAACTTCCCTGTGTTTTTAGCCTGAAGCTGTTTTTCTGTGAAATAATCTGCATATAGTTAGCTTTCAAGATGTTCAGCAGGACATCTTAAGAAGACTTAGTTGCTGAGTAACTGTCACACAGAAGTGGGTCTTAGTATTATGTTCCAAATTACATTTCAGGCAGTATGACAAATAGCATCATAATAACTTTGACTCAGTTGTCATTAATTATAACTGAAATGTAATCACAGCTGGGATTTTGCCTAGTAATTGCAAGCTATAAAGGCAAACATTAATATGTACAGGGGAAAACATACTTTCATAAACTTAGGTAGTAAATCAAGGCAATATATCTGCATGACCTGAAAAATCCTAACAGGCTGAGGTTAAGATAGGAAAATATTTGGAACAGTTTCAAATGTTTCCTTTACAAATTTTACTGCATTGAATGCAAGATTGTGTGTTTTGTGTCATCCAGCTGCCAGTGCTCAGCTGTGGAAGTAGTCAGGAAAGGACAGGCAAGAAGTATAGATAAAATATTTAATCCCATATAGCAGAGCTCCACTGGCTGCTAGTTTGTTTCCAAGTTAGATTTAAGGTTCTGATGTTGACCTTTGAAGCCTGTGTGACCTGGGGCACATTAGAGTGAGTGCCAGTTTTTCATTACTGAGGTAGAGAAATGTTTCCAGGCCAAGGGCTCATTGCCTCATAGGCCGCTTGCCAGTGTTGGGCAGGGCCCAGTGGCGCCAACCACAGGGTGTGGAAAGAGCTTCAGCCCCCTCATTATTTGTGGGTAGGGGGCTGAGCCCTCAATATTGAGGGGGCCACTATCTTGTGTAGCCTGCTGCTGCCAGGCGGGTGTGGGGTGCACGGAGGGTGAAGATCGCCCTCCACCCCCCTGCTGTTGCCGGGTGAGAGCTTGTGCAGGGGGCGGGGTATGTGGGGGGTGAAGAGCTGTGTAGCCCACCCACTGCCACCACCAGGTGAGCACTCATGCACTGGGTGGGGGCGGGAAGCGCAGAGGGGCGCATGAGGTCATGCATATGATGACATGCGATACCGGGCCCCCTCAACGTGGGCAGCAAGTCGGTGCCCCTGGCAGGGCCAGAGGCAAAAGTGAGTCGAGCAACATACACAACTCTTGCTTGTGTGCCGTGTATTCAAGGAAGCAAGGGGGCTTGTCCCATTTCCATGACATTTCCAGCAAGGCCAAAGCATTCGGGGAGGGTCTTGAGCCAGTGAGGGGTGTGACCAGGGCAGAGGCATTGCTCGGGAAGAATCCCAGGGGCCAGGTGCAGAGGACTGGAGGGCCACATTTGGATTCTGGGCCAGAGGTTCAGTACCGGTATGTTATTGCTATATGTCAACATTGCGATCTTCTGATTGACCCCTGCTCTTTTCTTTCCCATCTCAAGTGCTGTGGTGGCCATCCAATCAGGGAAAGTACCGGTACTTTGCGGCAGTGAAATGCTCCTCTTCACAGAGCCCATGAACCTAGCTCATCCCTTTGGAGAGTAAATATTTCTGCCTTGGAGCTTTCCTTTTGTTGTGTTAATTGTAGAAATAATGGGGTTTTAATATGGTTAGTTACAAAGGGAACTTACTATAAACTTTATGGTAGTAAGCCATGTTGTGTATCTGTTGAGTGGAAAGGCAGGATTAAAAAAAATATATTATATAATTCTCCAGCAAGGAACAGGGCTTATTGAAGCCTTGGTAGCTAATCTACTTTTAGCCCAGTATGGAGGATTCTGGTGACTCTGTGGGGAGGGCACATAACCCCTGTGTAAGTGGGGAGTCACCTGTATTGTGGGGTGGGTGAAATAAATGTCTCCACAAAATACATGCAAATGAAAAACACATCAAACATGATTTAGCCGAGTCTCTTTTGCTGTTAACATCTTTGCAACTATTTGCCAGTGTCTCACACTTGGAAAAGACAGACACTAACACATCTCATTTTTCTTTTAAAAAGAGAGAGAGAGAGGAGCAAATTATACCACCCACAGTCCTAAGTAAGACTGAACTACTTTTCTATAGCCCCCTAGCCAGCAGATTTGGAGCACAGGTTTGTGTTTTCTCCCTTGTGCAAGATTTCTGTACTGCAAGATGATAAATTGCAAATGAGGTTTTTTGTGCATGTTCTGAATTATAAGTTGATGCAATGTATACCAACTTGTAGTTTGTATCAAGAACCCCTGCTTCTCTGGCATCAGTGATCATTTTCTTTTTCTCCCCCAATGCCCTGCAAATCTTGTTTTTTAGTGGGCTCATGCTAAGTCAAGCACTTTGGGGATTGGTCTGCCCAATAATTACTGTTGGAGACTTAATTGAAGTATTTTGACAGTCTGTTCTAATTATCTTCCTTCAAACCAATGCAAGTAAGGTTTATTATGGGTTCTTTAAACCTGGGATTGGTCTCTCTAGAGAGATTAATATGTTAAATATCTGAGTTTTAATTAATACAATTTCTTAGTCCCAATAAGACCTTGTTCAAATACTACAGGGGGGATTAAGGTAACCATTTCAAAATAAGTCCCTACAGAGAAAGGACATTTGTACCCTGGTTGAGCTCCCCCTTGTGGTGACGTGTTACAGGAGAGATTCATCAGATAGTCCTTGAGGAAGAAGAATCATACTGTACAAGAAAGCCAGGTGTGTGCTGCTTGAACGTTTGAACCCTGCCTGGGAAACGCTGGAAGTCAGGGTGTCAAATTCCCATCTTGGGGTTGCAGATACATGGAGCCACTTTGAATTTCCTTCCCATAGTCAAGAGTCAAGACTGATTTAAGATTTATTAGATGAGAAAAAATGGCAGTTCTACCAAATTCACTTTGGCTATGGTGATGTCTTGTTTGGTTGCTATACATATTTGGATATGCTCCATGAAATACCTGAAAAGTCTAGCAAATCCCTTTCTTGTAATTTAATACTGAATATATATATTCCCATATTTTCCCTGAGCGAGACTCAAGGCAGTTTACATATAAAAACAAGAATGGCTAAAAACAGAGAAAAATATCATTAAAACAATTAAACATTTGTTGTTGTTGTTGTTGTGTCGTTTAGTCGTGTCCGACTCTTCGTGACCCCCTGGACCAGAGCACGCCAGGCACTTCTGTCCTCCACTGCCTCCCGCAGTTTGATCAAACTCATGCTGGTAGCTTCAAGAACACCATCCAACCATCTCATCCTCTGTCGTCCCCTTCTCCTTGTGCCCTCCATCTTTCCCAACATCAGGGTCTTTTCCAGGGAGTCTTCTCTTCTCATGAGGTGGCCAAAGTCTTGGAGCCTCAGCTTCAGGATCTGTCCTTCCAGTGAGCACTCAGGGCTAATTTCCTTAAGAATGGATGCGTTTGATCTTCTTGCAGTCCATGGAACTCTCAAGAGTCTCCTCCAGCACCATAATTCAAAAGCATCAATTCTTCGGCGATCAGCCTTCTTTATGGTCCAGCTCTCACTTCCATACATCACTACTGGGAAAACCATAGCTTTTACTATACGGACCTTTGTTGGCAAGGTCATGTCTCTACTTTTTAAGATGCTAAATGCTAAACATTAATCAAATTAAAACTATGAAACTATAAATTAAAACTATAAAGCCTGTTTAAACTTTAAAACAGACAAATAATTCCCATAAAACAGCATAGCACCAGCCCTTTTATTAAAAGCAATCAATTCCCCAAAGAAGGACCTGCCAGCGGAAGGATAAAAAGTAGGGAGCCAGTCTGACTTCTCTTGGGAGAGAGTTCCAGATTCTAGGAGCAGCCACTGAGAAGGCCCTTTCCCATGTCCCTGTGAGGGTGGCAGGACTGAGAGAAGGGCCTCCCCTGAAGATCTCAAAACCCAGGTAGGTTCATTTGAAGGAACATGGTCTTTCAGATAGCTTGGGCCTAAGCATGTGGGGCTTTCTAAGTAATAGCCAACACTTTCAGGTTTCCCCAGAAACAGACAGGTAGCCAGTGATCTGTTGTAGCAAGGGAGTCATCATCTGCTCCCTATAGCCAGACCCAATCAGCAGTCTGGCTGCAGCTCTTGCAGCCCCATGTAGAGCGCGCTACAGAAAGCGCTCTCTCTCTCTCTCTCTCTCTCTCTCTCCCCCCCCCCCCCCAGTTGAAATGGTGCCACTGCAGCTCTTGTGAGAAAGAGCCATTCTCTGCATTGTTATAGCTAGGTCAATATCTTCCTAAGGTTTATGAATTGTTGCTAAATAACTTTTGGTTTTTATAGTGTGTAAATGAATAAGCAACAAAAGTTGACTGAAATGTGATTTATTTATTTTTTCAATCCATGTAGGTTTGAGGATGGGACTGTTTCTTTCCTTGATATTATTGCACTAAAGCATGGATTCGATGCCTTGGAAAGACTTACAGGTTAGTCTGCTGTCCTGACATTAAGTTCTGTGTCCATAAAACCAAGATTTGTTGGTTTTCTGGGTAAAACACGTGAGTTACAACCTGGGTTATCCATGATCAAAAGCCTTGTGAAGCTTTAATGGGGGAAATAGATAATTACTTTGAAGCCTGAAACAGTTGAATCAGTTATCGTACAACCAGCTAGATGAGCAATGGTAAAAATCTTAGCAGTGTTCATATCACCCAGTCTTCTAAAAAAATTTAAATTTTCACCCGACCCAGTACTACCAGCTGAGTGATGTTCTATCTTGGAGCATGAACGCAGAAATATACAGCTCAGTCCTATCCATATTTACTAGCGCTGCGCAACTGCTTCAGACAAATCTTGAATTCTAAACCAAATTAGCTGTTTTCAGACCAAATTGCGTCCAGCCAGCTCCAGATTGGTCCAGAGTGTGTCAGATTGGTCCAGAGCTCCCCTTCCTTATTTTCTATCTAGAAGTAGTCTTGCACTACCCAACATTCTTTCTAACTACATTGCAGGGTCAGATAGTTAAAGTTATTGAAGAACTATATAGTCAGTCTCATGAACAATTACACCTTATAGAACAGGTTAAGCTGGGTTAAGCTATTCATCTGGGAGCAAGCATTATTCAGCTCAACAGGACTTTTGAGTAGGCAGGTGTAGAATTACACTGTAATTATTCAAAGTTTCATCTCTAGGATTTGTGAACAAACTCTAGTGTTCTGCATAATGCACGGGAAGAATGTATTAAATGTATTCATAATATGTGGTATGGTGATCATAAGTTCCACCACAATGCCAGTCTTTTTCATTACTTCAGAGCACATCGTAAACGGTAAACCAGAACAGCTAAAGTAATCTTATTACAAGATTCTTACAGAATTTAGTATATTATGTTGAAGTACTGCTTCTCTCAAGAGGCCAAAACAGAGCTGACCCACCCATGAGGTGGGGTGAAGCAGCTGCCTTGGGTGGCAGAAACCTCCAAGATGGCAACTAGCCTGCCCCACTGCCTCTGTCACCCGGGAAGATCTTGCCAGAACCTGCCACCACCACCATTTTGCAACACTGCCACTCAAGGTGGGCCAAAATATTTTTACTTAAGCTATACATGGGCATGGCAGTCAAAGTGCTTTAACTTTTGTGCTATAAATTATGTACCGTATTTTTCGCTCTATAAGACGCACCAGACCAAAAGACACACCTAGTTTTTGGAGGAGAAAAACAAGAAAAAAAATATTCTGAATCTCAGAAGCCAGAACAGCAAGAGGGATCGCTGTGCAGTGAAAACAGCGATCCCTCTTGCTGTTCTGGCTTCTGGGATAGCTGCGCAGCCTGCATTCGCTCCATAAGACGCACACACATTTCCCCTTACTTTTTAGGAGGGAAAAAGTGAGTCTTATAGAGCAAAAAAAAAAAAAAAAAGGGACGCGGGTGGCGCTGTGGGTAAAACCTCAGCGCCTAGGGCTTGCCGATCGCATGGTCGGCAGTTCGAATCCCCGCGGCGGGGTGCGCTCCTGTTGCTCGGTCCCAGCGCCTGCCAACCTAGCAGTTCGAAAGCACCCCCGGGTGCAAGTAGATAAATAGGGACCGCTTACTAGCGGGAAGGTGAACAGCGTTTCTGTGTGCTGCGCTGGCTCGCCAGATGCAGCTTTGTCACACTGGACACGTGACCCGGAAGTGTCTCCGGACAGCGCTGGCCCCTGGCCTCTTAAGTGAGATGGGCGCACAACCCTAGAGTCGGACACGACTGGCCCGTACGGGCAGGGGTACCTTTACCTTTATAGAGCAAAAAATACGGTAACTGCCACAAATTCCGTTGAACTGTAATGACTGGATGAGATCTGTGGCTGAACATAAAAAAGCCCTGTCTTCATCTACTCCTGCAAAGGGAATTGTGTTTGCCCTGGGAAAAGTGGGGGAAAAAGATTTGGGGTGGTGGTGCTTGCAGCCCAGGATAAAGAATAAAGATAAGGGCAACTGCCAAAAGAAAAACGGACATTATTTATGTATGCAATGACAGCGGCAAGAATTCTGATAGCACAGAACTGGAAGACTGGAGAAATACCATCAAAGGAACAGTGGCAAGAGAAGCTGATGAACTATGCAGAGTTGGCAAAGTTAACAGATAAACTGCGTAAAAAAGACAATAGTGACTTTGAAAAAGAGTGGGAACCTTTTACATCATATTTGCAGAAACAACAACAACAACAAAAATTAGAGTCATTGGCAGGATTTAAATAAACATTTGCAATTTTATTTATAAAAAACAAGAAGCCTAATAGTATGACAATAGAGAAGTATATATAAACAGCAGAATGTAATATGAGATGGAATAAGCCAGGGATGGAAGTTGAGGGAAGTCAGCAGGGAAGGGGGAAATTGAAATTTGAATGTAATGTAATGATTACAGATATTGTTAAAATAAAATAAAAAACCAATAAAAATGATAAAAAAGATAAGGGCTAGAGACCCTGGTCTTAGACTAAGGAACCACAGCTCCCCGTCAGCTTCTTTCTTTTAAAAATTATTGTCTGGCTTTTTGCTTAATGAAAATGCACACACAACCATTTAAAGCACAGAGTTGTCTTATCGGCAGCAAATGTTTAAAGGAGTTGTGTTTTGCTCGAGAAGCTCTTAAGCTAAATGGACTTAATTAACTAAATGTAATCACTGACCATTTATTTATTTGATTGATGAACATATGACTGAACCAAGTTGAGTTTGGGCAATTTAATTAAGGTTTTGAGCCTAGCTGATGGATGAATTTTGGTTCTTTAAATTGGGTAAATAAAACAACATATCTCATTTGAATTTTATACAATAGTGTTAATGAATCAGATCTTTCAGCAACTGATTTTTCAGTATGATGAACAGAGTTTATGAGTTTGTATATTGATCAGGTCATATTTAAAGATTTATGTTTAGTTAACAAAATTGAGTTTGCCCACAAACATGGCTATGGGTCTGAATAGGCCTTGGACACCTTCACCGGGAGAAGGACATGGGGAGTGCAACCCTGTCGGTGGCTTTGGATACCATAGACCAGGATGGTCCAACCTCCCAAACCACGTGGGCCACAAGAGTACTTCAGTACAGAACCTGTTGGCCGCACCCTGCCTTGTTGTCTGGCAGGGTGGGGGGAGCCAGGACAAAATGTGATGCCCCCTCCAACCTTTGTGCTGCCTTCCCAAAGCTGTGTAAGCAAGGAGGTGGGCTTTGGGAAGGCAGCCCAAGTGCAGCCCAAATGTTTCCGGGGGCTGCCAAAAAAGGCCCTCAGGCCATGCATTGGACCACACTGCCGTAGACCATGGTATTCTCCTGAGCTGACTTGTGAGAATGGGTCTGAGAGAGACTATTTTGCAGTGATGTCTGTTTTGGGGGTGAAGTCAAACCGTTGGAAAGTTACAGCACCTGCTGTGGCTGTAGAGACTGATATGGGAGAGTCATGTTTTGTTGCATCTGGGGAAGATGAAGGCATCCGGTAAATAAATAATATACTTTGTGCCTTGCAGTGAATCAGAATATATTCCCTTCAAATTCTGCAACACTTGTAGAACTCTGTGATCTCAACAATATAGTCAATCTGTTTGCAAATGAAATACATTCTCAAATATGAATGGATTTACTTACAACTGCTGTGGGGTTTGTTTGATGAAGTTAAAACACAGCAGCTCAGCAATGCTATGCAGGTAAAATTCATTTTCCTGTGGATGCCTATTTAAATACTACTTTTTAAAAAAAGATATGTGTAGTATCCTAGCAGGGATTATTTTGTTTGTAGTATGTACAGTTCCTCAGCTGACTTGATTCAATCCTTTCTTCAGTGCAGAAACATTAAGATAATTTCAGAAGGACCATATTAAAGCGAATGAAAGTTTGCATATTTTGTGAAATGCTACTTATTCAGAAACTCCAGATTAAATGGCACTAATCATAAATATCAGATATAGAAAATCCTTCTGAAGTCACCGTGGGGTTAAGTCAGCTGCTTTACTCAGCCACAAACTCATGAAATATGTCATAACGCCTGTTTGACAACTTCTCCTAATTACTAGAGGTATAAAGGACAGTTTCATGTTGTGGTTTGGGGACGGAACTGGGAAGTGAATTTAAAGTTCACTTTGAACAGCTTTGCTGTGTGTGACAAGTTGATCAGGCCTGAGAAACACAGTCTGGGAATCTTTTATTTCCAAAAGGGAACACTAGGATAACAGAATGAACAACCAGACCTCAACCTGCAAAGTTGTTGCAAGGGAATATAAGAACAAATCACCAGACAATGAGAGTTCAGAGGTTTATTTCCAAAATATTGAAAGGAATATTATTGCCTCCTCTCCCCTGCCCTCCCCGGATCCATTTATTTTGCCATTTTGACTTTAAATGGAGCTCACAATATTTTGTGAATATTACAAGAGCCAGAGTGATGTAAGACCTGGGAGACCAGGGTTCAAATCCATTCTCAACCATTAAGCTGACTGAGTGACCTTGGGCCAGTCACTGCCTCTCAGCATAATCTACTTCGCAGGGTTGTTGTGCGGATAAAAATGGGGAGGAGGAAAAAACAATGTTTGCCACCTTGAACTTCTTGGAGGAAAGGTGGGATATAAATGTTATAAATAAATATAAAAATAAATTTTCTGTGAGAACAACAATTTTTAAAAGTGTGAACATTTACTAAGCACTGTTTGAAAATTAAAATAGTAAATCACTTGCCCCCTGAAGATCTCAATCTAATAGAAATAGTAGAAAATAAAACAGGAGTGAACATAAGCTCTGGAGTAGGATTCTTTCTGGCAGTGAGAAGAAAAGCACCTATTCTGACTCTGGTCAACTGATGCGGCAGGCTGGTTTTCCCCTGGAATCAAACCTAAGTAATCAGTAAAGAGTTCTCAGATACACAAGGACTTGCTACTTAACTTCGCCCACCCTCAAGGTGTGCAAATCACCACAAACCGTATTTCAAGTGACCAGAGTTGAATGCAAGCAGTTTATCAGGAAGTGCCATCTGAGAGGGAGACAGAACATTTTGCACCCATGTCCCTGGATCCAAAACAAGATGGTTAATTTGCTTCTCAAACTCTGTGTTTTTAAATTTCACTCACAATACATGATAGGTTGTAATGATGGGCTAGATGTAGTCAATATTACCCATAACTCTTGGGAAGATGCCTCACGTATCTCCCAAAAAATCAGTTGACCCTTACATAAAATTATCATTCTAGCTTCCCCCCTTCATCTGCAGCAATTAGACAAGAAGAAGGAACACAACATTCTGTGCTTCTTTCATGTTGTCTATAGATAATTGTAGCTTGCTGGATGTCAGCCATCTTTTGTATTGCCCCAGTGGGATTTATGAGAGTTCTCCATTGATCAATAACCAGAGAAAATCTTTGGATTGAAAAATGATCTTTTGAAAAAGCACAGATTGTACTTTGTGGCCGTTACTGTGCATACAAGGCTGACATTTGACTCTTATTGCTGCAAGCCGAAATACCTCTTTGCTTTTTTTAAAAAAAGGAGAAGCAAATTTCTAAGATACATAGCACAGGGGGAATTGGGCTGCAGCTTGTGCGGGGAGAAGGGGAACAAAAAGCCAGTAAAGACTATCCAATTATTCCTCTGCTACTTGATTCAATAAGAGGAAGAACATCTAAATGGATTTGGGAACTGAGAGCTTCTTGACTCAAGAACATGCACTGTCAAGCTGGCTCCAGCTTTTGAGGTTCCTGGGGTCACACAGTGCTGATAGCACCCCAAACACCTGCTCCCCTCGGAGCAGCACTCCTGCAGCTGCTTGCCTGCCCCCATATCTGATGAGCCCATTTTCTCCAAGCGCTGTGGGGAGGGTGGTAGGCAGTTGCGAGCAGCCTTATCCTGTAGGGACACTGCCAGGGTTGTTTTGCTGCTGTGGGCAAAATGCCCCACCCCCAAGATGCTTGCTGCCCTGCAGATCCAGGTTCCCACCCCATCCCTGTTCCTGCCATTGCATCTGCACTGGCAATGGCAACGGCACCAGACCCAGCAACGCAACTGCACCCTCGCCTACAGCTGTGCCCGTGCTGCTGCCATGGGGGGCAAGGACACAGCAGGTGCAGTGGCAGGAGTGAGGGCAATGGTGCTGTCTTTGGGGGGGGGGAGGTGAAGCCCCAGTGGGGTAGGCCACACAGTGGTGAGAGCAGGGAAGGCAGTCAGATCCACTGCCAGAGGCAAATGGCGTCCCCTCGCCTCATGCATGGGCTGCCTTTGGACATGGCAACAACTGCTACCACTCTTTGGCAAGCCCACTCATGCGTGAGCAGCTCCCAAAGAGATTGGTAGCTGCAGTAGTGCTGCTGGTGGGAGGCCCAAGGGATGGCGCCACTGGGGTGGGGCCAGGCAAAGTGTCAGCCTTGATGGGCCCTGCATGTCTGTGGACCACAGCAAATGCCCCAGTGGGCAACTGCTGATCCTGAGCCTGTGTACTGTCTATCTTCTGAACCACCCAGAGCTCTTCAGATGAAGGGTGGTACCGTATTTTTCGCTCTATAACATGCACCCGACCATAACACGCATGTAGTTTTTAGAGGAGGAAAATCCGTAGGCATGCCACCCGTAGGCATTCCCTCCATAACACGCACAGACATTTCCCCTTACTTTCTGGGAGGAAAAAAGTGAGTGTTATGGTGCAAAAAATACGGTATGTAGATGACGATGATGACACTGTGGAACTGGACAGCTGAGCTACATGTGCTTAACAGCTAAACCTGAACACCCAAAGTATTTTTCTGCCGCGAGGAGTTCACATTTATGTGTGAGTTGTGAATATTATTATTGTTGTTGTTCTTTATGTAGCACATCAATGTACATAGTTCTGTACACCAAAGGGCATGCAATCAATTGCATCTGAAAATGCTTGGTTTAGTTGACAAATTTAGTTATAATTTACTTGGGAGCCAGACTTCCCATTAATTAAATACACAAATTAAATTGGGAAACTACCTAAGCTGTCTGTTGCTGGCATATGTCCTTTTCTTCATAAGCATTAGACAAGAGATTAAATTGTAGTAGGATTTGCTGGAGTCTCAGGGTGTGATTTACTGAAATTATGGGTAGAGGAGAAATTTGTTTGGTCCACAACCTAATTAGCCAACCTAATTTGCTCATCCTGGATTTATATGTGGATCAGAACACAGCTGTCAATTGGAGTATAGTACACATGTATATGACTTTTGTGACCCACTTTAATGCACATTAATTTAATGTATTTTTCATCTTTGTTGGAATCCACCCAGAGTGGCTGGGGAAACCCAGCCAGTTGGGCAGGGTACAAATAATAAATTATTATTATTATTATTACTTTAGGTTCAAAAAGTGTGCACAAAAATGCATGTTTTATGGAAAAATACATTCAAAGATTCATACTTTAGGGAAAGAATATATATAAAATGAGAAAAATTGTAGCATTTAAATGCATTTTGAGGCAAACAGTGAGATGAAACAGAACTATGATTGAGAGTATTTGAAAGTGATTTGGAATGGAAACAGACCCACCTGTCTGCCTGTCGCCACGTGAGCGCATGAGCATTCAGACCCCTTGTTTAAAAAGTCAGTATTTCTTGTATTAGCGATCAAGGTTTCATACAATCATCTCTTCTTAACTAGAGCAAATTTTATTTTCAGATTAACATTTTTTTAATTTTTAATCTCTTTTTCAGAATAACAGTTCTGTACCTGGCCCTGCCTCCGCCCCTGTTCTTCCCTCTTCTGGGTTCGAAAGGACCTGCACATCACTGGTGGCATGTCAGTTGGACACGCCTAAAATGGCCACCACCTGTACAGCCATTTCAGTTTCATCTGAAGTCTCATTCACAGTCCTGTTTTTTAAATCAAACAAATAGCCATACACATAGAGGCAGCCTGGATTGTCTTTGTGTCAGAGTTGAGCGTTTGCTTATTCTTACCTGCATGTGAAATAACTGATGGGATAAGTAATGGGTGCGGAATACACACTTACAGGAAATGAATCTTGTATCCTGCTGGGGGCTGGAAGAGACCTCAGTAATCATTATAGTTAAGTTTAATTTTGTACATTGCATGTGTTGTTTAAAGACCAAAGGTCTCTCTTCTTCAGCACATAAATTTCAAGGGATTATGATAATGCTACTTTGCAGAAAATAGCTGAAATAACAGGCTGAACTGAACTCCAAGGGGCTACTTTATATGAATGTTGCACATGCTCTCTAGCTCTCTCTTGGATAATATATAACACTGGATGTACATAAATGAGATAAAATGACTGGGAGAGGACTGAATAAAACAACTGACATTAAAGGTCTCTGAGTAATGTTGGAGCACAGCACCTTGATAAATAAAAAAATAAAAATTGAATTCACAGAGGGAGCATTTAAGTAAAGCAGCTGTTAATTGGAACGTGCACTTTCCATGTGTGAGCTCTTGCCATGTGTGCGACCTGCACTGGCAATTAGGCACCTGGGAACTTGAGAGCCCCTTGGCATCAATGGGGCCAGTCTCTGGGGAAGCTGTCTCATTGGGCTTCAGTCTCAGGACCTGGGGCTGGGTTCAGATCTAGCTGGTTCCTCCTCTGTGTCAGAGTGCTGGCTGCTCTTCAAGATCAGGGTTGTGACAGCTGATGCAGACAAGCAAGTTCATTCTTTTTCACTGACACTTCAGGTATTCTGCACTCCTCAAGGAATGTCCCTTGTATGGAAACCTATCTATTGTCATCTGTGGACTCAGCTACATTAGTCAGAATACAGTGTTATAAATGTGTTATAACACTGTAACTCCAGATGGCACTGTAGAGCTGAATACACAACTCAATGATATTTTCAATTGTGAGATTTACAACTTTCTTTGCAGAGTGTTTTCAGAGCGATTTTTATAGCTGTGTAGATCTAGCTTGTGTCTTCAACAAAACAGGGGAAGAAGCGGGAGTGATAATCAAGGGCTGTGCTGTCATTCATCTTTGGCCATTCTAGTCCAACAAATATGATGTTTTTTTATTTTAAGGGCTCACATTAATTCCAGTTCAGATGTGCTTTCCAACAGTGATATTTTTTAATGCACTGAGAAGCAGTGAGCAGAACTCTATTTTTTTTTATTAGAGTTTAAATTTGATATTCTGTTTTTGGGAGGCAGGCAAGGGGAAAGTAAGTGGGCTCCTGGGAAGCAGGAAAGAACACATTACAGTTTCATTTCTAAGTGGAGGTTTATAATGTGATTATCAAAATGTGAATAACAATCAAAATAGTGTAGCAGTTTATTCCCAATAGGTAGATTTTTTTTTCTTTGAAATAAAATAAAATAGTAACATGCTTTTCCAGCAGGAATCTCCATTCATGCCAAGTTCTTTTCTACATTTGAGCAAAATGTATTTATATGATTCAAACATCAAACATTGGAATGATAAATAGCAGGAATAAAATCCTGTTTCAGGAAATGACTGCAATGGAAGAACAATTAAAATAAAACTGGCAAAAAGTTGAAAATATTATTTAAGCTTGAAGAAAGCATGGGCGGGGGGGAGGAACATTGCACTGGAAACAAAATGTTAAGTCAAAAAGCAACCAGTATGGGCAACAAATGTATTAAATGTATTAAAAGATTTATACAGTGAAGTATCAGCAGATATTCACATTCATGCATCTAAATTTCTTTTAAAAAAAACAAAAAACCGAGCCAGTGTCTTACACAGTGAATTACTCTGTATTATCTTCCCTGCCTACCAATTCATTTCCAGTCTCAGTTCAGTGTTAGTGTTGCCTCTAAAGCCCCGAATAGCTTAGAACCAGGATACCCAAAGGATCATTTTAAAATTGTGTGTCCACAACAGAGCCCTTTTGCATGTCTTCTGATCGTCTGCAGCACAGGAGTCATGGATGCATTAAAAAGCACATTGGGTGTGGAGATTTGTTTGCTTTCCATTTTTGCTGGCAACTGAAGACCTTGTTGTTTCGGAAAACCTCTGATTTGCCTAATGTTGCAAGTTGATTGTTTATTTTATTTTTTTGCTTTTATTGTGATGCATTGGCTCTTCCGTGAGAGTAGGAAGAGGAAATAATGATTAATTCATAAATAAAATACATTATCGCGTTCGGTTGACTAGAAATGGAGATTAGGGGTCAAACCACATTTCAGGCTGTAAAAAATAGAGGAATGCTTTTCATTCTATTTAAAAAAAAGCAAAGCTGCTACTCTTTCTGAAACACAGGTGAAGGTCATGTCCTGATCTTCCCAGCAGGGAATCACTTCACTTAAACTGGTATAAAATCAGTGTGTTTCTGCTGTGCATGCGCTCCTTTGGAGCATAATACATGATGGTGGAATAGCAGTTCCTTTCCCTCACACAAATAGATATCAAACATTTTCCAGAGAGGAGGCTGGTTGGAAAAACCTTGTGAATTAATATGAAAGCAATCAGCGCTGCCTGTGGCTGCATGCGCAACTTTGGTCTGTGAGGGGTTGTGGGCATATAAATGCTAAATGTTCCAGCGGTCTTGGAAAACTATACATGCTTATTTTACAACATTGAAATAAATACTGAAGTTGTGAAAAAGGAAGGCAGGAATTTTATTTCATGCTATTGGTAGTTTCTTTAAATGGAAGCAATTCTCAGGAGCTTAAGTGGTTCAGTTCATTTTGTATGCAAAGCTTCTTTCAGGGTATTAGAAGCATCTTCATTTCAAAGATTAGAAATGTTAAAGAAGAATGACAGATGGAATGAAGAGCAGGCGGGGTGTGTGTGTGTGTCCTGCTACAGGAACAGTGAAAGTGGTGCGAGAGCTATTTCTAGGTGCTCACAGGTTTTCTACCTAAACCTAACTCTTGAATTCTCAAGTGATGCAGTCCACACTTTTGCCACAAGGTCTATCTGTTGATTGTAGTCAGTGGTCTGCTCTGCCTCATGGGAAGATCAGTCATGGTGGACAAATGACCCTGAAAGACAGCTCAGGGAACACTACATTATTCAGTAGCGCACAGGCATATTCTGGGGCAAGAGCTCCATTCAGAATGGTAAACATTTGAGGTCCAACAGACCTCACCTGTGCCCTGTGGAAACTGGTGTGCTCTGAAGGTATTTGAATGGTATTTTGATGCTTTGAAAAATCATTTCAACAGCCACAAATGGAAAAGGAGAGGGCAGATAGCTTTATGTTTTCTTTTTCTTTTTGGATACGGCTTTCTCTTTCTGCCCTGTCCTTCATAAAGAGACAAGAGGCATGTGAAGTTGTTTGTTTCTTGAAGGAAGAGAGGCAGACCTTTGATTTATGCTTTACAATGAATTTAATACGGTTTAACTACATCTGCCCCCCTTTGACTAAGGAGTAACTAGGTGATATTTATTACCATCTTTTGATGGGATGTTGTGGGAAAAAGAACATAGTAAAGAATAACCCACAGCTGGGCTTGTTGTGTAATCCACGTAGAGGCTGAATTAAAGAAAGACTTATGTTACGATGGGTGTGTTTGCACTGGAAAAGAAGGCATCGCAAGGTGGAATCCTGTGGCTGAGATGGGTTTGGAAAGTTCGCTTTGTAAATTGTTTAGGTTGCAGTTTGAATCTGCTCTGTGTGACTGTGTTATCATCAGGATGGGATGAGACCTTAGAAATATGAGCATGACAGAGGAAGCAGCAACTGCAACAAAACACCCAACCCGGGAAAGATTTATGATCTGAACAACGAAGTGAGAAGAATGCAACACTGGAATCGGGAAATAAGAACTTAATAAAAAACTACACATGCTGTTATTGATTATAAATACTAAGGTTTAATATATATATATATAGTCCAGTAGCACCTTAGAGACCAGCTAAGTTTGTTCTTGTGTGCATGAAAGCTTAAACATGAAAGCTTATACCAAGAACAAACTTAGTTGGTCTCTAAGGTGCTACTGGACAATTTTTTTTATTTTTTTATATATTTCTACTGCGTCAGACCAACATGGCTACCTACCTGAATCAAGGTTTATATGAGGAATTTGCAGTATGCAGGATTGTAGAGGGGCAGCTGTTAAAAATATTATGGTAATTGCAAAGCGATGTCAACTAGCGACTAAATGAGAATTGACGCAGCAGTGGGGGTATATCTTGGACATATTCTGTAATGAGAGCGGGAAACTGGTTTTGGAAATTGTATTAATTTGGTTTGATTTGTAATAATTTGGAAAATCAATAAAAATAACTGGCAAAAAATGTTTTTTTAAAACCTGAGAAAGTAAAAGGAAGCCTGAAGCAAGTAATCTACTTTGATAACTCTAGAAGTGAGGCTGCTTTCTGTCACAAATTCTAAGAATGAATTTTATATCCTCCCACCTCTACTGCTAGGATTGGTAGTTTGGAGTTTTTAGAAAGCATCTTTCATTTTTCAAGTTGACCTAATCAACCATTTTGTGCCAAAATCCCAATGACTCTTTGAAGTGAATTGCATAAGAGGCTTAATATAACTGAGCTTAAATCCTGAACCTTTTGCTTTTCATCTAGCACTGCTCTTTGAATAACAAGTTGGATTTTGAAGGAGGGGAATCTTACTGTGAATCTCAGGTTATCAGTTCTTTTGCCAGGTGACTGTACTGACACACTGTGGTTCTCAGCAGTTTTAAATCAAATGTCGTAAGTGCGGGATGTGTGTGTATGAGTAAACATCAAGGAGCTGACTTTTTCATATCTTTTAGAAGTGATACATTAATAATACAGTTTTTGGAATAGTAGCAAATATTGGTTATGTGATATTTTATATGCATTACTAAGCATTTATAAAAAAAGGTTAAATTTAGAAGTTTTCATTGCTTTTGCTATCAACAGTAACTGGAAGATACAAGGTTCCCCCCCAACCCCCCCCCTAATTAAAGTCATTGATATTCTATTTATTTCATTCTGTTTGTGAATCCCTGGGAAACATCTCAAAGCAATACATAAGCTTATTTACAAAAAATAAGATGTTTTGAAATCAGATTTACAGAAAAATGTTTTCCTCTTGTGATGCCCTGGGATGATAAATCAGTTTTATACAAACAGGAAATGTTGACAAAAACCAGGAATAAAATAAAGCTGCTTTTGGCATACAGCTTTCAAGAGCGTCTTCTTGGCTTTACGGTTGTGGGAGCAATTATTTTACAACACTGAATTATATTTTACTCATGGGGAGAGTGCAGGGAATATGGAGTCTCCTTTTGATTTGGAGAACAGAATGCAGTAGTGACCAATAGAAAGCTGCATAAGCGTTGAGTGTGGACTTCCTTCAGCAGCATAAATGCTGAAAGAAGATGTCTGCTTTGTGCATCTTTGACATTGCTGAGCTCCATGGTTTGAAAGCCTTCTTTCTCCTTCGGTTCTGGAACTGCTATTGCCAGTTTTTTGTTAAATGGGTGGAGATGTGATTACCCCTAGGTACTTCGATTCGTCATTGGTTTGCTCGTCTTTTTGGATCAGATTACTACATCTAAAATCTAGTAGATCAGCTTCACTTCAGCTAGATCCCATTACCACTTTGTGTAATCTCCCCCACAAATTCTATATGTAAATACTATTAGTTGAGCAAGGACTACCAGTAATGGCTTTTCCATATAAGGTTCTTTACAATTGACTCTCAAAATACAAGTTGCTAACATCATTGAGCTGAAAGAAGGAGGAGGAATTAGCTATTCAACAAAATAAGATGGGGAATTTCCAAAAGCCATCTGTTCATTAAGATAAATACTGAAAACATATCACATGTGGTCTAAGCATGCCATCGTGAATGAGAGGATTACGCTTCGGCTGAGGAGGCAGAGAAAGAGAGGAGAGAACAAAAAGGAATTGCACACCCAATTAGAACCGGGTGAAAATGAAATGTTCCTACCATTAATTAGAGTAGATGTCTGATTTCAATGCATATCTGACCCATTTTAATATTAGTTTACCCATGTCAAGAATAAATTAGATGTGTGGCAGGTGTTGAAAAAAACCAAAACATTAGGTCCCAGAAAACTTTCAGTAGAGTGATGTACCATAAATTAATTAAATAAATAAACCTTTATTGTCACTACAGCACCTGTATGCAGTGAAATTAAACGAGCCACCCCCCCCCGCCACAACACTCAGTCTTGTTTGCGCTCTGTGTGCTTGTCATAAGTCAATTACACCACTGTTTTTTTCCATTCAGCAGCCCAACAGCCCACAGATAAAAACTGTTCTTTAACCTGTTGGTGCGGCTGACTATACATCTGTATCTCCTACCTGTAGGAGATTAAAGAGGTGCTGGCCAGGGCGTGAGTCGTCCCTAAGAATTTCCCTGGTCTCCCGCGATGTCATCTTGCAAACTCCGGGGACAGCCCATGATGTAATGTGCTGTGTTCACCACTCTCTGTTAAGGACTTCCATGCTTCGTTTGTTGTTTATAAGAATTACGCCTTGTCTATTATAATCTCTTTATTTTATTTATTTCCCATAATTCATGAGATGAAACTAAATATATAAAACTGACTACTGAAAATAATTGCTTCTGTAGTTATGAAAAATGGTGTGAAAATTCTGTCACAGGTGTTAGATCTGTGATGACTCCTCCTCACGTGAAGTCATCAGTTGATGACACTGGAGCTGCTAGATTTGCCCAGGAAACACTAAGAGTGAGTGCCTGCTGTTGTAGCTTTCATGAGAAAAATCCCGGAACAAAATGTATTTCTATGTGGCCAGGTTCTCTTATTGATATGTGAGTCTTACTTCCTAAATGTCCCTTCAAAGAATCTATTTTACTATGATGTCTGCAAAAATGGATTGAACCTTCTTTTTAATTTTTTTAATATTTATGTTGTTTATGTAAACTTAATAAACACATCTTTTAAAAACTTACATTAAATAATAATTACAATTGACTTGATTTTACGAGATCCTTTTAATGTCCCTGTAGAAATGGCTCAAAATGAAACTGGAAGTTGTTGAATTTTTCTCTCCTCTCTCCCCCTCCTCCCTGCAGGTGGAATGAAGAACATAGAACAACATACATTTGCCTTAGCTCACTACACCTATAGAATCCTCTCTACGTTGACATATCCTAATGGGGCACCTGCTGTGCATCTTTACAGTGATACAGACTTCAGCAGCCCCGAGGTCCAGGGTCCAATCATTAATTTTAATGTATTGGATGAAAATGGAGATATAGTTGGTTATTCACAGGTATGCTTTAATAATTCTCTTGTTCTCTTCTAATGCATTTTTGTGATCATTTGACCACCTTCGCTCAAAATACCTGTTCTTGCTGAATTCTTTTATTCCTTCTGAACCTCCCACATGTTGTTTTATATTAAAAATAACAAACAAGGGAAGAAATATTTTGACAAAGTGGAGGACAAGTTGTCTGAACAAATTTGTACATGGCCACCAAGAGCAGTGTTCAGTGTGGCTGCCATGTTATCTTCAAAAGTATGATGAAAACCTACCCCTTTGTCCTTTTTATGAGGTACGTCACCAGAGTCTTTTGAGTGATATTGGAAAGAGTCAAGGCCAACCTCCTCATTTTTTAAAATAAAGAATATATTGTTCAACAATGATCAAAGAATATGAATTAGCAATTCTAATGCTTTTAAGAGCCTACCCCCTCATTACATTAAATGTGATGAGTCCAGTTAAGATAATATTCATAGCCAGCCTAATGGCTTTTTTGGCCATGTTCCCAACAGCCATCTCTAAACCCCCGGGGGGAGTGTGTGTGATCATTCACTATTGATTTCCCCCCATTGATTTAGCAGTTAAGATTCCAGGCAGGCAGAAGAACTTGATGGACTGGAGGAACAGAATACAAACCAGATGATGAGGAAAAAGATTCTGCTGATGCCTCCAGTTCAGTTATTCTTTTGGCCTGTATCATCTTCACTGTTGTGCAGCGAGTATCTTAGCGCAAATTCCCAAGGCAAAGGGGTTGGATTGTGTTGTTCTGCACTACTAAAATGGATCTGATATCAGAATAGCGTTTTGTCATTACTGCCTGGCAAAGTGCATTTGCAGTGTATTTAATCAAATCCGACTGTGTGTTGAAATGATTTGTCCCCTGCAGACAGTTAACTAGGTGGAAAACTGCTATCTTGGCTCATACATATGATCAAAGGACAACCTAATGGATGCATTTAGCAACTCTTATATTCTAGAAAACCTGAAAATACTAGCATATCCTCCAACATTTCTCTGAAGAAATTAGGGATATCCTATTCTACATTAGGAAGCTTCTCCTGCATTTGTTCTTGCCACACACATATACGTAATATACACATCAACATTGGTCAAGTCAATTACAACCTCTCAGCCTAACCTACCTCACAGGATTGTTGTAAAAAAAAAAAATGTGAGGGAGGAGATTGTGTACAACACCTTCAACAGACAAATGGAGTGAAATAACATTTTAGCTGTAAGCTGTCTTGAGTCCCTGCCAGGGGAGGAAGTGGGTAATAATAATGGAAACCATGAGAATGATCAGGTACATACCTGAGAGTAAATCCTATTAGGCTCCATTTACAATAAAAGAGTAAGCACTCCATATGTTTTTTTAAAAATGGCTGGCTGCTGAAGCGTTGCGTGTCGAGGTCCCTTCCCCAAGACACCCCCCCAAGAAAAACACAATTGACACTTAATTTTTGTTTAAGGTTTTTGGCATAATTTTGGCCACATCTTTATTCAAATACAGCAATGTGAGTGGTTGCTTAGGCATTGGTAGCACTAACTGCCCCCGCACGGGGACAGCTCTGACATTCGCACCCCCCGCGAAGTCAGGAAGGGTAAGTCACCTGGAGAGAGAGACGGGACTGGGAACCATGCCTCACCTCTCCCCAGCATGCTCCCAGGGGCCTGCGTGGCCCTAGCCCCTTGCCAGGGGGTTTCGGACAAAAGCATGGGGGAGCCCCTGGGTTCCTTTAACGGTAAAACCCTTCAGCAGCAGCATTTTGGGGGGCAGGCACAGCCGAATCCATACCCCCCAGCAACCCATTCCAGACCAATGCCTAACCGCCAACTGAGCACTGAAGCTCACCGCCAAACCACTCACAAATGCAACCCTTCCTTCAATCCCAAAGCAACTGCATCCAGCCAGGTGTCGTTCCCCATAGGGGAAAGATGCACCCCATCTGCCCTAAAGAGGGCAGCAGCCTTGAAGGAAATAGCAGGGTGCAATATCACAGAACCACTGTTATTTTATTTTATTTATATATTTTATTTTATATTTTATATTTTATATTTTATTTTATTTTATTTTATTTTCCACCGCCTTATTAACATGCTTTCTGGCCTGCTCGGTGGTAGTTTGTCTAGGCATTGGTTCCGACTATCTGCACCTGACCTCAGCAGGGCAGCACTGACGACTGGGCCCCACCCTATCGTCAGTACAAGCAAACATCGTGGGGGAGCAATGAACCAGGATCAGACTCAAGCACACCCCAGGGACCCTTGCGTGGCCCTACCCCTCGAAAGGGGTCGACAAAAGCATGGCGAATCCTTGGATTCTTTAAAGGATTACCTTTGCGCATTGGAGGGGACAGGTGCTCCGACCCCCCCTCCAGACTACCTTGAACCAATGCCTTAAATTATTTTGAGTCCAGGGAGAGCTGCCATCAACTCATCCAAGTCCTCCTGCATGCAGGAACGCAAACTTATGCTGTAAGAAGACGGCAAGTCATTCTCGTCCAGCTGCACCACTAGCACTGCGGGAGGACCTGTACAGGTCACACTCGACCGCACCAAAGGAAGGAACTCCTCCCAAAGCATTCCCCATCTGTTGTTTTTTTTTTAAATAATCTTTATTGCTTTTAAAACTTACAAGAAAAGAAGAAAGAAAAAAATAGGCGAAAGAAAAAAACAAAATAGAGCAGAGAAGGAAAAAAAAGAGAAAGAAAAGAAAAAACAATACAATACAATACAATACAATAAACAATACAAAACACAACCTTAACACACTAAACAAAACAAAAGAACAACAATTTAAAAACATATATCATACCATTTCATTACTCTATCTTTCATTCCCTTATTTCATCGACCTCCTCTCACCTCCCTTTTTGTATTCCACTTCTATTACTTGTTTCAGCAATTCCTTTCCATCTTTCTCTATTTTTATCATTATGAATATCTTAACATATTTTGTACCTTATTTTCCATTAATACTGAAATACTTATTTATACCTAGCTCCTTATAACATTTCTGCTAAAGCCATAAAATTTCATTCCAACAATTTTCTAACACTCATTAAATTTACAATATTTCTATATATAAACTTTAAACTTTCTCAATCTTCTACCACCATCTCTTCTCCCTGGTCTCGGATTCTGCCAGTCATTTCCGTCCATTCCATATAGTTCATCAACCTGGAGATCTTCTGTCCGAGGCTCTTAAATCTTTTCCAAGTCCCTTCTGCAGTTTTTCTTCATATTCTTTGATGCTGAGGGTACTGAAGCGCAGGTCTTGGGGGGCCCCTGACCCAACCATGCCCCCATTCCCTCTCGACAGACCAACCAACTCTCCACAGCTAAAACCAGTGTCCATACAATATCTCAAATCATGTTTCAAGGCTCCCCCAGATCCAAAGGCTCCCACAACTCCAATCTCCTCCTGACCCAGATTCAGGACCCAAAGGTCAGTAAATCTCTGCATGAAAGAGTCTATCCGACCTTCCTTCTTCAATCCAAACAGGGCTCCAATCTTCAAATTCTGACTTTTTCTATATTCATTCATAAAAGGCCTCCACTTATAGTCCTCAGTTTGCCTCTGTAAAACTGGGGCTTCCACTTGTGTTATTTTAGGCTTAACAACACCAACATTCTCCTTCGTCTTCTCCCCAGTTTGTCCTGTCAAGGTAGGTTCCTGTGTCAAATCCTGAACAATTTCTGTATTAATGGTCACTTTTTGTTCCAAATTAGTCACTTTTTGTCCCAAGTTCTTAAGTTTAGTATTCATAGCGTCCGTCTTCTTGTGGAGCTGTTCCAACGAATAGCTTATCTTACATAATACAGTCACTAAAGCTCCTTCTGTCAACATTCTTAAAGTCCAAGGTCGATCTCTATTTCACACAGTTCTTATCTTGCAACTGGAAAAACCCCAGCTCCACTCTTGTAACTGTTTCAAAAGCTCCCTCTAGAGGGAAACAGTCTCCACTTGTATCAATCCTTTCAAACACAGTTTAAACTATAAAGATAGTTTCTTTTCCTACTTTTTAAACGCAGATGAGTACAATGGAAACAATATATTTCTCTTATTGCTAGCTGTCAAAAAACATCACTCTTTCTGGCAGCCCGTTTCCAGGTTCGGAGCAGTGGTAATTTGGTTTTTCACTCTCTCCTGCAGGTTCACTAGGTCCAAAATTTCCCCCCTCTTCTCCTGCTTCCAAGGGGGGTTTAATAGTTTTAACCGATGGAGATTTAATCCTTTACAAAAATAAACTTTCCAAGGCTTTAACTTGCAACTTCTTTGCTTCAATCTGTTTACAAAAAAGGAAGGCGGACTTCCTGTTTAGAACCTTCCCGTTTCGATGCCAAATTAATGAATTTAAGGATCTAATTTTCCGTTCTACTCACGGGTAGTTGTTTAAAATCCAATTGTCCACAGGAAAAAGTCTGCGCTTTCCGGCAACAGCGATGCGGCTTCACTCCGTGAAAGAAGCAGTCAATTCGAAGCACCGCGCCACTTACCCCACTTCGCTCCAGATCCCCAAATCAGGGTTTCCCCGCGAGTAGGGGAGGCACAAAGGGTGCCAGCCGAATCCCAGGTTCACAGGCTTCTCCCGCCTGTGATTTCAGTGGGTCTCCGCCTTCGCCGTGGCGGTCAGACCCTAATTTCCGCGGAGCAAATTCCTCCCGATCGGAGACTCCGCCATTGCCTAGAGGCGCCAACCCGGAAGTCTCCCAAAGCATTCCCCATCTGGACACCCAGTATATGTTCACTTGGGCAGGATGACTGAGATGGCGCCCCAGTCCAGACTCGTCAGCGCGCTTGCCAGCCCAGTGTACAATGCTTTATGTATTTATTTATTATTTTACTTTTTTATTTTATTTATTTTCCATCGCCTTATTAACATGCGTTCTGGCCTGCTCAACCGCCAATCTAAATGTACACAGCTGCTCCTATGAAAAAAGGAAATAACAGACAGGCATCAGCACAGACATCATTGGTGACACTTCCTGATGTAACCCTTGTCAGCATCAGACTTCCAATGACCAGTATTCACAATCCTGTCTACTGACAGGCCCCCAGTGTGCAGCCTTTGCAGCAGCCCTATTCGGAAGGAATGAGGCGTGTTCAGCGGTAGGCAAGCCGCAGACCATAATAACTGGTGCACGACGTAAGCACATTGATGCCTGGCTAACGGGAACCCATTTTCATGCACTAGGAGCAGGCCAGCCCCCAGAGGAATGAAAAGCCAAATATTTCTGGTATCCATAACTGGGCAAGGGCCCTCCTCACCTGTGAGGGGAAGCCTGATGGTGGCACTCCTGCCCACTAGGTCTGTTTTAGAGTTCCCCACTCTAATGACCAGCTCCAAAGCAGATAAGGAAAAGTCCTGAAGCAATAAGCCTCCAGACTCTCAGCCCCGTGCTGGCTCCAACACAATTTCCCCAACCCTCAGTGCACCAAAAATGCAATGGAATACTGAAAGGAGTCTCGCCTTGATCTTTAACCAGCAGAAAAGTTATAACTTGTTGCAGATACTGCATAGGTAAAAACTGACCGACTTCCTGCCCACTGTCGTATGAGGTTGGAGCCTATTCCAACCTTCCAAGGCCCTGCGCACGACAGACTTTATACAAGAGTCTCTGCAAATTAAAGCTTTACTATAACAGACATTGCAGCGGACTGAATACTGATAGTTTTAACATTGCAGCGGACTGAATACTGATAGTTTATAATCTGCAGCTGGTGGACCAAATATTGCAGGATCTGCTAGAGGATGGGGGCCAGTTCTTCTGAATGGCCGAGGACTGCCAGCTTAAGGCTAAGAAATCCATCCAGGCCTTCTCATAAGAGCTAAAAGCAGAATGGGAAACGGAAGCTGCTGCTCTCTGTAATTGACAACTAATTGTTGTCAAAGTGCCACAGGTGGTCTGGAAAAGTCTGGCAGTAGCTGAGTGTCTGGAGCCCAGGATCTGAAGCGCTCCATCTGAAAATGGGATAGAGTGTCAGCAACATCATTAGAGGATCCCGTAATCAGGAGAGCATAAAGCACAATATTAAACCTTAAGCAGCGCAGCTCGAAGCGTGAGCGGAGGGGCGGAGACTCTGCTGGAGCGTGAGGACTGTTTTGCCAAGACGCTCACCACTGCCTGGTTATCAGACCAAAAGCAGATCCGATGGTCACTGAACTCCTCGGGCCACATGTGAACTGCTACTACAATGGGGAAAACTCAAGAAAAGTTAGGTCACATGATTGCTTCACCACACCGGGCTTGAGGCCATGGCTATGCACACCAGCAGCCCCTGAAATAAAAAACCAAAGGGCAAAGATCCAGCAGCATCAGCATGAACCTGAAAATCCCTGTGCAGGTTCAAGGTATCCTGCCATGGCGAACTACTATTGCATTCATTTTGGAATTGCAACCATCGCATGAGATCTGCCTATCACCTCACTTGGTAAGCGTACACGAAGGTAAGGGGACCTCAGGCCGCAGGCAGCCTGGCCTAGCGGGAATGGAAGGGGTGGCCTGGGGCAACCACTCTGCATGCAAGATTAATTAAGTGACCCAGCAAGATCGGATCTGATGAAGCATCACTTGCCACAGAGGAAGTATTACAAAATAACTTCCTTCAAGGCAGACAGCTTCTTCCTAGGCAAGTGGTATGTTTTAGCAACGATATCCATCTGGATCCCTAAATAAAATGGGAATATGGGCAAAAGGTATTGAGCTATTGCTTGCCAGCTTCCAGCCCCCGCTTGGGCAGGGGGCATCTTGTGCTGCCATCATGATATGTAAATTTACAGGGCCGACGCTGGCCAGAACCCCTAAAGAAGTCCCGACAAAGCTGCCGCCGAGCCAGCTTCCTTTTCAGACACACACTCTGTGCAATGCAGTGCACACACTCCATGCAATGCAACTATAATCTGTGCAATGCAGCTACACACTCCGTGCAACACAACTACACACTCCGTGCAATGCAACTACACACTCTGTGCAATGCACACACAAACACTCCGTGCAATGCCAAAACACACTCCATGCAATGCAACTACACGCCGTTCAATGCAACTACACACTCCGTGCCATGCAACTACACACTCCGTGCAATGCAACTACACGCTCCGTGCAATGCAACTACACGCTCCGTGCAATGCAACTACAGTGGTGCCTTTCAAGACGAAATTAATTCGTTCTGCGAGTTTTTTCGTCTTGTGAAGCACGGTTTCATTTTTTTTCAAAAAAATTTTCAAAAACCACCTGGTAGGTCAGGCATAAATGTTACCAGTGAAATAGCAAGCTCGAGGCAGCCCACCGCCTGACCAGGTACCCCTGCTTGCCCTTTTAGAGGGAAGCACCTCCTCAAGAAACCCAAATTTCTTTTTATTTCCTTTCTTTTTTGGGGGGGGCAATGATATCACAAATGGGCCCAACTACCCAGCCACAGAATAGTCCAAAAGGAGCAGTTAGTTTTGTTTTGTTATAACAATGGCTAAGAGGGGGGAATGAACCCTGTCTCCCAGGACCTAGTCCTGTCCTCTAGCCACAAAGCCACAATTCCTCTCTAAAATAGTGGTGGCCACTATCAGGGCAAAATAAACTTGAAGAAAATAAACTTGTTCAGAAACAGCATAGTTAAAGAGCATACACAAAGTGCTCATAGTCATTGGAGGCAGAGAGACCCTGGCTCCACTCTGTCTGCCCCAAATATGCAATAGCAACTGAGCCTGCAAGCAAAAGATACATTCTTAGAGAGGGAATGAGTCACATGTCACAGAGACTTCACAATTTCCTGCTAACTGTAGCAGGCTTAGGCTTGAATGTAGGCCTCACTGCTTCTGCTCTTAAAAATCTTTGACTCATTGCAATATTAAAGGAAGCTCAAAATGGTGCTCCTGCCCAAGGCTAGATTAAAATTCGGCCAACAGCACTGCACACACCCAAAATAAAGCCACCTTTGGGGACACTAAAAACGAAAGTGATTCCAGCTAGGCTGGGAACAGCCTGACCAGCCCTACAATTAACAAACAGGCAAAATGAGGGAAACCTTTCTGCAAAAGAAAGCCCCTAATGGGGGCTCTCTCCCTATTGGGAAAGGCAAGCCAAGGAGGATGATGCACAGGCAGCGCTCACAGGTGCAGGGAGGATCTTCTCAAAGGGCAGGGTAAGGGGTGGGAAATCAAACAGGAAAAGAAAAGGGTTGGAATTAAATTAATTAAGGGACTAGAGAGGATTAAAGAGAAGGGGGAAATAAAGACAATGAGAAGATAACTACGGTCCAAGTGCTCCTGGTGATCCGAAGCATGCAGCGAAAGAGGATGTCCGTTGCTGCGTCCCTTGCATTTAACAAATAGGGCTGTCAATCACTAATTGGCAACATCTAAATTTCCCCAGTAACAGCCCGCCCCTGCTTACAGGATGGCCAAACCATTTGCCTAGTAACAGTGAGGTGTCTTGTCAGCCCCGCCCACAACCTGTGCTCTCCATGAGGAAGAACACACTTTGCGTTAAACTGACCTTTTCCTTCAAAATTATAGGAAGGATTTTATATGCCAGTTTCACCATTTCCTTCATTTGGAATTTTATTTTCACTATAAACAGGACTTTGTTTTTGCACCTACACACACAAACCACTTTTAATTGTTCTCTGAGACATGGAGAGGAGGAAAAAGGAAAAAGTAAAACCGGAGTATTCTGGGTTCAAATCAGAAATCGAGACTGAGATATCAAGTCAAAAAGAGTTTGTGAGAGAAACTGCAATGTAGGGACAAACAGTGCTTTTTTCTGGGGGGACGCAGGGGTTCGCAGACCCCTAAACATTTTGTGAATCTAAGTCTGGCCTCATTGAGGGGCTGTATTTCAATATGAGTACGAAAATACCCCTAAACATTTTTTTAGAAAAAAAGCACAGGGGACAAATATGTGTCTTCATTCCAGTCTGGTAGCTGCCATGGTGTACGTACATTGTTAAGTTATAAAATGAGGATTACATCATGATATATTTTAATGAAAAGTCTCTTTTAGGATGCAAAGGTGATATTGGGGGAAAATCTCAAGTTGCATTAGAGCGAACATGCATAAAATCTAAAGCAGCTAAATTATTAAGTAATAGAGGAAAATCTTTTGTGATTTCTCAATTGTAGCTTTAATTGATAGCAAACTGATATCTTTATCTATGTTGAGAATCTTTCTTTCTTTGCTGAACCTACAAGGTAGACAAGTTGGCTGGGCTCTACAACATACACATTCGCACAGGCTGTTTCTGTAATACTGGAGCTTGTCAGCAGCATTTGGGGATCAGCAATAATGACATCAAAAAGAACCTGCAGGTCAGTATGTGTTAACATTATGGTTCTATTTAGGTGCTCCCAAGTGAAGTCTTCAGTCTTTCACAGGCTCCAACACTGTCCAATATTCTCAAACGAAAAGGTAATGCCATCAGCTAGTTTCTGTGCATTGCAGTCCTTTTTGGAAGTGAGCCCCAGTCACTTCAGTGGAGTTTGCTCCCAAGCAAGGTGCGCACAGCGTTGCCGTCTTAAAGAATTATGAGTCAGCACTAAACTGGACACAGGTACGATACTTGCTCTGATGTATTATTAGATCTCAAACTTTGTTGTTGTTGTTTAGTCGTGTCCGACTTCTCGTGACCCAATGGACCAGAGCACGCCAGGCGGTCCTGTCTTCCACTGCCTCCCGCAGTTTGGTCAAACTCTTGTTTGTAGCTTCGAGAACACTGTCCCACCATCTCGTCCTCTGTCGTCCCCTTCTCCTTGTGCCCCCCATCTTTCCCAGCATCAGGGTCTTTTCCAGGGAGTCTTCTCTTCTCATGAGGTGGCCAAAGTCTTGGAGCCTCAGCTTCAGAATCTGTCCTTCCAGTGAGCACTCAGGGCTGATTTCCTTCAGAATGGAGAGGTTTGATCTCAAATACGTAAGAGCAAATCCTGATCACACTCTCGAAATAAACTGTGGGCCAGATTCTGCAAAAATTATTTCTGCAACAAAAATCCTTTTTTGTTATTGCGATTGTTGTAGAGCACCTGTAAATATGTACATAGAGATATGACAGTAGTTTACCTTTTTTGGGGTCCTTACAGTATTCAGTGTAATCTCTTCTCAGCCTACCTTCTTCCTCTCATATACTTTTCTTTTTTGAAAGTCCTCTGGCCATGAAATTGTACAACAGGGCTGGGGAACACTTTTCAGCCACTTTCCTTCCTGGCTAACTTTCTGGCAGTCACATGCCACTGGTGGATGGAACCACACACACAGCCACATGCTGAAGGTGGAAGTCCTGCAGGTGGGAGGATGCACAAGCCAAGGCTCCCCCAGCCTGTTTGTACAGCAAGTTCATGTGTTTATCGGGGCAATCAAAGCCTTTATCACCCTTAACTTGCTGAGTGGGTGGCGGCTTTCCTCTGTATCCTGTTGTGGAGCAAGGACAACCTTCACACATCAGCTGCTGTTTTAAGGGACTTCAAAATTTAGTAAAGCCACATGTCCTTTGCCATGTGTGCCATTTTACTTTCCTAGTTTATTTGTCAAATGCAAACAAACAGCCCTAGCGTGTTGTACATATTAGCTTAGTGAAAAGACACAGTAACTATCATGCTGTATTTTAATGGAATGAATAATGAAAACCAGAGCCCAGAGCCCAGCGGTGAAGCACAAAGTGCTTTTGCTTTGCATGAATGAAGCCCCATGTTCAGTCATTGTATCTCCAGTGGGAAATCTTGGAGATGTGCTGACAGTCAGAGTAGATAGAATGATACCCATAATCCAGACTTCATATGTGGCAGTTTCAGATGTTTATAAAACCAAGGGAGAGCAGCGATAGAGACTTGTTTGCAAAATGTATAAATAGAATATATATTTTACTATGTGCCTAAAGGCAATATATAAAGCATAAGAAGGGGAAAAACAACATCCTAAAATTAAAATAAATACTCCTTTTAAAATTGGGAACTGCGGCAGCATACTTAAAAGTAAACCTCTCCAAGTGCCTGGTGGAATGGGTCCAGTTTTACATAAACCTAAAACTCAGTAAAGGCAGATCAAGGTGGGTCTCTCAAGTAAGGTCTTTCCAAAGGTTTGGGGTTGTAAATAACCAAACTTGGCACAAGGAATAAAAATCAAGATTACTTCTCTCTCCAAAACGAAGTCTTGCGGGAGGGGGGACATTCTGTGTTTTTACAAGATCTTATTGCTGTAAAATACAGTACGTTACATTTTGATAGCGTATACAAAATGTTTATAATACCTTCTATCTCTCCCCCCCCCCAACTAGGCTGGGCACGTCTGTGGTGATGACATAGATGTAGTTGATGGACGTCCCACTGGGTCTGTGAGAATCTCATTTGGCTATATGTCTACATTTGAAGATGCACAAGCCTTTCTAAAGTTCATTATAACCACCAGACTCATTGGCTGCAACATGGTTAATATTCCATCTCCAAGACAGACTATTTCAGAATTGGTAGCGTCTCCCAGGGAGAATGGTCACACCTGTGATAACAACAGTGCAAATAAGCTGCCTCCGAACAAGAGCACTGGGGACTCTGGACTTAGTACCTCTTCCACTTCAGTGAACATGCCGGTCAGTCTACAGCCAGCCAAGAGACATTCAGAAAGAGACATGACTGAGGTTTTTGGGAACCCAGCAGAAGACATGCCAAGTGGTAGAAGGCCAGTCACTGTCACCAACATTTATCTCTACCCAATCAAATCATGTGCTGCATTTGAGGTAAATGCTTTTAGTGATATTTAAAAGATTCACATTTTTTCAGGTCTGTTGATGTTTTATATCTATACATCTCTCTATCTCTATCTCTATCTCTATCTATATCATCTATATATATCTCTATATCTACATGTATATATTGTGTGTGTGTGTGTGTGTGTATGCATACAATGGGGTGGGTGTGTATATATCTAGATCTAGATCTGCATAGATGTTTTATATGTATATGTGTGCGCGCGCATGTGCATACACACATGCAATTTTTAGCTCACAGAGGCATCCAGGGCCAGAGCCGCTTCACCTTCACGTAGACAGAGACAATGAGCCTCCTGTGCCAATTTTAGGAACACCATTAACTGGTATTAAATTGTTGGTTATTTAGTGTATGTGTATATCCATCCATCATGGGGCAGGAGAAGGACATCATTAGGATTTTCTTCTAATGCATCAAAATGCTTTTGGCCTTCTCTGTTCAGATCAGAGAGATTTTTTTTTTAATTTAAAATTGGAATAGAGGTCAGCTGAAGTAAAACTAAATGAGCATTGGCTATATCCATCTCTTCCGGCTTGGCCCATGAAATGAAAAGGGTCATTTTGGTGTCCCTGAAAGGATTGCTCCATTGGTTGGTATAATCACCAGGGAGGCTTCGGTTCATCTTAAGCTGTATTTTCCATGAATAATTGGACACCAGTTTTATCCTCATATGCATCCCAAAAACTCTTGTGTTGTGCTACAACAGTGTGTAAACAGCAGGTAAGGGTGATCGGCTAAGGCCTATGTTTCACTCAAGTAGTGAACCTGCATCTGGCCTGTACAATGTCAGGTTGGGGTACACATGAAAAAGTCTTTCCACATAGGGAAATAATTATTATATTATTATTGGTGTTTTTGTAGGAGAATTGCATCACTGAGGATAGAGTGGCTGTACTCTAGCAGAAGTCCCATCTGTGATGCTTTTGCCTATTCCATTTAGTAACTGCTCAGAGGGTCCCCTGCAACCTCTTCACTCACTTTTTGCTCCATCAAGGAGGGGTTGTGAGCTGCATAATTTGGCTCTAGAATAGGCCTTTTCACTTTTGAGGAGAAAAGGGGAAAAGAGGAAAGAACCCTCAGAGAAATCAGGACAAGAGATTTAAAGAGGGAGAATTGGAATATTTCTTCCTTAAGCCTGTTGGAGACAGTGGAGAAGGTCAGGCAAGGTGAATACCAACTGTTTGACCAACCTTGACGATGGGAAGGAGGAATTTGGAGAAACTGAGGGTTGATTGATAATGGGGAGACAGAAATGCAGGAGGGGGAAGAAAGATGGGGATCGTATGGAGGGCAAACGCAAAATCAGGGAGGTAAAGAACTCTTAGAACTCTGCAATGCAAGGGCAGTTGTAAGTCTGGAAATGGAAGACCTGAAAAAGAATAGGGTGCTTTTGGGATGACAACCTCCAAGGCTTGTTGACAAAAGTGGTAGTGGGCTTTAGGTTAATTTTAAAGTAGGGTTTGCAGTACAGCATGCTTTACTTCTCAGAGCTCTGGTAGTCAGTGAGAAAGGAGGTCCCATGTTAGCTGAAATGTGCATCAGGACCCAAACCTTTGCCCATGCCAAATGGGAATTTTGGCTGGAAACTCGCATCCAGATTTGACCAGGGCATAGACTTGTAGTGACATTCAGGAAAAATTGGTGGTTTTAGTCAAGGCACTATAATGGGTCAATTAAAATGGCCGTGGAACTGTGCTCTCTGGCAACAGGGGGAGGAGGAAGGACTCAGTAAATTTCCAGTTCTACCTGCCTACATAAAACTACAAAAACTTGGAAGCTGTCAACCATTTCACAGATACTGTGCAGCTGGAGGCTGCGCATAGAATTGTGGGTCACAAATTCTGCTGACTGGCATTCAGAGCATGAGGCAACTTCACAGCAACTAAAGTTAAACTTTTTTTTACTCATTGTCTTAAATATATGGAATGCTTAGTATCAAAATAAATATTATGCTAATATTCTGTTCTCTTGAAACAGCTCTTGTCTACTCAAGGAGTTCAGTGGTGTTAACAGTCCCATATCCTTGATGACTGTTTCTGGTGGGGCAGTTGCTGAACAGGTCCATATTTTGAATTGAGCAGGGCTGGAGAAGCTAGCAACATTGCCTCTGCTCCATGACTCACTCCCAAATATGTCAAAACACAAGACCCCCCCCCCCCATGGGCGTAGCCAGGATTTATTTTAGGGGGGGGAAGCATTGTGTTAGGCAGAACCGAGTTACTTGCAATGCAATTGGTCAGTTAAGTAGGCCCTTTGTCTCCAGTATCAACAGCACTAGTCACGGATGGCAGGATATCAAAGAAAGATCTCTTTCATTCCTGACTGTCCCTCTGTAAATAGTAGTAGAGATTATCAATTTTCTGCTTATCTTCCCAGTTTTATTGAAGTCTGAAAGAAAACACAGCCTATATTTATGTTCATACTGGAGGGAGTGGCTTAAAGAGTCTTTTGCTTGTGCCTTGGCAAGAGAGAAAGTGATTAAAGTACATAATAAACAAAGAAATAAATCAGGCAAGCAGAGGACCAATCTAGGAGGATCATTCATAGATGACAGTGTATCCCCTTGAAAACTGAATGCCATCCCCCACCCCGCCCTGCATCCCAAAGATAACAGCCCTTCTTTTGTTAGCATACTCATCCAGGGCTGAAAGAGGGCTGTCAAGAGCTCTTGGTTTTGCCAGGGTTGGTTGAAGCTGCCTCCAACTTCTAATTCAACAGCAACAGCCGCAGTAGCAGCAGCAATAGTTCAGAGATTGGACTGTAGGCATTGTTACCCCAGGGCCACTGACTGTGGCAATAGGTCTAATCTTGGGAATTTCAAGAACAGCCTCTCTGAACCGGCTTCACGTAACACATACCCATCACTACATTTTAGTGTGGGTGATTTTACAAAAATCCCCCAAAACTGCTTAGTAGAGTGCATGGAAATGAATAACTTAATCCTAAAACTTACAATAAATGTTAATTCAGTAATTAGCATGCTTGTATGCATTGACATGACATGGGCTGCAAGCAGTGATGGGCGTACAGCAATTGAGGAAACACTTGATTAACATGTTATAATTGAGAGGATGCTGATTTGCATTACAAAGAAATGTTAACATTAAAAATACATTTGCAACAAAAATACGGCATTTAAGTGTTGCGGTGCTATTTGAAAATTCTCTCTTTGAAGATTTTAATTGCTTTTCTTTTTCATAGTTAACAACATTACCACCTTGCCTGTGACACTCCCTCACCCCCACCGTTTTTTGAATAAGGCATGATGAAGTAGGTAGATGTTCTACACACTGACCTAGAATCTGACTTTCCTTTGCAATGTATTTTGCAATGCTTTAATAGATGTCAATATTATTATAGCTTCTTTTATGAAAACTTCCTACTGTGGATCACAGCCCTGCATCTGCATGAAAATTGAGGTCAAAGCCATTGAAGGCTCACCTGCATTAAAAATATATTCTGTTCAGTAATAAGTTTTTTAGTTGCCTGGGAGTTTAAAGCAAAACATAATAAGAAACATTACCAAGGCAGTCACATATTTTTCTCAAGTATAAATGACACATTACTTTTGCATGCGATGAACACAGCCCTTAATTCAGAGGTGCAATCTTGGAAAATGAAGACTCGAACTCCAGTTCAGAATTCCATTGGCAGAGCAAAGCAACTGCTGAGGGCAGAGTTATGCAAATGAAGCATATTTACATACAGGTACTGGTTCTTCTGGCAGAATTTGCAAAGTTTTCTTTTTAAAAGAAATGAAGCTGAATTCTGCAATCTGCATGAATTATTCAGGTTAATCTAATATACAAGCACCAATCACTCAATAAGGCCAGTGTTATTTGCTGTGGTAAAAGTTGTGTTTCCAATAAAGCTTACATGGGGGGGGTGTCAAAGGTCGAATTCTCTTAGGAATTCTCTCCCTCCTTCCGCTGTATCTGTCTCTCGTCTCTGCCTGTCAGAGAGTCCCAAACACCAGTCAAGTTGACCTATGGTGGGTGGGAAGAATGGTGAGGAAGGGAATCCCAGTGGGGTAACCCCCTCGTGCAGCCCATCCCAGCGGGGCTCCGTGCCAGCTCCCTTTCAGCTCCAAATTCCTCATCTATAGCCATGCCTGTACCTGCCCCATACCTCCCTTTTGTGCATGGGTAAATCTGTTTTGACTACAGTAGCAATGGGACTGGACATCAGCAATGGAGAAAACGATTCCATGAAAACACACACACATACTTATAAATGTTTAAAGCGCATGGATTTTGCATTGTAAATGCTGCAGAATGAAAAAGGTAAATTTTAAACATTAATAACTTCATCGTAACAGCAGGTTTCAGGCTATTCATATTTGCTCAAGACTACATAAATAAAAGAGTATTTAATCTCAGATGCAATAAATACTTTAGACTCACTGAGATCACTGTGCACTAGATTTTATTCTAATTTTTAAGTGCTCCCAGGTCTAAGATGAATTATAATATTGTTCTCTTTACGTTTTCCTGAATAAATCAGTCCACCTTTTTCACTACCTCATTGCCAAATAATAAAACAGTATATTCTAATGGAACTTCCTCAGGCTGTTTCAACACCCTGCCACCGTGGTGAGCTTTATCTTTCTTGTTAAAATCTGCTTGATTGGCTTGGCATCATTTTGTCTAGAAAATGCGATCTCCCTGTATGTTTGTCAGATACCATACAGGGGAGAGGGGTGGTTGTTAAAAAGAAGGAAGGAGGAAGGCAAGAACTTTTTCTGGCAGTTTTTTTGTTTTGTTTTTAGTGAATATATATGACATAGCAGTAAATGCTTTTTAGGCCTGTCTTCAAATCCAGGCAGAAGCTGCTCCAGTATCAAGTCTCTCTCCTGCCCCTCCCCCACTCCAATTTGTTTTCCTGTTTATTGAATTTATATTCTGCTGTTCCTGTCAGCATTGCCCTTGAGCCAGTGCCACCAACTGGACTCATCCACTTCAGCCCCGACTGGGCTAGGCGAGCTGGGTAGCACTTCCAGAGACCACCTTCTGCACAGGAACAGGTCAAAGTGCTGTGGACTCACAGCTTAGAGTTGTGAGCACCGGATTCACTCCAACAAGAAGACAGTCGTCGCACAGCAGAGTATAGCAGAGTCTAGCAGAGCATAAACGACTCGGAGAGCAGCTCTGTAGAATATCTTCTTTATTCTATCTACAACTATAATACAACTATATACAGAGCTAAATGAGGTCTAAGCAAAATGAATGCTGAACTGCACTGAGTGTCTGCAGCTGCTCTTAGCAGCAACCTTATCTATACACACGATCTCTAACACTCAGTCTCTCTCTCTCCGACACACTGACTGACTGACTGACTGACTGATGTTAGGCTGGAGCGGAATAAGTAGAGAGCAGAACACCGCCCCTCCTCTCTGGAAAATCACCAGACTCATCAGCAGATTCTTGGATATGGGAGGGGTGAAATCTCCTCATCCTCCCCCATTTCATCCGACCATTCAAGAATCTAAATATAACTGCAATTTGCACACACACTCCAAAAGTTGTTCTCTGCTTACAACCTTGGTAACATATCTGCAGGTATCTCTCTCCCCTTTTATCTAAGACACTTTTATCACATCATTAAACAGTCAATGCAACCACTCTGTGTCTATCAGGAAAGAGTTAAAACACAAACCTCAATCTGTAGTACACACGAAATACACATTGTGAATATACAAACGAAAAAACAGCTTCTAGAAAAATCTTCATACACGTTTCTCACTCTCAAATGCAAACTGATATTGTTAATTAGGCAGATTTGAACAAACCACTTTTTGTACTTAAACGCTTGCTCCTTCAATCCTGATCTTTTAGCGTATTACACATGAACCAATTAAGGTCAGGTAAGGAAATAAATAAAGCGTTTTGTGCTACTACTCTCAGCACACTTCATGCCTGGTTTAAAAACCCCACCAGAGTTGCTCGTGACCGCAGCCTTAGCGAACTCTTCAGAAAACCTTTTTGGTGGTACACCCTTGGTTGTCCTCTCAGATCTGCGCAAAACTCTTTGATCCTCTTGTTCTGGTGCTTCCTCCTCTTTGGGAGAATAGGGAGCTAAAGTATATGAAGCTGCTAAGTCTGAATCTGCGTCAGACTCACCTGAGGCTTTTGGGCTCTGATAATCTGTGCCACCATCCGGAACTACGTTGGCATCAGGATTATCAATCACATCAGAACTTGCCTCCCTCTTAACTGTCTTTGCCCCTTTTGCACCATCATCACAAATGGGATAATACTGAAAAACACCAACTCTGTCCCATTTTGAAAATGATATTTATTAAGGTTTCACATAAAAAGAAATACATCGATAAGAAAAGAATTTAAAAAGAAAAAGAAAAATACACAATACAAAATACAGGAAAAAAAAGAAAAAACAATTAAAAACAATTCCATCTTTTCATCACTACTTTTGAATTTACTTATTTTTTGGACCTCCTCATACCTCCCTCTTTTGTATTCCAATTCAGTTTGTTTGTCCAGAAATTCCTTTCCCTCCTTTTTAATCCCAATCCTTAATCATAATATAACATAACATTAAATTTTTATCTATTAATAGGCAATTTTCCATTCTTTTAACCTTTTTAATCCTAATCCTTAATCTTGATCTGTATATAACTTTAAAGCCTGTACAGCTAGAAACCACTTAATTTCAATCCATCATCACTCTAACATTCTTTAATTTTGCAATATTTCTGTAGATAATCTTCAAATTTCTTCCAATCTTCTTCCACCGACTCTTCTCCCTGGTCACGGATTCTGCCAGTCATTTCCGCCAATTCCATATCCATCAGTTTCATCTGCCATTCCTCCAGTGTGGGTAGCTCTTGTGTCTTCCAATACTTTGCGATGAGTATCAACTCTGTCCCATTTTGGATTGTCCTCAATACTCCTGGTCAGCCTTATGGTTTTCGTGTCTGTGATCAGGACAGGATAAGACCCTTTCTCATATCCTAGGAAAACACCATGCTCACCACGCTTGCTCAGTTTGTCACCCTGCGAGGTGTGCACCCAAACCTCCGATCCAAAATTTTTAAAGTGCTTTACACATGGCTTTCTCTTGTGAAGCATCTCATATGGGGTGCAATTTACAGCGGACTGATACCTCCTGTTATACACGTGACAGAAAAACGAAAGAGCTTCGGCCCAATAGGGATTGGGCAGCCCCGAATCATGTAACAGCATTCTGATTCCTTGCTGCAGGGTCTGGTTTATTCTCTCACATAAACCATTCTGCCAGGGTGATCTGGGCGTGGCCGTCCTATGCTCAATGCCCTGTTCAGAAAGAAAACTCTCAAACTTCTCTGAACAAAACTCTCCACCCCTGTCTGTGAAAATACAATGTACATTCTCATTATGTACATTTCTGAGCCATTTACAAAACTGGCAAAACTTGGGAAAGGCTTCAGACTTTTTCTGCAGCATATAGACCCACACATATCTGTTGGAATGAAATCACGACAGACGAGTAGCAGGTGTCATGTGAGAGGCATCTCTCGAGCAAGCCCCGAGAACTCTCTTTTATTGAATATTACAAACATTGCCACAGGTGCGCTCGTTGCTGATTGGTTGATGCAAACACAAAGCAACTTGTTGCTGATTGGTTAACACAAGTACAAGGCGAGGGTTACATATAGGCATTAATCACTAATAGATTAAAGGCTGGGAAAGGGAGCACAGAACTAGACAGGCATGAAACCTTCTAATTAAATTACAACTAATGATTGATATAGCATGACTAAAACAATTACTAATGATTGATCATAACATGAAAGAATATAATAATCGAGTTCCGTAGATGTGGTCAGCTATGCATTAAGAACAGGTCAGAGTGTTTTCATGAACTTAAGATGAACTGAGCATCCTAGGGAAATGAGGGAATGTCTTGGTATTTAGAACAGGTTGTACAGTATGTACAGAAGCAGAGAAAAGCTTAGAAGCGAGACTTCCCAGAATGCCACAGTTATGTGCAGAAAGAGAACTTCCCTTCACATATCTAGAATAGGCATCTATCAAAACCATGAAAAACCTTGAATTGCCTCTAGAGAGCGCTAGAGGCCCCACTAAGTCTGCATGAATGACTTTGTATGGTTTCTTGGCCTCTCTCCCAGACTCTGTACCTTTGGGAGCTTGCCTTGCCTTACTCTCAGCACAAGAAACACATTTCATGTGGTAGGGACATTCTTTCAACTTCATACCCTGAACCATATCAGGCATTTTTGCCACGAAGAAACTCCGCCCACATTGATTGTATGACTGTAGTTGTTCTGGAACACGTGCCCTGGTAGCATCCTGGACAGAGGCAGAAAGGACAGAGGTCATCCTGCCCTATAGGGGGGACATGTAGCGAAAATGTCACCCCAACTGCCCGCCTCCTCCATGAGGGAGGCATCAGAAGATCCAGTGTAACCCTGAGGTTTGCAGGTAGTCAGAATAATTTAGGGGGAACCCTGAGAGAACCTCCAAAACAGCCCCATAAGAACTCTTCACACAGTGGGTAGCTGAACTGTGGGATCCACTCCCACAAGAATAGATGGCCACTAACTTGGATGGCTTTTAAAAGCGACAAATTCAGGAGAGGATAAGGCTCTCAATGGCTACTAGCCATGGTGGTTGTATTCTGCCTCTGTTGCTGGAGGGAGAATGTCTCTGAATAAGTGAATCACAGGTGGAGAGAGTGCATTCAGGTTTTGCTTTTGACCAGTAGCTGGCCATCGGCCGCTGGACTAGATGGGCCATTGATCTGATTCAGCAGGGCTGATACGTTCTGAACTCACTGGTACAGGGTGTTGACTGAGAGGGTGGAAACTGGCGAGTGGGGGTGGGAGAACATAATGGAGTGCCTGGAAAAGGGAGAGGAGGAGGAGAAACACATAGTGTCAAGGCTGCCTCAGGTCTCAGCTCACAAAAGACCAACGCCAATCTCTTCTTATATTCAAAAGTGTTTATTGCAGTTCATTGTTTGCTTCATATCCGAGGCGCGCAGCCTCACGTCTGTACGCTTAGACCGTTGAAGTCCCCTCTGAGTCCGTCCCTCCCCTGCACCAGTTTAAGAGCCTTGCGCTGCTCCACCTCTTTCTCTCTTTCCTTTTCCTCAGGGTCTTCCTGCCCGCTGGGGTTTCGCCCTCCTGGATTCCCCTGACGCGCTATCCCCCGACTGCTCTTCCCCCCCTCCTGCGGGCTGTAGGACCTGGCTCTTCCTCCGGGCTCCCTGTACTTCCGCGCGCCTCTACATTTGAACTTGGCGCGCGCGCCCAACCTCTAACTTTCCTTTTGACAGTTACACTACTCCCTTCACTACTCCCCTCCCCTTCCGGGAGGGTGACTTGCTCTGACCTCCCTCCTTTCTCTGCTGCCGGAGCTGCTTCCCCTGACACACTGGAAACTCCACCCCCTTCGCTGCACTCTGGTGGGGAGGCTGGTCCTGACGCCCAGCTGCCACTTTGGGATCCTCCGCTGGCCCCCTGCTCCTGACACGTCCCCCCTGGGGCTCCTGGCCTTGACCACCGGCGCCCCTTCTGGGAATCCTCTGATTCGCTGGAAAGACTCATGGAATCTCTTGAGTCATTGTCATCCTCTTCCTCGCTGTCCTGGGATTCATCCCCATCGCTCTCCATCTCCTCCCTACCCTGTGCCTCTGTCCCTGAACCCCTGACACATAGATATCACAAGAGGGAGGAGAGAGATTGGGATATGTTGTTTCTTCATTCACTCACACAAAAAAGCTGTATTAAGATATCCTCAGGTATGGAAGTGAATGCTGCCCATAGATGTCAGTGGAGAAATCAAAGATTTTAATGTACCTGAGACTGGGCACACGTTTGTCTACCTCCCTTCTGCAAAAAAAATCAAGACAAAAAGAGAAAAACAGCATGGTGGCCATTGAGGATATCGCCTGATCAATGGGCATAGAAAGCTGACTGGCTGCCGGAATGACAATGTTCAGGGGTCCAGCTACTCCAGCAGGAATGACAGTGGAGTTGCTGGAACCCTGAACAAAAGCACTCAGTGCTTCAAGATTTTGTTGAAGGGCCCACTTCTATAACATGGTGACAATTATCCAGATACCATTAAATTATGTAATATTTATAATTTTGTCTCGTGTCCTTCAATCCTGTTTTCAATATTGTGGCTGAAAAGCCAAATCTCAGTTTTTTCTATCTATCTATCTATCTATCTATCTATCTATCTATCTATCTATCATCTATCTATTTATTATTAGCTGCCCCTCTGACTAGGTTGTTCAAGGCTGTTCCCAACAAAATATTAAAAACACAGTGAAACATCAACCATTAAAAATTTCCCTGAACAAGGCTGCCTTCCAATGTCTTTGAAAAGTCAATCAGTTGTTTATCTGTTTGCTGTCCGATGGGAGGGCGTTCCACAGGGCGGGTGCCACTACCGAGAAGGCCCTCTGCCTGGTTCCCTGTTTCCTTACTTCTCGCAGTGAGGGAACTGCTAGAAGGCCCTCAGAACTGGCTGGACAATGGGGGTGGAGACGCTCCTTCAGGCAGGTATACTGGGCTGAGGCTGTTTAGGGCTTTAAAGGTCAGCACCAACACTTTGAATTGTGCTTGGAAATGTACTGGGAGCCAATGTAGGTCTTTCAAGACCAGTGTTATGTGGTCCCGGCGGCCGCTCCCAGTCACCAGTTTGGCAGCCGCAGTCTAATTATTCCTAATAAGGGCAACAATCCAGGTAGAGTGGCCTTACTGCAGCTTCTCTTGGCCCTGCTGCCTAACATAATCAAGTGTATTCAGCCACTGGATTCTGCTGCTGGGGAAGGAGCTATGCCTTAGAACCAGAGGTTTCCAACCTTTTTGAGTCCACGGCTCCCTTAACCAGCTACATTCTTTCTGTGGCACCCCTGTGGGGCTCAGGAGCCCAGGTATGTCACCCCTTGCCTGCAGAGCCGGCAGCCCCTCGCCCTTTTTTGAACACCCTCCCTTGTGAAGGGTTCCCTCAGCCTCCTCTCCTGGAGAGTCCTCTGGGCAGCCGCTGCTGCTGCCCCTGGTCTCTGAACTTCTCCCCACAAGTCTTTGGGAGGCAGAGGCATGAGAGGGCATCAGAAGCATAGCTGTCAACTTTCCCCCTTTTTTTAAGGGAAATCCTATTCGGAATAAGGGAATTTCCCTTAAAAAAAGGAAAACGTTGACAGCTATGATCAGAAGAGGGAGGGAAGGAAAGAGGGAAAGAGGCCAGGGTTGCTCGCGGCACCCCAAGATGCCACAGCACACTGGTTGAAAACCACTGCCTTAAACTGTTCCTAACTTCCCAAATTTTACCAAGTCTTTTCCCCAAGTTATTAGTCTAAGGATAATCTCTGTTTTGTACTTGTGATATTTATTTTTATGTTGCTAATTTGTATATTGCTTTGATTATTTATGTTGATAATTTATAATTTGCTTTTCTTTGTAAGAAATAAACTCAGATCAATTTCAGTTATAAAATCAATAAAACATCATATATATTAAAACATGTATTAAAAATGCTTTCTAAATAAAAATATTCTCCCAGAATATGTTTTGGAATTTGTGGCATTCCAAATTCCTGCACAGGTTCTATCCTCCAGCAGAAAAAAGCTGGGATTGCAGTCGGAAATTGATCTTCTAGAACAGGGATGTCCAACAGGTCAATTGCGAAGCTCAACAACTTTGGCTTCCCAAAAAAAGCTCAATAACTTTGGTAGATCACTGCCAGATTTTTTTATAGTGGGAGTAGATCGCAGTCTCTTGAAAGTTGGACATGCCTGCTCTAGAACATTGGAGCCAAATTCCCCCTAGACATTCATGATTCAGAAGGACTTCTTCCCTGAACCCAGAGAAGTTTGGGATGCACCTTAGTCTATTATTCCTGTTTGCTGTTGACGGATAGTATGCTATCATATCCTTTCAGCTCTTGCAATGAGGTATTGACTATTAAAAGTCTCTATTTTAAAACCAGAAGTAAATACCTACCATTTTTAACTCGTTTGATTCTCAGGTAGTTTCAGTCATGAATAGTTTTTCCATTTCTTTGCTCAGCATCTGTGCACATCTGTAGCTTAAAGACTTCCTAAGTGAGCAGTGGTCTGTTTCCCATCAGGTGATGCGGTGGCCCATCGGAAATACAGGTTTGCTGTATGATCGTAGCTTCATGGTTGCCAATCACAATGGCGTTTGCATCACTCAAAAGCAGGAACCGAGACTGTGTCTTGTGCAGCCCTTTATTGACCTGGAGCAAAATGTGATGATCATCAGAGCAGAAGGTTGGTAGGCAAATCTTCATTATCATTTCATTGTAAGATGGTTTCAGTAAAATTTGTAATATCACAAATTACTAGTGTTTCTGACATGCGTTGCTGAGAATTTCTGGTGTTGCAAATCAAATAATAGATACCAAGTATGTTATGGTTCCAGCTGTTTGGCGTGCTTGGACAAACTATTAAGGGGTGGCTATCCTCTACTTTTTGGGGACTGATCAAGACCCAAAGCATTTTTTTTCTGGCCCCTTAACTGTTTTTTTCCACAGTGACAAAAAGAAGAGTAAGAAGTTGGCCCAGTGTTGGTTTGGGCAGATGGAAATGTGCCCCCCGTAATCAGATCAGATATTCTCCCACTGAGCTGATCTACCTGCATTATCTGAGGAGGGAGGGCACTGTGTGTATGTGTACATGAAAGAGTGGGGGGGGTTGATGGAGAAGGCTTCTTCTTATGTTCTTAACAGGCATGTGGCAGGAATTATGAATGCAACTAATCAACCGCAGCTAGCCCCCCCCTCCAACTTTGTATATTTGCTCACATGTCAGTTTGCCAGTGCAGAGGATTCTGGGGCACATTCTAGGGTACACCCCATTCCCATTGGGCCCAGTTAGGTTTATTGGGCCTTATTATCGTTGCTCTGTAGCTGTGCAGTGTAAAGAAAATTGGTATACAGTGCTACCTCAGGTTAAGAACTTAATTCGTTCCGGAGGTCCATTCTTAACCTGAAACTGTTCTTAACCTGAGGTACCACTTCAGCTAATAGCGCCTCCCACTGCTGCCGGAGCACGATGTCTGTTCTCATCCTGAAGCAAAGTTCTTAACCCGAGGTACTATTTCTGGGTTAGCAGAGTCTGTAACCTGAAGCGTCTGTAACCTGAAGCGTATGTAACCCGAGGTACCACTGTATATGTGCAAGTCATATTTAAGTGAAGCTTGTCTGTTCTTACTCATTAAATAACTCCTTTCCATCATTTTTCTGCCCCTCCCTTTCTGCAAGTAACTCAGCCTGAGATTAAGAGGCCATGTTTTGTTCATGCAACATTCCTGAGGTAGTGACTTGTCAAAGGCAACCCAAGTGGCCATCAAGGTCCCTTGGATGGCTGAGTCAGGATTTGAACTCAGATTTAAGAGGTCCAGATCTAATACTCTAATTACTGTAGCACACTGTTCCACAGCCTTTCAGCGTGTATGCAAAGAACCTTGACGTTTCTACAACATGGGAGAGGTGGGTTGTGGTTCTAACCATTTCATCGTAGGTTAGTAATGCAGTGTTTAAAAGTCAGTAGTGACATCCCTGTTAGCTTGATCAGGTTCTTCAAATCTGAGTGTAAAAATACAGTAGCAGAAAGGATGGAAAACCTTTAATATATTGAACATATATTTCACTTAGCTGCAGCAGCAGGCCTGTACTTTTCATTTTTTTAAAAAAGTATTTTTACTTTTCTAAACTCATTATTTATGTCATATATCTACATCTGAACTATGTTTGCCATCTCCTGGTGATCTTCCATTTTTACTTGGCAGGAATGCAACATTATTAATAATGCATGTCCATTTGTTTGAGCAACTGGTTCCAAATATGTTAAATCCTTTACCTGCTTTATTCTTAGTTGTTGGACAAAACATTGCTTCTTTTGGTTTCCTGTCAAGGATACTCCTATTTTTATGAATTGTATTACTGAAATAAATAGGCATTGAACCGGGTTAGTAAAATGTTAAACTTAGGACAACAAGCCCTTCATAGAAACCTTGAGTCCTGCCTTGGGTTTCATTTATTATCCTGATGCCATAAAAAGAAGCCTTTTATGATCACTCAGTTGCACAGAAGGAGACTGGAATACATCAGCGTTAATTGTACAAACAAATGTTTCTTTAGTAATTACTCTTCATTGATGGATTAAATACTATGAGAACAATTCAGCTAAAAATTGAGACACTTTTAAACCAAGTTGATTTTCAATCTCAGTGGGAGACCTAAATGTGTTAAATGAAATAAAAAAAGCTTTAAAGTGCTTTAACTTTAGTTGGATTATGCCCCATATGTTTCCCATGCTGTGTTTCAGGTTCATTGGCCACATTGTTCAATTTGGATTTACTTTCGCATCAAAAATCCAGTAAGTTTAAAAAATCTTTGGCCAAGGATCGATTTGCAATATAAAGTCTCCATCAGGAAAGACCTTCAGAGCAATTTTCTTCCTGCTTTTTTCAGAACTGAATATCTTAAAACCTTCAGATTCAATAGCATATTATATGTGTGTACATTGTTTAAAAACTTGGAGTATGTTTAAAAGATACCTGAAGTCAAGCTACTGTGTGGCAGCATGTGCAACTCAGAAAAGGAAGCCATTTTTCTCCCATCTCCATTGCATCTTTCAGGTTTTTCCCACTGGTTTGCAGGATGTGCCATAAAGGCTGCACCTGACATAGTTGTGTTTTTTTTTAATGATATTTATTAAAATTTCAAAGAATACAAGAATTACACAAAAACAAAAATACAAGAAAATACAAAATACAGAAAAAAGAATTAATAAAACCCTTATTAAGGTATAACAAAGAAATGAAAAATAAAAAGAAACATACAAAATAAAAACAGTTAAAAACACATTAATTTTCCATAGCATATCTTCCTTACACTTATTTCCCCGGACCTCCTCGTACCTCCCTTTTTTGTATTCCAGTTCAGTTTGTTAGTTCAGCAAATCCTTACCATTAAGCTTTTACCCATTTGTAAACCTTTTTCGTATCTCTTAAAGCATTACAGCTGGAAACCACTTAGTTTCTATCCAACATCCTTCTAAGATTCATTAATTTTACAATATTTCTGTAAATAGTCTTTAAATTTCTTCCAGTCTTCTTTCACCGACTCTTCTCCCTGGTCTCGGATTCTGCCAGTCATTTCTGCCAATTCCATGTAGTCAATCACCTTCATCTGCCATTCTTCCAGAGTGGGTAGATCTTGTGTCTTCCAATACTTTGCAATGAGTATTCTTGCTGCTGTTGTAGCATACATAAAAAAAGTTCTGTCCTTCTTTGGCACCAATTGGCCGACAATGCCCAGAAGAAAGGCCTCTGGTTTCTTCAGGAAGGTATATTTAAATACCTTTTTCAATTCATTATATATCATTTCCCAGAAAGCCTTAATCTTTGGGCACGTCCACCAAAGGTGAAAGAATGTACCTTCAGTTTCTTTACATTTCCAGCATTTGTTATCGGGCAAATGATAGATTTTTGCAAGCTTGACTGGGGTCATGTACCACCTGTATATCATTTTCATAATATTCTCTCTTAAGGCATTACATGCCGTAAACTTCATACCTGTGGTCCATAACTGTTCCCAGTCAGCAAACATAATATTATGTCCAACATCTTGTGCCCATTTAATCATAGCAGATTTCACCGTTTCATCCTGAGTATTCCATTTCAACAGCAAGTTATACATTCTTGACAGATTCTTAGTTTTGGGTTCTAGCAGTTCTGTTTCTAATTTTGACTTTTCCACCTGGAAGCCAATTTTCTTATCCAAATTATATGCCTCCATTATCTGATAGTAATGAAGCCAATCTCTCACTTTGTTTTTTAGTTTTTCGAAACTCTGCAATCTCAATTTATCTCCTTCTTGTTCCAAAATTTCCCAATATGTCGGCCATTTGGCCTCCATATTGAGCCTTTTCAGAGCTTTTGCTTCCATTGGTGACAGCCACCTTGGGGTTTTATTTTCCAATAAATCTTTATATCTTATCCAGACATTAAACAATGCTTTCCTGACAATATGATTTTTGAATGCTTTGTGTGCTTTGACCTTATCATACCATAAATATGCATGCCATCCAAATACATTGTTAAAACCTTCTAAATCCAAAATGTCTGTGTTTTCAAGAAGTAGCCATTCTTTCAACCAGCAAAAAGCTGCTGATTCATAGTAAAGTTTAAGGTCTGGCAGGGCAAATCCACCCCTTTCCTTTGCATCTGTTAGTATCTTAAATTTTATTCTGGGCTTCTTGCCCTGCCAGACAAATCTAGAAATATCTCTCTGCCACTTCTTAAAACAGTCCATCTTGTCCACAATTTGCAATGTCTGAAATAAAAACAACATTCTCGGCAATACATTCATTTTTATCACAGCAATGCGGCCCAACAATGAAAGTTTCAAATTTGACCAAATTTCTAAGTCTTTTTTCACTTCCGTCCAACATTTTTCATAATTATCTTTAAATAAGTTCCCATTTTTGGCTGTCATATTAATCCCAAGTATTTCACTTTCTTAACCACTGTTAAACCTGTCTCATTCTGAAACCTATCTCTTTCAATCGGTGTTAAATTTTTCTCTAAAACCTTAGTTTTTAACTTGTTCAATTTAAAACCTGCCACTTGACCAAATTCTTGAATTAATTCTAAAACCCTTTTAGTACTAGATTCTGGCTCCTGTAACGTCAATACTAAGTCATCTGCAAATGCTCTCAGTTTGTACTGTTTGGCTCCGACCTGTATACCTTTAACCAACCGGTCCCTTCTAATCATGTTTAGCAAAACCTCCAGGACCGAGATAAAAAGCAGTGGGGAGATTGGGCACCCCTGTCGTGTCCCTTTTTCTATCTTAAATTCTTTCGTGACCACATTATTTACAATTAATTTGGCCTTTTGTTCAGAATATATTGCACCTATACCATTTTCAAAACCTTGGCCTACCCCCATCCCATGTAGGTTCTTCTTCATAAAACTCCAAGAGATATTGTCAAAAGCTTTCTCCACATCCACAAATATCAAAACTGCTTTAGTGTTTATATTCACTTCTAATTTTTCCAAAATATCAATTATATTCCTCAAGTTATCAGACAAGTGTCTTCCCGGGAGAAAGCCCTGCACCTGACATAGTTGTATTGGCAAAGTGTATATTAAAAACAGGCGTGGGTGGCGCTGTGGGTTAAACCACAGAGCCTAGGACTTGCCGATCAGAAGGTCGGAGGTTCGAATCCCCGCAACGGGGTGCGCTCCCATTGCTAGGTCCCTGCTCCTGCCAACCTAGCAGTTCAAAAGCACATCAAAGTGCAAGTAGATAAATAGGTACCGCTCCGGCGGGAAGGTAAACGGCGTTTCCGTGCGCTGCTCTGGTTTGCCAGAAGCAGCTTAGTCATGCTGGCCACATGACCTGGAAGCTGTACGCCGGCTCCCTCGGCCAATAAAGCGAGATGAGCGCCTCAACCCCAGAGTCGTCCGCGACTGGACCTAATGGTCAGGGGTTCCTTTACCTTTACCTATATTAAAAACCTAAGTATAAAACAGGGGTGGTGCTGTGGTCTAAACCACTGAGCCTGTTGGGCTTGCCGATCAGAAGGTTGGCGGTTTGAATCCCCGCGACGGAGTGAGCTCCCATCTCCTGCCAACCTAGCAGTTTGAAAGCATGCCAAAAAGTGCAAGTAGATAAATAGGTACCGGTCCGGCAGGAAGGTAAATGGCGTTTCTGTGCGCTGCTCTGGTTTCGGTGTTCCATTGCGCCAGAAGCGGCTTAGTCATGCTGGCCACATGACCCGGAAAAACTGTCTGTGGACAAATGCTGGTTCCAGTCATTGTCTGCGACTGGACTTAACTGTCCTTTCCCTTTACTTTTTTAAAATATAAAACACAGCATTGGAATGAGAAAATTTTGGGAGATGGCCCTGTTGCTTTTATCCTGATATTTTCTGAGATGATGCCTCTGCTATTCACTTGAAACTAAAATCTCTTTGGGTTAATGAACTACGAGGATATGTGGCACGGAGATAGTAAAATAATTTGTTTTGCCATGTAAGATTATTTTCAATTAACCACATCCAATACCATTCACATTTTTCTCTTATCTCATAAACCGTTTCAGCATCTGCATCCCCTCAGTTCATTTTTTCCAGAAGGGAAAATTACAGCTGAGACAGAGCTGAATTTTTTTTCATTCTTTTTAACCTGAGAAGATGTCCTTGTGCATGCAGAAATGTTTTGGTGTGCTCTCATTTTGCCTAGTGAATATTTTTCGAAAACATATTTTAAAATGTCAAGTATTTGTATTTTCTTCCTTTCGAACTTCTCTTTCCCCCTCTTAAAAGAAGCCTATATTCTCATTTATTAGAGGTGACATAACTGGGATAAGACTGCTTTTCATACGCTGCAGCTATCACGGCTGCAGTAAATTTCTGCCTATTCCAATGTATGAAATACAGAGGGAATAAAGTTACTAAAAGCTAAAATTGTGCATTGGCAAGCATGCTCTGGGATCAAGGTTGCACAAAACTCTGCTATATTCTTGTTTAATGATCATTTGGAGCCACCTGCAGGCACAAAAATATATTTCTGTATTGAAGCTATAACATTTTGATCCAGCACAGATGTCATGCTAACTCCCGTAGCAAATAATAGTTTGCAGAACAAAAGCTGTCCTCAGGAATGTGTATGTCCAACCTGGCATGGTTTGATAGCCCCAGATGGCACTTGAGGAGAAGGAAGAAGCAGTAGATCGGGGGCTGGAAGACCCAGGGACAGAGAAGAGAGGTCCTTCTCTGCTGACTCCAGGGGTCTCGTCCGTTCCTCTAGAGGAGCTCAGAGCCTCACCAGGGAGGAGGGAGGCCTTTGACCAGCCAGAGGGACCAAACAGGAGGAGCTGAAGGCAGAGGGGCAGATAGTTTTGTTGTCAAGAACCATGGGTCACCTTTGCAGGTCTGTCCCCCCCCCCCATAAGCTCAACAACTTATGTATCCAGAAAATTATTTAACTTTTAGAATGTCTGCCAGTATGCTTTTTACTATGTTTTTATTTTGTTTTTAATTGTTGATGTTTTGTAATGTGTTTCTAATGTTGATAAAGGATGATGATGATAATGATAATAATAATAATAATAATAATAATAATAATAATAATAATGGCCATCACTGCCTCTTGGGGGAGCAAGTTCCATAGTTGGGCTATGCACGACATGAAGAAGGCATTTTCTTAAAAATTTGATCTAAATCTTCCAACATTCATTGGACGTCCATGAATTTTAGCATTATGAGGGCGGGGGGACTTTTCTACATACCCTGCACAATTTTTACTTACCTTTCCTCTAAAATAAAAGGTCCCATAGGCTTCATAGAGGAGTTGCTTCATCCCCTTGATCATTTTGCTTGTCCTTTTACGAATTTCTTTTCAACTATACAGCATCCTTTTTGAGAAAGTCCTTTCCCTTATGAGGGGTCTGGGTCAGTTTATTTTTTGCTTCTGAGTCTGTACCATTACTCCGCTTCAATAAAGATCACTTCCTTAACTTACAAGTACTGACATCCGCTGCTGTGTTTTGGAGCGGGAGCCAGAACACTGGATTTGTGCAACACTAAACTCCAGCAAAGAAAGAGTGGCAGAATGTACTTGCTGCCAAGGCTTCTGATTTGCAAACTGTGGTTTGCAGGGAACTAACAATCTATCTGGGACGCGGGTGGCGCTGTGGGTAAAACCTCAGTGCCTAGCTGATCGTATGGTCGGCGGTTCGAATCCCCGCGGCGGGGTGAGCTCCCGTCGTTCGGTCCCAGCTCCTGCCCACCTAGCAGTTCGAAAGCACCCCTAAGGGCAAGTAGATAAATAGGTACCGCTTTATAGCGGGAAGGTAAACAGCGTTTCCGTGTGCTGCGCTGGTGCTGGCTCGCCAGCTGCAGCTTTGTCACGCTGGCTACGTGACCCGGAGGTGTCTCCGGACGGTGCCGGCTCATGGCCTCTTGAGCGAGATGAGCGCGCAACCCTAGAGTCGGACACGACTGGCCCGTACGGGCGGGGATACCTTTACCTTTAACAATCTAGAATCAGTCCCCTATAAGCCTCAAACAGATGGTCTATACTTCTTAGTTGCACAGGTTCACCTATATGCTTACAGCCTCAATCCACCACAAAATGCATTCTCAGGTTCTAGGTGAAGAATTTTCAAGGCAAGCATTTGGTTTACGTTAGCCCATGACTTGGATCATTCTATTCAATGCTATTAAAAACGGAGGTATGAATAATGTTTCCTATAACTTTTTATGTAGCGATGGATCCCATTTCTGTATCCTTGGAAGAAGACAGTGAAAGTCTGACTCAGACCTGCCAGAGTAAAGTCTGCTCACACAGGTGAGGGGGGGGGGAGTGGACCCACAGAGCTTGTGTTGGTGGAATGAATGAATCTTTATTTGCATCAGCAAATATTGGCCATAGCAATAAAACAACAATACAATATACAGTGGTGCCCCGCAAGACGAATGCCTCGCAAGACGGAAAACCCGCTAGACGAAAGGGTTTTCCGTTTTTGAGTTGCTTCGCAGGACGAATTTCCCTATGGGCTTGCTTCGCAAGACGAAAATGTCTTGCGAGTCTTGAGATTTTTTTTCGCTTTCCCCCCCTTTTTCTAAGCCGCTAATAGCCTTTTAGCAGCTAATCCGCTAAGCCGATAAGCCTTTAAAAGCCGCTAAACCGCTAATAGCGCTAATCCGCTAAGCCGCTAATAGAGTTGCTTCGCAAGACGAAAAAACCGCTAGACGAAGACACTCGCGGAACGGATTAATTTCGTCTTGCGAGGCACCACTGTACAAAGAATAAATGAAGTGATACGTGACTTCATTTATTCACATGTAGATTGGGTACATGTACGACAAAGACATGACATTAAATAACAGTGCCTTAGAACCGTTCATGTTTAATGTTTGTGTGTCATGTTTAATGCTCATCACTGCTAAAACCACAAAGACAAAAAAATGAAACATTATTTTTAAATGTTAGTAGTTGGAGACAAGCCAGGGAGGTGTTCCTCCCTGTGGAACATCCTCTCTCAGATGTCAAGGAGATAAAGAACTACACAACTTTTAGATGGCATATGAAAGCAGCCCTGTATCGGGGATGGGTGGATTATTATTATTATTATTACTATAATAATATCCCACTCTTTCTCCGAAAAACTTCTTTGAAACATATTTAGATGGCAAGGGAGTCAAAGTTGTGCTTAAAGGAGGATAAGTATGGAGAGAAGCTCAGTAAATCTTTGCATCTGTCTTCACAGCAGAAAATAAAAGGCAGATCCTTGTATCTGAACTAACTTTCGCAGGTAAAGGTAAAGGACACCTGGACGTTCAAGTCCAGTCAAATTTGACTTTGGAGTGTGGTGCTCATCTCCACTTTCAGGCCGAGGAAGCTGGCGTTTGTCCACAGACAGCTTTCCGGGCCATGTGGCCAGCATGACTAAACCACACCTCACCAAAGAACAAATAGAAAATCTTAACACCCCGATAACGCTGCTGGAGGTTATTACAGTGGTGAAACAAGCAAAGTTAGGGAAATCGCCTGGACCTGATGGACTATCCTCGATGTACTACAAATTCTTCTACAAATAATTATAAATTATTTACAAATGTCACGGCAAATAGAACGATGACAGAAATGAATACAGTAATCTGTGAAGATCAAGTGGGTTTTTGCCATCTAGACAAATGAAAAATACCATCAGAAATATTTTGAATATAATTGAATATCTGGAAGAAAGGACGGAGAAGCAAGCAGCGCTTCTGTTTCTAGATGTGGAAAAGGCCTTTGACAATGTTTCATGGACCTTTATGACAAAGATCCTAGATGATATGGACTTTGGGCCAGCAATTTTATATTACTAAAGATTAAATGAAAATACTAACTCAGGATATAAATAACCAAACAAAGAAAGAACTGGAAAATGACTTAGGAATTAAAGTGGAAATGAAAATTAAATACTTAGGAGTATGGATTGCATCTAAAAATCTGAACTTATTCCGAGATAACTATAATAGAGTATAGACTGAAAAGACTTTCAAAAATAGGAGTGTAATTAAAATGAATGATATTTGACCAATCTCTCCCCCCCCCCCCCATCAAATGCCCAAAATTGGCTGCCATCAACCAGCAAAGAACAAACAAGTGTCAGGCTGCTGCCAGTGACTCCCACAGCCGGTTGCCCAGGAACATACAAAGACAAGGAATGTTCTTATCGTCCGCTTTTATGGGTGTTGAGAAATGCCCTCTGTCTTTGAGCTCTTTGCTCTCCTACTTTCAAGGCTCGCCAGGTTCTGGGGGGCGGGGTCTGGAATGCTTTCTAAAGACTCTGTTGCCCACCTGGTTATTCCTCTTCCTCCTCCTCTCCCTTTATTTCCCAACTTTTCCTTTCATCTGTCTCTGAGCTGTGACCTCCCTCAAACCCCTGTTATAAATCTGTACTGTCTTCCTCTTCTCTGAAAGAGTCAGGCTGGGAAGGCAGTCTCCACCATTCCTCCTCTGCCCAGTCCCTGACAACAAGTAAGGAAGTGGGAAAACTCTGGCTCTTTGGATATCTGAATCAGCCACACGTTTGGGCATAATTCTTTATGTTCAGATAATTGAATATGTTGATAATTAATGTTTTGATAGCAGGACCTGTGTGCAATGTGATCTGATCTGACTTACTTTCCTGGAATGTGAACTGATATTAAAGAAGAGAAGTAATTTGGAACTTTTTCTTAATGCAAGACAGGATCTCTATGCAGAAGCCAAGCATGGGACAGGGGCAAAGAAAGTGAGGGAAGAAGGGCACATGCTGTGGCATCAGCCCCCAGCCCCATAAACCTTGGTTTCCTGAACCAGGGGTCAGTGTCCAAACCTCACCATCATGTTACCCTGGCTAATGAAGACTTACCGTAATTTAGCCTCAATCACCCGTCTGAAATGGAAACAATAGGAAGAAACACAAGAAAACCTATAAAGCGGTTTACAGTTGTGCTATGTAAATAACAGAACATAATATTCTCGATTAACAAAATAGTTCTACCAAATGCTGTTTTTGGCTAACACTGTGTTATAGTGGGTACAGCGGGATTGTAGGTGGCTGGCATTAAAAATATCTAATTATGCATTGCTACCAGCCTGACATTAGTTTTGCATCTGAAAGGGAGCTCTGAATTCTTCCTTCCACTTTTCCCTTACAGAGTGCAGACACACGATTGTGGAGGAAGAGCGGCTGATTGGTTTTCTGCCTTTCTTGGCCGGCAGTGCCGCCTGATCAGGCAGAGTTCAGACTTCAAAAGAAATGCTAATAAGAAAGATGAAAAAGGTATACATTTTGCATGGTTGTTAGGAAATGAATATCCCAGTGCTGCAAATGTGAAGTGTCAGCATGGCTTATATGCTCTTTCATAGATGAAAATCAAAATTGCCCCAGTGATACGGGATGCACTGAAATTACAAAATGAACACACGATGGACTGACTTTTAATACCGCACTACTAATAGGGGAAACTTCTGGGTTTTATAATAAAAGGAACACCTTTGTATCCAACAACATATAGTGAGCACTCCAAACCATCACTGAAACTATATTCATACTGAATATCCTATTAAATAAAATTGTAATTAAAACAATATCTGAAAATACCTTGATATTGTGCATTTCTGTGAGAAAACCAAGGACTTGAACATTACGTCACTTTATTACGTGCTGCAGCATAGTTGAAGCTGCGTATGCCCGTGTTGGGTTAGTGCTTTGATAGAAGGCTACTGGGATCCTTACATAGGGTGCTCCAAGCTTTCCAAGAATAAGTAGGAAACAACAATATTATTACCAGTATTTTCCAAACACATTCATTGTATGTTGCAGCCCAAGAGAGAAGTAGCTCTTCTCCTTTGCATTATTCTTTCCCTCTGCTCTTAATGCGTAAGCAAAGAACTATGCACTCTTTTGAGCTATAATGGACACAGGGTGCAAGAAACCTTCCCCTTGGTTTCTGGATTTAGAGTTGGGACATGTGATGAGTCAGATGAGACGTCACATGCTGATGGAAGTGAGCCAAGTCAATTCAAATGGACCAAGTAGTGATTATGACGAGGCCAGTGGGAGGGCAGGATTGTTAAGGGTGCATAAGTTGAATAGTAAATGGGATGTGGGATGGGTAACGAGAAGAGATCAGCAAATGAACTTGGAGAGCGAGGGCTTGGAGATGCAAGCAGAGTAAGGAGGAGTTTGAGTTCATGGATGGCAGGGATAGATCATATTAGGAGTGGTGCTCAGTCATGGTGATTGCCCCAAGCAATGCTTCCATGCCTTTCAAGAGATAGAATCTTCTTGAAGCTTCTAAGGATTTAATATCTTTACCTGTTATGAATCGAGTGGGACTACACATCCCACTCACCATGTGAGAACATTTTGGCTCTGCCTGATAAGAGTTTTCAGATCCCACCATCTACTGTCAGAGGAAGCTGGAGAGATCAGATGGGGACACACGGGGATGGGGGAGCCTTTAATCCTTGCTTTTCTCTGTTTAGCAGCTGATTCGCAATAGAAGTTCGGTGGAGCAGGAAAGTGGGCTCCTCTCTCTCTCTCTCTCTCTCTCTGTGTGTGTGTGTGTGTGTGTGTGTGTGTGAGACAGAGAAAGAAAGGGAGAGATAGGAGATTTACTGCAAATTCAGTCCTCTTCAACTTTCTCTGCCTATAGGCATGGGAGCCATAAGAATTATCAAGGGACATAGCTACGCTGTTTGTTCTTGTGGGTGTCACATGTAGTCTGGCTCCAAGCCATTCAAATAGAGGCAGTCAGCTTGCACGTTGGCCCATTCATGTACAGCATTAGCACATAAGCAGTGTGCTTGCCTGGCTTCAAATTCACTGACATGCTGATGCATGAAATGACATGCATGGAACCAGGGGTTTTTTTCCCAGCTGGAGGTCACTGGAGCTCAGTTCTGGCACCTCTCAGGGGGGGCGCCATTGCCATTCTAAGAGAACAAGGGATAAGTTTGTGGTGAGCTCCAGCACCTCTTTTTCTAGAAAAATTGCACTGCATGTAACACTTGCGCAAGTAGCAACAGCACCTTTACCCCTCATCTTCACAATGTCTATTTTAGCTATAAGAGGCCTTTGATAGAGACTGGATTCCTTCCACTGTGCTCAGAATTTCTAATAACTATCCCCTTATACTGAATGTATTTCAGGAGAGACCTCTGCTGCAAGGGCCCCACTCTCTCTAGTAAACGAAGCACAATACCTCCTGATCAACAGAACAAGTATTTTGCAGCTGAGAGATAAAGTTGTGGAAAGGTAAGTGCTTCCTCACCTGAAAAGGCACATTTCCTTGTGCTGCCTCTTTTTGTCCTTTCCATGAGCAAGACTTCTTCTGGCCCAACCTCCTTAATGCTTCACTTGTACAAAGACTACTGTAGATGCACAATTATGGCAACTATTATTCTTAAGAAAAAAATAAGAATGTGGGATGAGCATCTGCTGGATCAGGCCAGGAGCTTTTCTAGTCCAGTGTCTAGTCCATTGTCCACACAGTATTCCAGGTGTGGTCTGGCCAAGGCAGAATAGAGTAGTACTAGATTTAGAGACTAGACTTCTATTGATGCATTAGCTTTTTTTGCTACAGAATCACATTGTTGACTCATGTTGCAGTCTACTAAGACTTCTAGCTCTTACATAGGTGCAGCTGGTTATTTCAGGCTGAAAGGGACAAGTGGGACTTAGAAGAACAGAAAGAACAATCCCTTCTCATGGGCTCCAGTGTTGCTGCAATTCGGGGATTTTTTAAAACGGGGAATTTTGTGACACATTTACCTAGACTTGGGAAGGTTTAAGATGGCAGCCCTCGTCTGACCATACCACCCGTAGGTGCCAACTCTCTATGGCTGAGGGGATGGAGCTGCCCCCCCAACCTTGAGGGGCCAGGCTTTGCTGTGGCAGGCTTTGCCAGGCCTTCCGCACCTGCCTGCGATGAGCCCCTTTGGGCTTTCACACGCCAGCAGCGGGCCATGAGAACTTGTTGCAGGCTGGTTGCATTACTTTCAGGCAAATGAAATGTTTAAAAAAGATATAAAGGAAAGCGGATATGCAGAAAAAGACTCAAAGTTCCAAACAGAGATAATAAATAATGAATATAAAACTCTGTCAAAAATGTATAAGATACTGTTAGAATGGTTTGCGAAAGACGAAGAGGTTAAATCGGTAATGATACAGTGGGCCAAAGACTTTGGACATAACATTCAATTTGAAGATTGGGAAAAATTATGGAAGGAAAGTTTAAAATTTACTGTATGCATGGGGTTGAAGGAAAATGTAATGAAAATGTTTTACAGATGGTATATCACTCCGGTAAAATTTGCAAAAATGTATAAAACATGTAATAAGTGTTGGAAATGTAAAGAAAAAGAGGGAACTTTCTACCACATGCGGTGAGAATGTAAGAAAGTAAAGAGTTTCTGGGAAGCAATATATAATGAATTGAAAAAAAGGTTAAAATACACTTTTGTGAAGAAACCAGAAGCTTTTCTTTTAGGGATTACAGGAAAAGATATAAGAAGAAAAGACTATAAACTTTTTCAGTATGCAGTTACGGCAGCAAGAATTCTATTGGCTCAGAAATGGAAACAAGAGGAAATACCGACGATTCAAGAATGGAGAATGAAATTGACGGACTATGTGGAACTGGACAAACTGACCGGGAAAATAAGATATGCCCGAAACCAAAAGTTCATCGAGGATTGGGGAAAATTTGCAGATTATCTGAAAAATATATGTGAGGTGCAAGCAACGCTAGTGGGGTTTCAAGAAGCACTGTAAAATTTTAAGAGGTATTGCTGAAAGTAAATAGAAAAGGAAGGGAAGACAAATGGCAATGCAAATAAAGGAATGCGTACTGAAGGGTAAAAATGGATGATTACCAGAGAAGTAATCAAAAATGGATGATTACCAGAGAACTTTTGTATTTTGTTAAAATTAGGGAAAATTTGGATAAAATTGTATGATTATATTGAAAACTAATACAAATTTATTAAAAAAAAAAAAAAGAGAACTTGTTGCAGGCACCGGGGGAGGGGGGGCAGCGCCTATGACACCACCTAAACCCACTGTAGTTGAGCAGTATTACGGCTGTCCAAAGAAGCAGCATGCAGGTATGAGAGATTACGTTCTCCCTTCTTGCTCCTGCTTTGCACCATTCTTGGGTGCTGTTGTCAGGCAGAAATAGGTGCTTCAGCTCTGCCTGTGGTTGAAACAAGAGAAATAAAGAACATGATGAGGCATTTTAAAAAGTGAAGAAGAGGTGGAAGCACAGTTCAAGAAGGACACTGACAAACTGGAACGTGTCCAGAGGAGGGCAACCAAAATGGTCAAAGGCCTGGAAACGATGCCTTATGAGGAACGGCTAAGGGAGCTGGGCATGTTTAGCCTGGAGAAGAGGAGGTTAAGGGGTGATATGATAGCCATGTTCAAATATATAAAAGGATGTCACATAGAGGAGGGAGAAAGGTTATTTTCTGCTGCTCCAGAGATGCGGACACGGAGCAATGGATCCAACTACAAGAAAGAAGATTCCACCTAAACATTAGGAAGAACTTCCTGACAGTAAGAGCTGTTCGACAGTGGAATTTGCTGCCAAGGAGTGTGGTGGAGTCTCCTTCTTTGGAGGTCTTTAAGCAGAGGCTTGACAACCATATGTCAGGAGTGCTCTGATGGTGTTTCCTGCTTGGCAGGGGGTTGGACTCGATGGTCCTTGTGGTCTCTTCCAACTCTATGATTCTATGATTCTATGAGTATGAAGTGACAGGAACCGAATTCCTTCTTGCCTCTTGGGAAGTGGGGGGAAAGAAGGAAAGGAAATTCAGAGCGGGGGGGAGGACTGCGGCAAGCTGGCGGGGCTCCCAGATGAGAAACAGCGAGAGGGGTGGCAAACTCAGTGACCGCCCCAGGCAGCATAAGCCCTAGCTACATCACTGATTGCACTTGTTCAAACTTTGTTCATGTTAGTAATTAAGGCTATGTGAAAGCTTTCGCCTTTTGAATGCAATAGAAATCTGTCTTCATTGAACTGAGAAACATGAAAGCACAAGTGTTACTGAACTCATTTGGGTTAATATTAGACCATATTGTTTCCCCCTCTGCCTCTGTGGAACAGACTAGGTGAATCACTTCCCCCGCAGGAACTCGTCCACCGCTTCCGTGCCAACATTGTAGTCAGCACAGATGAGCCGTTCGAAGAAGACCTGTGGGAGGAGATTGCAGTGGGTCCCCTGCGTTTCAAGGTACAAATGGCTGCAGCTGTTTGTTAGTGTCATGCGGCATGCTGGGAAATAGTACGCAGCAGCTTCTTGCAAGACAATGATTCAGGCAAGGATCTGGAACAGGTGTTTGGGATACAGAACAGCTTTGAGCTAGAATAGTCTGAGCAGCAGTGTATTACTTTGTGTGTACAATGACTCTCTGTTACCACAGAAGTGACCTGGCATGGCGCTGTGATGCAAGGGCAAGAAGGCAGTTGGTACTGTCAGATTTGTTGAATCCTGGGAGCCAAGACCCAAGTTTGGGGCAGGTACCCTTTGGTAAGAGAACCCCAGCAGAGATTTAACATCGCAAAACATTCAGCAACGAAAACCTGGTGTAAAGCCTTTAAAAAGTGTTCTTCCACTGAGTCCCTTAAATGTCCCCTTTTAAAAGTTCTTTGCAAATTGTCCCACTTCCCCAGCATAGACATTGACCACACATTTGGGTAAGTCATAAGATAGTTTACTTTAAAAAAACACCTCTTCAAATGTCAGATCCATGTGCTTTTCCACACAGCAGCCAGAAAAGATGCACAGGCAGTCAAGATGTTGCTTAGTTACAAAAGGTAAAAGTTAAACTATTGATAAACTATTGAAAAAATGATCTGAAACAGAAGAGGCTGGTCAAAGTCATGTGGCCGGCTGGAATGACCATCTCAAACCTCCTTACATGCTGAAGTCCTTATGGAGAGAGAAATACTGTATAGCAAAGACATGGTGACCTATTGCTGCTAAGGTGGAGGATGATGGCATAGGCTCAGCCTGGCAGGACAGTTTATTCTATTATTTTAACCCCTTCATGCACTGATTAGATTTGCATGCTAAAATTATATGAGGCTGGAACCCTACAGGACTGACCAAGAGCCCAGCCAGCAGCAGCATGATCTGCACACTGGTGTTCCTGGTTAAGATCAGAGTTTTCCCTTTCCTGCTGCCTTGTGGGATGTCTTCAGGAGAAGAAAAGGCTAAGGAGTAAACCCTACACAGATCCAGAGTGGAGTGTGTAAGGCAGATGTTGGTGCTTTGAACGCCTCCCTCAGGCAGCGCTGGTGCCAGATGTATTCCTCTGCTTTCTTTTGGACCGCATCAGCGAGGCTGAGAGGCTGAGCGTCTTGTCGTCTGGGTAACCCGGGACCTCCGTACACACAGCTCAGGCTTGTGCCCCAGGGAGGTCACGGTCAGTGCTGCAGAAACACTAAAAACAAGGCAGGAGGCTGTGTTATTTGACGTCTGCAGTCCTTATGTTAAGAGCCCCCCCCCCCCCCGATTCAATTTGGTGACTGAAGCTGAAAGCATTCTCCAGGTGGCTGCCAGCTCATGGGATTCCAGCATGGCAGCAGTAGTTACTACTAGTTCTTTTCTGAATCCCTTATCCCAGACAGAGAGGAAGCATTTGTTTCTTGTTGTGGCCCCTGCTCACCTTTGCAGGCCAAAAGTGTTTGGTGCTGGTGATATGGTCAGAATGGTTGCTGCTGACATTTGACTCCTCTAGAAGCAGATGTGTTGTGATTCCTGGCTAAGTGGGGGCTTCAAGATCTTCTCTGTGCAAATTTCAGGTTATCGGGCCATGCCACAGATGTCTGGTTATCTGCATTGATCAAAAAACTGGAGAACGGAACAAGGAATTTCTTCAGACTCTGGCTGCCACTAAAGACAAAAAAGTCAGTATACAAATCCTTTTTTTTTAAAAAAAAAGTGCCCTTTTCCCTTACAGGGAAGGCTTACAGTTAAAATAAGAACAGGTGAAAACAGAGAGAATAAAGAATAATTTAAATACAATTAAACATTAATAGAATTAATAGTAACTATGTATGTATGTATGTATGTATGTATGCATGCATGTATGTATATGTGTGTGTGTGTGTATAGAGAAACAGACAAACAGGCAGATAGAAGGTCTATTAAAAACATACAGACAATTGCAACAAAAATAGCACAGCATCAGCCCTTTCCTTAAAAGCGGTCAGTTCCCAAAAGCCTGTTGGAAGGAGAGGGTTTTCACCTGCCAGCCGAAGAACAACAAGGAGGGAGCCAGTCTAACTTCTGAAGGAGGGAGTCCCAAAGTTGTCTGGGAGCAGCCACCACCGAGAAGGCCCTCTTCCACATGCCCACCGAGTGTGCCTGTGAAGGGGGGGGGGGAATCAAGAGGAGGGCCTTCCTTGAAGATCTCAAGACCCAGGCAGATTCGTATGAGGGAATATACAAATGTGAATGAGCTGCTCAATGGAGCTTTGCTGCCACTTCCACAAAACCTTTTGGTTTTAAAAAAGGGGAGAAAGCAGAAAGCAAGGCAAGCTTTCATTTGCCTTCCTTTTTTTTTTCTTTTTTTGCCCCGTCAAACCCTGAATGATCTGTAAGTATAATAAATGTTAAGCTTAATTTTTAACAGAGCATCATGCCTCCTTTCCTGTCTACATGGGGGGGGGGGGTTCTTAAAAGTGTTTACCCAGTGATAACTATAGAAAGGCCAAATCCAGCCCACTAAAAAACAAAACAGGCCAGGAATCGTCCCACAGTACAGTAGGATGCAAGCTAACAAGCCAAAGTCTGGGTAACTTCCACAGCAAATACTACAGTGCTTCCTTGGAACCTTCGCATAAATTAAGGCTGAATTTAAGCAAGAAAAATGGAAATGGTTCTGAACATCATCTAAAATAACTTGACCATTCTTTCTGTTCATTGCACTGCTTGTAGTCAATATACTTTACAGGAATTTAGTTTAACCATCCAGAGGCATTGCAGTTGTTACTGTTCCATCTGTTGGGTATTTGATCTTACAAATGTTTCTCCCCTCAGACTAAGTTTGGAATATACCTGATGAATCATCCTGAGATGCAGGTCTCCCATCCAGATACATTGTCAGTGGGATCACCAGTGTTTGCAGCGGTGAAGAACATTATCGCATGTTGACCTTCGGCTGAAGAGCAAACTGGTGGAGGATTCCTCAGCTGAACCTGCACATGGGATGGTCTTGCAGATTATTCATATGTGTTCTCAACAGCAATATGATCCTCTCCAATATTATGAGTAAAAGGTCAATCACCTTTAAATATTCAGAAATGACATGTCACAGCTAATCAGGTGGATCAATTTTTGCAACTCTATATCATTTGATCATTTGATTTCTTTTTTCCATTCAGGTTCACGAGAGACTTGTTGCAGGGCAGTGATGCTGACTAGGAAATTTAATGTCCTCAAAATGCCACTTCACAAGTTAGATTGATAGTTAATAACCTCAAATAGTCAGCTGGTTTAAATTAAGTGTGGTGTGTGTGTGTGCAGTGTGTGGGGGGGGAGAAGAAATAGTGCTTTAGATAAGAAACAGAGATAGCTGGCTGGAAGTGAAGCACCTTGGGATTCAAAGGCTTTAACGTGGATAGCAAATTTGCTGCCTTGCTGCAGTGCCTGCTGTTAGCTTCCACTGATGCAAGTAGCACCTGCAACAAAGGACTCATCCAGACTTCTGCTTTTTTGCCAATTATTTTTATTAATTTCCCATAATCTTTAACAAATTGCCACCAAATTAATACAAGTTTAAAAGCTGATTTCCCACCCTCCCCCAAATGTCCCCTCTATTTTCCTCCCTTCTTTGCTGCTCCCAATAAAATAACTTTTACAGCTATCTTTTCAAAGTACACTCATCCCTTCTCCCTACACATTGCCTGTTCAATTACCAATTTCTGCTATGGCTTTTATACATTGTTATAACCTGTCCTCAAAATAGTCGAATAGAGTAAATCCTCTTTTATCTATCTATAATAGTCATTAATCGGTTTTGAAACATTTCCCTCTGATGCCTCTTTAGTAGCACTTTGCCTGAGAAAAACAGGTCCTGCTTCTTCCCAGACAACACACACATATTCCTCCCTAACATGGCCTTGAACATTGCTGTCTCACATCTGGCCCCTGTAATAAACAGAGTGAAAATGAACCCCCTAGAATTTTTTTTGTATAAATATATAATATACATTCCCTCTCTCTCACTGCCAATCTCCCAGCCTCCCCCATACCTTGCATGTCTCCAGTTTTAATCCTCAATTTTACATACAATCAGCTCATAATTAATTAATTAATTAACATAATCCAAATCTCTTCTTATTTCCAACTTCAAGCTTTGGGGCTGATGTAATCCCACTTTCTGTTTTTTACCCAGCTTTTGGTCGCTCACCCAGCAGCTGGGCTTTAGCACCAAATATAAGCCTGAATGGACGGGAAATTGGCCTGGTTTGTGAGCATCTAAAAAAGCATGTGTTAATTGTGAGGAGGTGCCATGAGTTTATCCAGAATAGATCATTCCAAACCAACCTTATCTCCTTTTTTGATACCTTTACTACTTTAGTCCTGTGCCATTTCTTTCCTATCTCTGTCTTTCTTGACCTTCATGCACAAACTGGCCCGTTTTGCTCTTCTTGCTCATGGCAAGGCTTCACCACCACAAACATAAAACAGTACAAGATTGTGTCTTTGCAGCCCAAGCCTACAATCTCTGCAATCCAGTGCTTGCTAGTTCCACTACATTCAGTGAGGCTTGATCCCTGCTTAGTTTGCATAGGAGTGCAGCCTGCATAGCAGTGTAGAAAGTTAATTACCTAATTTGTGGACTGGCACCAGATTTCCCCTTGTTGTGCATAAAGATTGGTTGTGACACTTCACTTGAGTGGCACATTTGACCAGGGTCAGCCCACTGGCAAGGCAAGGTGAGCCAACCACCACAGGCATCAAGAACACACACACACACACACACACACACACACACACACCGTGATTTCTGAAGTAGATCTTCACTGAGTCCTTCTTCACTAGTGGGGATGGAAATGCCGTTTTGTGGTTCACCTCAGGTGCCAAAATGTCTCGGGTCAGCCCAGAATCTGACCCAATGGAACAGTGAAATGAAATGGAGAGATTTACATGGCTACAGCCTAGATGGAATGCTGAAAAAATGCCAAGTGGTAAATTGAGCCACACTTTTTATTCAAGTGAATAACTGTATTTGTGCACTGTCTACTTAAAGAAAATAATTTTGCTGTACATCAATCCTGACAATAAATGCTTTGCAGATATTATCCAAATATTTTTGAAGCTAAATTATTTGTCTGATATTTGAGATCTATATTTGATATCATGGGATACTTGATTCCAATATTTTATATTTAATAATATTTAATAATATTTGATATGACATATGATATATTAATATCTGAAAGCATTTTATGGAAGACATGAAATAGACATGAAATAGGACTGTAATTTTTTGTAATATCAGCCAAAACAATCAAGAGAATGTAAACAAATCCAAAGAACTCAATTTGGAGGGGAAATGTCTCTCGGGACAAACTATTCTGTGTTAGAATTTGCATTCATCTTTCTGAAAAGCAGATTGAAAATATTTGCCAAATTTCAAATATTAGAAAATATTTGTTTCAGCTAAAATATATTATTTGTTTTTCTATGAGCTCATTTAATTAAACTGACATCTCTTATACTTTTTGCCGAGTGGTTTGTCTCTCTGTTCTCTATTGGGGGCCTTTGAGATATTGTCACCCAATCTGTGAACACAAAGCAGTTGGTTTTCCTCTGTGACAAGGTTTTGGATTGAGATGGTGGACTGAACTGCTCCAGACTGCCCATTTGGACATCTTTGGATATACCACTGCCCCTTGGGCATGGTGGTTCCTGAGACGGGAGGGCAAGCAGACCTGACATGGCAGCTGAGTGCACAGAGGAGCAGCTTGGGAGCCACCCGCCAAAGGCGCAGGCTTGCCGGCTGCAGGACTCTTCCTCACAGGGAACACACCGATGAAGCAGTACCCTGCAGGACTGCCCCTCCTGCTTTCTGAAGTGTTGTCAGGAGGGCAGGAAATAAGATATTTGCAGGAAGGTTCCTGAGATCAAGGAACAGGTTTTCATCTGTTCCATTGGTTTAAGTCCTCCCTTCCAGAGCAGACAAACACAAGCATGTTCCATCTTCCATGTGACAGCTGTTTAGATATTTGAAGATGGCTATCATATCTCCTCTCAGTTGCTCCCACAATTACTCCTCCTAAGGCTTGGTTTCCACACCCTTGATCATTTTGGTTGCTCTCTGCACACACTCCAGCTTGTCAACATCCTTCTTAAATTGTTGTGCCCAGAATCAGACACAGTATTCCAGGTATGGGCTATCCAAGGCAGAATAGAGTGGGACTATTACTTCCCTTGATCTGGACATTATACTTCTGTTGATGCAGCCTAGATTAGCATTAGCATTTTTTGCTGCTGCATCACACTTGGCTCATATTAAGCTTGTGGTCCACCAAGACCCCCAGATCCCTTTCACATGTACTGCTAGTAAGCCAAGTATTCCCCATCCTATATTTGTGCATCTGGTTCTTCCTGCCTAGGTGCAGAACCTGACATTTGTCCCTATTGAAATTCACTTGTTCCAGTTCTCCAATCTGTTAAGGTCATTCTGAATTCTGATTCTGTCTTCTGCAGCATTAGCTCCCCCTCCCAGTTTGGTGTCACCTGCAAATTGGATGAGCATCCCCTCAATTCCTTCATCCAGGTCATTTATAAAGATGTTGAGCAACAATGGGCCCAAGACAGAACCCTGTGGCATCCCAAGATGACAAGGAACCATGAATGAGTACTCTTTGGGTTCGGTCAAAGCCACTGAACTGTTCATTTTACCAGCTTCCTTGCAAGAATATCATGGGAGATTTTTCTCAAAAGCCTTACTGAAATCAGTATATGCTATGTCCACAACATTCCCCTGATCCACCAAGCTTGTAACTTCATCAAAAAATGAAATGAGGTTTGTTGGGCAAGACTTATTTTTCTAAGTGCTCACAGACCAGCTGTTGAATAATCTGTTCTACGGCCTTTCCTGGTACAGTGGTACCTCGAGTTAAATACTTAATTCGTTCTGGAGGTCCATTCTTAACCTGAAACTGTTCTTAACCGGAAGCACCACTTTAGCTAATGGGGCCTCCTGCTGTCGCTGCGCCGCCGGAGCACAATTTCTGTTCTCATTCCGAAGCAAAGTTCTTAACCCGAGGTACTATTTCTGGGTTAGCGGAGTCTGTAACCTGAAGCGTATGTAACCCGAGGCACCACTGTATTGATGTCAAGCTCACCGGTATCTGATGATTGTGTTGTTTTGGTACTAATGGTTAGATCCAGCTGCTAGCTGTGTGTTTCATGGGACACCTTCTGTGACATCACAATGTGGCTGTCAAATGACCTGCTCTAGTCTTTCTTTAGTGGTTTGGCCAGATGCACCATATTTCCCTCCTTTGGACTCTCCCATCTGATATTTCCATGAATCTTTGTGATTCTGCCAGGCTACTGTCTCGTACCATCTTTTCTCTCACCTCTTTCCCAATTTGAAGCGTAAAAAATCACTGCTCCAGGAACCTACAATATTCTGAGAAGTGGCTTCTTACTGGAAACATCCAAAGCACGAAACAACCATTTCTATTGGTATGATCTGGGTTGCACCAAGAAGGCCTTGGGTGTGAGAGAGACAAATATTTCACAGAGGATGGCCTGAGAGATAAGAGTGTGGGGTTGACCTTTTGAAATATTTAAATATTATCCTCTGTGAAGGAAATGCTTTCATTTTTTGTGTTTTAACTCCAACCCCCAGACCTTTGTGGGCAAAAGACACTGCGATACACTTTCTGTTGCAAAATTTACACAGAAGTAGACCTACAGCTTATTGCTTCTAGGGCACTGACACCTGCACAGTTTGGGCTGAAATAAAATAACAAGAAAACCCAACTCTACAATTCACCAGATGCTTTCCAGGTTACAACAATGTGAAATAAAGCATTAAAAATTACGGTCACAACCTGAGTGGGTCTATATGCTTTCCTCACATGAAGTTGAATGAAATTGTCAGATGCACTGCCTGGGGAGGAATCTGCACAGCTTTGAGAACAGAGAACAGGGAGAATGTGGTTGTGTCCCAATCAATGTAATGCAAAGGGGGGGGGGTCAACAAAAGCTGGCCCAGGAGTACACAAATGCCCACAGTCCTTTTGCAGTAAAAAAAGATGTACCATATTGGCCCGAATATAAGCCTCACTTTCCCCCCAAAATTCTGACTGTGAGAAGTTAAAATGCGGCTTATATTCCCGACCTTAGGGTATGGAGCCAGGAGCGCAGGGCAAACCGTCCTGGTCCTCTGCCCCAAGGCTGGGAAGGGAAAGAGCGAGGAAGGGGAAAGGATGCCGGTAACGCAACATGGCTCCCCCCCCACTGCCCCCAGTGTGCAGCCAGGAGCAGCGAGAAATGGAGCGGCTTATATTTGGGAATTTTTTAATTTTTTTATCCCCCCCCCCCCAATTTTTTAAAGCTGCCACTTATATCCGGGTGCGGCTTATATTCAGGCCAATACAGTAGCTATACCGGTATATCTGATATATATTTAGATATATATCTGGTAAAGCTCTTGATTTTGAGATTTTTTGGTACCAGCTACTATTGATATATTGGAATAAAATAAAATGCTCCATTTTTTCCCAAGCAAAGATTGATCCAGAGAAGCAGACTTCTGACACCACATTCTTGGTTTGGTTTAGGGACATTTCTTTAGTCCACCCCTAGAGACACTTCTACCCCTAGGGACAATTTGGTTCATTTTAAAATAAGTGTGGTTTTAATAAGATATTATCCTGATTCTTTTTAGATTATGAATTTTTATTCCAAGAGTTAAATGAAGACAAAACATTGAAGTCTGACACTGAATATAATTTATCTGCATAAAGGACCTTATATTAATTTTTATTAAGTATTTGCTTGGCTTATAAAAGGACTTTATAATCGGAAAATGGAGACAATGTATTTACTTTGTAACCCAAGAAAATCTTTAATAAAAACAAATTTTCCTCATTTTGCCACTAGATGGCAAACCACCTCTTTCTGATCTTTCTCTCTGTGTTCAAAAAGAAACGTACAGTGGTACCTCGGGTTAAGAACTTAATTCGTTCCGGAGGTCCGTTCTTAACCTGAAACTGTTCTTAACCCGAGGTACCACTTTAGCTAATGGGGCCTCCTGCTGCTGCTGCCACGCCGCCAGAGCACGATTTCTGTTCTCATCCTGAAGCAAAGTTCTTAACCTGAGGTACTATTTCTGGGTTAGCAGAGTCTGTAACCTGAAGCCTCTGTAACCCGAGGTACCACTGTAATCTCACCTGGCGCTGGAAAACAAGCAAGCAAACACCCCTTTGGAGAGGTTAGACTACTTTCAAGGTGCCCAGCACAAAAGCCCCTAGTCCTTTTGTAATTTGACAAGTCAGGGGCTCTTCTCTTCTTATGCCTGCCATTTTCAGACCAGTTCCCCACGAAACAAATCTCCGGGGGGGGGGGCACTAGGATGCCATCTTCACCCACCTCTGCCCAAAGGAGTTTGGTTTCCCAAGAGCAGGGAAAGACTCGCCCTCGGGGCTCCTCCGCTGTTTCCTGCTGAATCCGAACAAGTACCAAACTGCAGAAAGTGACACTGTGCCGCCGGCTCAGTTCCCTGGGGAGCGACGGGTTTCCACAGGGGAAAGCGATGGGAACATAAAAAGAACCTCTCGGACCCGCGACCAGAAATCGCGGAACCAGCGGACCTGAGGGGGAACCCTTTGTGTTGACGAAGCAGGCCTGGGACTCGCGACATTCGTTTCTTTAAAAAAGCAGCCTTTTAAATGCGTTATAACATTGTGACACCAGGCGGCGCTTTTTGGGCAACGTGATTTCCCATTATGAGGCTTTCCTGAGGTCCCTGGATGCAGCCGCGGACTTTGCGCTTGATCTGAGCTGCGCAGCCTCCCGCCAAAGCTCTTTGGACCAAAGCAGGCTGTTTTCCAAAGCACCAAAAAAGGGATCCAAATCAAATTCTGTGGCCGCCCCGATGTCTGACACTGCTGGCTCCATTCCCATGTCATTTTAAGCTCTTGTTTGTCATTCTGCTAGTTAATTACAGCTAATTAAAGATACTCATCCATTACATTTATTTATAAGTTTTGTCGCAAAGGATTAGCATGTTACATATACCAATAAAATACAGTAAAAACAAACACAGCCTTTGACAGGCATCCCAGCTGAATCCTGCACAGTGTTTACTCTTGCCAGGGAATTTCCCTAGGACCATCTCTCTCTCTCTCTCTCTCTCTCTCTCTCTCTCTCTCTCTCTCCCCCCCCCCTTTGTTACTGCCAGGTATTTCTCTAATACTAACACAGAAAGGTGGAACTGGGAACTGCTCAACTGGGGAAACCCAGCCAGATGGGTGGGGTATAAATTATAAAACTATGATGATGATGATTAACTGTGATGTTGCCTCTACCCTCTCTCAGAGTGGGAACTGTATGCAACCACACATATGCAGTTTAAGTTGTGAAGAGTCAGGGTTGTCTTTAAGGATTAATAAGGTGTTGGTCAGGCACTCCCTATCTACACTAAAGGAATTCAGAATTTCAGGACCGGAAGAGTTGCATCATAGGATACTGAAGTAACTTGACAGTATTCTCTTGGAGACTCTGGTCTATCACCTTTGAGGAATCCTGGAGAGCGAGTGTGGTGCCACTGTGTGGAGATGTCACAAAAACAACATCATGGTGAAGTTGTGTAGCTGCACATGACATCTGGACAAAGGAGGA